TAAGACGAAAATTTTTCGTGTAAGACATTTATAATTCAAATTCAATTCGACAACAACTGTCTTTAAAACTGTGGTGACAAGAAAAAAATCGAGAAATTCGAAATTTAAATTTGTAGATATATATAGTCTGCTAACGTAAATTAACTACACAGACCTAGTGTCTGTGTAGTTAATTTACGTTAATTTTTTTTGTAATATTTTACGGCATGGCAACGAGACCATTAAGCCAAGTCTTATTTTCCTAGTTAATATATACATTACCTAATTGAGTCTGTATTAGAATATACAAGTTTTAATATAGAAGCAACCCTATCCGGGATCAACGCGAACTATTGAGTTACATGTTATCCCGGTGTGTCTGTGTGGGTGTGTGGGTGGAATGTTTACATTGGGATTTAGGGTGTGCAATATTGCATTCCTATAGACAATACCTTTCCCTTAGACATCGTCACGCATTTATTTAATACGCTTTTTATGTTTATGGCAAAATCATGAATAACCTATTAAATTCCACACCACGTCATTAGAAGTATTTTATTATATTGGATCAATGAGGTAAGAAGCAATAGCTTAATTGGCACGATACAATATACATTGGGACTATATATTATTTGTTTAAAGTTGACGAATTACGCTCGGGTGAATTTTTTTTTCGGCAAAGATACTGTCTCGAAATTGACGACGGGGTGGTTGGTATATTATATAATAGCAATAAATATTCAACGGGTCGTGGCTTTGATCCCCACCGAGTCCAACATTTTCTAATAGATTTATAATTTTTCTGAAAGATGTTAAACTTCGTCTGCAACCTCGAACCACCGTCCACCGATGGAAAAGCTGTGAAGATCAATCACGTATCGGTTTCAGTCTGTGGATTTCCGAATATCCAAAGCCAAAATAAGTCGACAGCGGACGTTGTTTAGATGCTATAGGCTGGGATATTTCGCCTCTATTATAAAATATGGAATCCTCATGATATGTCATGCCTTTAAACGACAATATTTACAAAAACATTTGCATTCGATAGGTAATACAATGAATTATAACGTATTTAATTTCTCGAAACTTCTTCACAAAACATAATAGACAATGCCACGCGCCTTGCATAAACATTTGATTCATAAGTCGACTCATTGTTTAGTATTGTAATACGTATTTTTATTTATAAATTAATTATAAATTTTTAGGCTTTAGGTTTTCAACCATGATCTACAGCGGTATCAAGACTGAACCAAAATAATATCTTTCTGATATAGTAAGTAGTAGTATCGTTCAGCTATAGTAGTACCTTATTTATTTAAATTATTGTCTCCTCTCGCTGTCAACAAAATGTGCATTACTGCATAATATAATTTTCACAATACAAATTACAAATTCAAAACACAAGCATTCGGGAATTATTTCTTAATAGTTCGTTCTTAAAACCTATAAATATATAGATTAACTAACCAAACAGGAAAACGTTGTTAAGTTTGGAAAATTGCAATTATAATCTTAATACAACTGTAATACAATTGGTAATGGTGCAATTATTTCCACCAAATTTGATTACCATAAAACGGTTCATCTAAGTTAATCTTTAAAGTTAGACATATACCATCGCGGACATTGTTTAAGATCATAATATCAAGATCATTAATCACATAAAGAAGAAAAAAAAAATCACTTTTTGAATTGGTTTCTTGAACCGTTTTCGCAGCGAACGCAACGGAATCCCGCAATAATAAAAAAAATACCTTTTTTCCACATTTCTCTTCTCCTATTGTTTGCAACGATAAATGGCATATTAAACACAAAAATAAATTCAATTTAAACCAGTTCTTGAGATTAGCTCGTTTAAACAAACAAATTCAACTTTATAATTTTAGTATAGATTGTAAATTAACATGAAAAATCATATATTAAGTCTTGACCTTTCTCGCGGTTTTGTATTATTAAAACTAGAGTACTTATAGTGTATTTTTTCTAACTTGGCAAAAGACCACTACAAATATGGCCGATTTAAAATCATAGCGATTTAGTGATGTCCCTTTATAGAGTGTACTCATTGCCACAGACAACATAGGATTAAAGATATGCATTATATATGGACCGAACTGAAACAACCTCAATATTCAAAATCACTATATATAAGGGTGGGTCTTTTACCTTCTATTGTCGTTGACTTTACATACGTCCCATCCTTATGTAAATGTTAATCTGTGCATTTACGTATACTCATTTTATTTTGAAGTGAATTTAAGATAATTCATTAGTTTAATATTTAATCTAGTGTCTCAAAGTGTTTTCAGTATAAATTAATGTAAACAGTGTGATAAAATCACCATTTAATGTCTATTGTTTACCAAAAATGTGATGTTAGAAAAAATACACTAAATATTATTTTAGGATAAGTACAGATTATACGCTGACGTACAGATTAGACGCTAAATTGACGAATTAAACTGTATAATATAAGAATACAGACTATGATTGACAACAAAGAATTTCAGTCTAAGGATGACATTTTTTAACATAAATGTTATCTATTTCTTAAGATTTTTATTTTTAACCAAACAATAAAAGAGATTCCAATATTTTTTTCAAAATATGGTATCTTTGAAGCATTCGTTGTTTATAACTATAATTTTCCCAAAAGATCTTACATATATAAATAAAATATAGGTTACCCTTAGTCTTGGTGTAGCAGGCAAAATTGCTAAATGCCATTAAGAAGGTATTTAGTACATAGCAAACGCTGGCTGTTGCAGGGCCAGTTTGTAGAAAACTTTATTTTTTGTATTGGACTCAAAACGCACGTGCAGTTAATGTCTGCGGTCGCTCGCTGATTCATGATAGACATTGCTGTAGAATAGGAAAACGTAGGTACCTTTACTTTAATATTGTTTCATTATTATATAATATACATTGTATTAAAGGAAACGGATCGTCTTCCGAATTTTCAGCCATTTCCAAATACTAAACGATTTTAGACGTTCGTGTGTATTTATGTACAATAGTACATAAATACCTATTAAATAAATCATCACTTTTTTAAAACTATATAACTATTAGACACTGTCTGTAGTTTACGCGAGTAGTACATATTTAAATAAGACACTTAAACGGTTTAAAATCCGATACATATTATTTAAACTTATTTTCACTACGGCCCGACGCTCCGCATGCTATGCAACAGCCGTGTCTCCCCGTGGCCACAATTAGTTCAATAATCTTAATTTTCATTACTAGTGGTAGTAGTACATATATGTATACCTACAGTGATCATTTCCAATTTAAAAACCCCGTTTTCTTATTGTATAAATGCCTAAAAGTATTTTCAAATATATCCTTCAAAAGATTTATTCAAACTGCACCTAAACGTGACTTATATCCAGTCGCACGATTGACCAAAAAAAACTTATTCGTTTTCTTGTTGACTGATGATCCAATAAAGAACGCGGCGTCTCAAAGTGAAATGGGTCCAAATACTCAGGTGCGCATACGTCCAACAGATACATTGTGATGGCGCGCCGCGCCGCGCAGCCAGAAAATAGAATTAAAAGACACCACAATGGACCAAAGCCCTTTTAATACATACAAATACGTACGAAGGTAAAATCCCACCAAAACAGTTCAGGTGTTCTTATACTGTAAATGCCAAGGTTACTAAAAAAAAATGTCCGTACAATGAAAAAAAAGAAACCGAAGCTGAATCATCGCGTTCTACCGCTACAATGATTTTTGTTTTATAATTGTTTCCGTGTACCTACCGAATAAAATATGGACTTGTCTCTTATATGTCCTATAAATATTACCACAAGTTTTTAATGAGCTTCTGTCTTAAATAACCAAGACTGAAGACCAGTAATATAAAACATGTTCATTCATTTTTCTACAGATAATCTAATGTCAGTAATATATTACATATATGTAATAAATTAATAAAAATATTCCTATATAAATTACCTAATAAACAATAGTCTAAGCTTTAATGTATCATGTATATTAGATTACATTTATCTATTCCTACATCTAACAAACAGTTCAGAGTCTAAACAATTTTTTTTACTATTATAGCTTATGTATACGCAATAATAGGTCTAAAAATTATTAATAACTATATAATAAAAGTATGTAGTGACATCTGTTGGAAGTTATTTTATACACTATTCATTTATTGCTACGCTACGCCATCTAGTGATGATTAGCAAATTTAAAAATTAATTGACAAGTGCGACATCTAGTAATTTGCATTAAAATCAAAAAGAAATATTGTTTTTAATCTATAGTCTATATTATTTTAAGTATGGCATCCCTAAACCATCTAAAGTTATAAAAACCGTCGCCATGTCTGAAAATACTCTTTTTTGATTGGTCAACTGCTCGCGCCGGGTCAAAGCACTTACACTTCAGAATGAGTTCGGTTTTGGCGTCATTATATTCGTGGTCGGCCATTTTGGCTAGTGGTGGTTATCCTCGTAGTATTTGTGATTTTAATCCAGCCGCGTCGCGGCAATCGGTGTTCTTATCCATAAAGGTACGTTAAAAATGCCAATTACATTAGCTTCACGTTGCATTTGTCGAAATATTTCACACATGCACTGGGTATCTCCACGATATTTTTTATATCTTTCGTGGTCGTTTAAAAGTGCTAAAGCGAGATCGAGGCTCACCCATTCGAAAGCACATATTTATTCTGCTTTTGTTAGTTACGAGCTTTACATTTGATTTACATAATATGCCAATAATATAATTTATATTACATTCCAAATATAGCGATATCTAATCGAAAAATATTTCAGGGCGGATAACACCGATACGACATGTTCCTGTACAATTTGACGCTGCAGGGCTCGACAGCCATAACCCACGCTGTGCATGGGAACTTTTCGGGTACCAAGCAACAAGAAATTGTTATATCCCGAGGAAAAATTTTAGAACTTCTACGCCCAGATCCTAACACCGGCAAAGTGCATACGCTGATGAAAGTAGAGATATTTGGAATCATACGTTCCATAATGGCATTTCGTCTAACGGGGGGCACAAAAGGTAATTGTCCTCATTTATAAACACGTGGTTTTAAATATTCCGGCCGGTGGTATGTCTGCATAACCTCAGACTTAGGTTATTGCATTGTCTTGCTCCATGGCCTTAATTTTTATGGGTGCGTGGTATAACTAGATGCATAGATTATAGCCATCACGTCGCACTTGGCAATTTCTGTCGTTGCTGGGATGTATCATGTTCATGGAACAAACTCAATATAACTTCTATATAAAACCTACGCCATTCGTTGAATATTTCTATAAATATGTAATAATTTCAGATTACATTGTAATTGGTTCAGACTCTGGCCGGATTGTTATATTAGAATACATACCAGCTAAGAATATACTAGAAAAGGTGCATCAAGAAACATTTGGTAAATCAGGCTGCAGAAGAATTGTACCTGGCCAATATTTAGCTATTGACCCTAAGGGCAGAGCTGTTATGATTGGTAAGTAAAAATTCTATTCTTCAGTTAAAATAAATAATGATTATACCTACTAGTCTTGCCTAACTTTAATTGTGTCGAGTATTCATGCCTTAAACTTGATTATATACAATGGCTATCTTTTATATTGCGTATATTGTTGTATTAATTATATTTTTTATTGTTTTAGGTGCCATAGAAAAACAGAAACTAGTATACATTTTGAACAGAGATGCTGAGGCCCGTTTGACTATATCATCTCCGTTAGAAGCTCATAAATCCAATACACTGGTATATCACATGGTTGGTGTAGATGTCGGTTTTGAAAACCCCATGTTTGCCTGCTTAGAAATTGATTATGAAGAAGCTGATTCTGACCCTACTGGTATGTAGAATGTTATATTAGTTTTTTAAATATTTTACCAAAGGTTCTTGTGAAGTATATTACTTCACAAGAGTTCAGGTGCAAAGCTAGGCCAATTTTAATTAAAGCTTATTTCAGGTGAAGCTGCTCAGAAGACCCAGCAGACATTGACATTTTACGAACTTGACTTGGGTCTTAACCATGTCGTGCGCAAATATTCTGAACCCTTAGAAGAACACGCTAATTTTCTCATAACAGTCCCTGGTGGAAATGATGGACCATCTGGAGTACTAATTTGTTCAGAAAACTACCTCACATACAAGAATTTAGGAGACCAGCATGACATTAGATGTCCTATCCCACGCCGAAGGAATGACTTAGATGATCCTGAAAGGGGAATGATTTTTGTGTGTTCTGCTACTCATAAAACCAAGTCTATGTTCTTTTTCCTTGCACAAACTGAGCAGGGTGATATATTTAAAATTACAATTGAAACAGATGAAGATATGGTCACTGAAATTAAACTTAAATACTTTGATACTGTTCCTGTTGCTACATCTATGTGTGTTTTGAAGACTGGATTTTTATTTGTTGCATGTGAATTTGGCAACCAGTAAGTACTTTACACTTTATTTTTTCTAAAAAATCTTTAATTACAATAGAGTCGATTAACTATTACAATACAATTAAAAGGCAATTTATTAATTGTGCAAAAAAATTGATACACGCATGTCAGCCTGTGTCATGAGGCTATCCTTATGATACAAAATTTGAAACATGCTAAAGCAACCATCTCAGAACCAAGGTCCTACCTTAGATATGAGGTGAGTGCACACTGATGTGAGAAGGACATAACATAACGAGCAATAAAAATATTTTAACAAATTCGCAATGTATTAACCATCATATTCGTTTCAGTTATTTGTACCAAATTGCACATTTGGGTGATGAAGATGATGAGCCAGAATTTAGCTCTGCCATGCCGTTAGAAGAGGGAGACACATTCTTCTTTGCACCCAGACCACTAAGGAATTTGGTGTTGGTTGATGAATTGGACTCTCTTTCACCAATTTTGGGTAAGATTTTCAACCTATAAATTATATATTTGTATACAACTAAACTTACATATCAATGATGTGAAACATTTTCGCTCCGTGTTTCATCTGTAATACTTTGAAGATTCAATTAACCAGATCTGAGATTTTTATGCTCTTTTAATACTAAAGTATCTTAATTGCTAAGGATATTAATAAGTGTTCTTTTGCAGCTTGTCAAGTGGCTGATTTGACTGGTGAAGATACACCTCAAGTTTATTTAGCATGTGGGCGTGGCCCTAGATCTTCTTTAAGAGCATTGAGGCACGGACTTGAAGTGGCTGAAATGGCTGTCTCTGAATTACCAGGTTCTCCTAATGCTGTGTGGACTGTGAGGAGACATAAAGATGGTAAGCCATACATAATTATTTTATTACATAGTTTGAGTGATAGAAGGTTAATATGAACACATAGGAAGGTCCAGCAAAAAACTAACAGGAGCTAATGATTATAAATATTGGTCCGTGTTACTGAAATACCGTGACGTTACAATTAACCACTTATGAACGCTCCTTATTATCAACAAGTTACTAATAAAACCCTGGTCGTTTGTTATGCATAAACACCAGTGGTTTTTATTTTCAGAATCTGCTTTCGGCCGTTGAGCGAATGAGACGGTTACCTCAAATACAAAGGTAGGCATCGGGGAGACATTTCAACATTGGAGTCGCATCGACGAGTGGATTCTTTTTTAACATAACGGACAATATTCTTTACACTATCAGCGTTTTTCTTGTTACAGACGATTATGATTCTTACATCATTGTGTCGTTCGTAAACGCTACGCTTGTGCTCTCTATCGGTGAAACGGTCGAAGAAGTGACGGATTCTGGTTTCCTGGGGACCACACCGACTTTGAGTTGTCACGCTCTGGGCAGTGATGCATTGGTCCAAGTGTATCCAGATGGCATAAGGCACATTCGTTCTGACAAACGTGTGAACGAATGGAAAGCTCCCGGCAAGAAGTCCATTGTGAAATGTGCAGTAAATCAAAGACAAGTAGTAATTGCGTTGACTGGTGGGGAGTTGGTTTACTTTGAAATGGACCCTGTAAGTATTTTAGCTATTAACTCTTGATTCGACGTGTTTGCTAAGCGTGGCTTTCGGGCTGTGCTTAGCGAGGGTGGTGCGTAGCTGTCCTATGCAGTGATGAGCCCACAACGTCGTAGAGAATATCCAAACTCCTGCTTGCAGTTGAGTTCGGAACTCGGCATATTCCATAGCCAAACTGGAGCCGTTTAGGCTGTGAAGGTGGCAAAACCATGCTGTGGACACTTAAAACAAAATTGATTTGTATTTCCATTTTGTATGATCAATGTATATCTCAAAATGCTGCACCTTCTGTCACTGTAGCTGTATATCTAATTATTGTTTACCTTTTAGACTGGACAACTAAATGAATACACTGAGAGGAAGAAATTGTCATCAGATGTATCTTGTATGGCATTAGGATCGGTAGCAACTGGAGAACAGAGAGCTTGGTTCTTAGCAGTTGGTCTAAGTGACAATACTGTTAGGATTATTTCATTGGACCCAGCTGTAAGTATATTTTGTATATCTATCACCATAATGTATTTAAAATACTTTCTATGATGACTCTAGGACACCACTGAATGTATGTGATTACATCCACCTAAAAATGCGTTATTCTTAAACATGTCTGAACAATTTTTCCCCACTAAATACATTTCTTTTGTTTAAAGCACGTCTTATATCTCGTTTTTTTTTTGTTTTAGGACTGTCTTTCACCAAGATCCATGCAAGCCCTACCAGCTAGCCCCGAGTCTTTATGCATTGTAGACCAACCGTTTGAATCGGGCGCTAAATCTGCATTACATTTAAACATTGGCTTAAGTAATGGTGTATTATTGAGGACCACTTTAGATTCTGTCAGTGGAGATTTGGCTGATACTAGAACTAGGTAAGATGTGAAACTTCCCTCATCTAAAAGGAATATTTATCTTGCAATGATGTCAACCTTTATCGCTCCGTGTTTCATCTGAAATTTATTGAAGATTCATTAACCAGATCTGAGTAACCTACTTACACAACACTAGTGTCTAAACTCTTGTATACGTTTTTAACCTATGTAAAATTTTACAGGTACTTGGGTTCGCGACCTGTAAAGCTGTTTAAAGTACGTGTTCAATCTACGGAAGCAGTATTGGCTGTCTCATCAAGAACATGGTTGGGCTATCAATATCAAAACAGATTCCACCTCACGCCACTCTCGTATGAATGCTTGGAATATGCAGCAGGTTTCAGTTCAGGTATATATTATATATAAAGAATTTTAACTGTCATAAAAAACAATGGCTTAACTAGCGACGATCTTATATTAAAGTCGACGTGTTTGCTAAGCGTGGCTTTCGGGCTGTACTGTAGCGAGGGTGGTGCGTAGCTGTTCCATACAGTGATAAGCCCACAACGTCGTAGAGAATATCCAAACTCCTGCTTGCAGTTGAGTGCGGAACTCGGCATATTCCATAGCCAAACTGGAGCCGTTTAGGCCGAGAAGGTGGCAAAACCATGCCGTGAACAAAACATACATAAAAACTCACTAAATAACATTATGTATTCATTAAAATGAAACTACTCTACTAAAAACAATAAAACATGATTAAATATACCTCAATAATTCTTTACAGAACAATGTACTGAGGGTATAGTAGCGATTTCTTCAAATACGTTGCGAATTTTGGCTTTGGAAAAATTGGGTGCTGTCTTCAATCAGAACTTCGTGCCTCTTGAATACACTCCTAGGAAGTTCCTCATCAACGGCGAAACCAATCATATTATCATCCTGGAAACTGACCATAACTCTTACACGGAAGAAATGAAGAAACAGCGAAGGTAAAATTTAAGTAGAAATAAAATGTAAAAGTGTCCCTATTATATTTTACCTGATGACAAAAATACACACGTACCCGAATTCAATGTAGATACTCCTGCAGTACTGATTTTATCTAGAGATATTAATCTCTGTATGCAGTATGAAGTGATTGTTAAATTAGTATATTATCTCAGGGTTCAAATGGCTCAAGAAATGCGTGAAGCAGCAGCTGGCGGAGGACCGGAGGAGCAGCAATTAGCCAATGAAATGGCTGATGCTTTCCTCTCAGATGTTTTACCAGAAAATGTATTTTCTTCCCCAAAAGCTGGAGCAGGTGTGTATAATCATTATTAATTTTGCCACATTCTCTGGGCAAGAGTGGTCCGCATAAAGCGGGCACGCTCTAATCGATTGTGGCTACATTAAATCTTTGCGTTAATCCCAGATGATTTCTTATAAGTCATTTGATTCAAGCATTTGATACATTTTTTTTTAGTACAAACACACGAACTTAATTAGAATTAGTGTCAATTATTGTTTTCTGTATTAAGTATAAGTTAGAAACAGTAAAGTCCTATTTTGTATAAAAGAATTGATGTAAAAAAAAAACCAAGACGTTGCATATACGCGATCCCCGATTATATAGTTAGCAATTATCGTCCTAATACAATACATATTTTTTTAGGAATGTGGGCGTCTCAGATTAGAGTAGTAGATATGAGCACTGGTCAACCCAACACCTTGTGCAAGTTACCCCTTGAGCAGAACGAAGCTGCAGTATCCCTATGCCTCTTGCGTTGGGCAGCCCATGGAGAACATGGTATCACTCACCTCGTGGTTGGTGTCGCTAAAGACATGATCTTATCACCTCGCTCTTGCACTGAGGGTAGTTTACACGTATACAAGGTAATTAGGAAAGTGTGAAAGGTTTATTTGTTTAAAATTTTATTTTTTTAATACAAAATATATATAATATGTAACTTACACAAATGCAAAAGTAACATATAATTCATGATTTACAGATATACAATACAGGAAAATTAGAATTAGTACACAAAACTCCCATCGATGAATATCCAGGCGCCTTAGCGGCGTTCAATGGGCGTCTCGTCGCTGGTGTCGGCCGCATGTTGCGTCTATACGACATCGGGCGGCGGAAGCTCTTAAGAAAATGCGAAAACAGGCACATTCCAAACCTCGTAGCTGATCTAAAAACCACAAGGCAGAGAATATTTGTCTCGGATGTACAGGAATCTATATTCTGTGTTAAGTACAAGAAGCGAGAGAACCAACTCATTATTTTCGCGGACGATACCAACCCAAGGTGGATTACGAATACGTGTATTCTAGACTATGATACGGTGGCCATGTCTGACAAGTTTGGGAACGTTGCCATAATGAGGTTACCGCAGTCTGTCAGTGATGACGTAGATGAAGACCCAACGGGGAATAAGGCGCTATGGGACAGAGGTTGGTACTCTTTATTATTAATTTACACTATATTTTAACTAATACATTTCGTGTTTTAAGCCGTTCAGTGTCTACAGAAAATATACAAGAATGTTATAAAAGTATATTTAGATTTTGTTTTACTTTGCAATACTTGATATGATGATACTACTCTAATTCACACATGCTAGACTAATGATAATCAATGATTATTTATATTTATCTGAAGTTATTTTGAAATAAAACAAATTAAGAGTTTCAATTTTCTTTCTCATAAAGCAATACATTTCCAGGTCTATTAAATGGAGCGTCTCAGAAAGGCGACATGGTGGCGAATTTCCACGTAGGCGAAACTGTTACCTCATTGCAAAGGGCGACACTGATCCCTGGCGGTTCTGAAGCCCTATTATATGCAACGCTGAGTGGGTCTTTGGGTGTACTCCTGCCTTTCACGTCGAGAGAAGACCATGATTTCTTCCAACACCTGGAAATGCATATGAGAAGTGAAAACCCGCCGTTGTGTGGCAGAGACCATTTGTCATTTAGGAGCTATTATTATCCAGTTAAGGTTTGTATGTTTTATTTGTTAATATATCTGGTCGAAACGTTCATTCATTTTGCTTTACCTACATATGTAATGAGTTTATTTGCAATAATGTTTACTTGGTTTCACTCACTCAAATGATGCAGCCTAGCACAAAGAATCGTGTAACATTTATTCCTCAAATATTAAAATCACTATCCAATGCTTAAGTCAGCAATCCAGCCCCGTGGCTAGCGTGTGTTAGAGCATTGGTAGATCAAGCGCCGCGGAACGTCGCTGCGTAAGACGGCGTTATGTTGTTTGCGCAGTAATCGCCGCGTGCGCATGTGCCCGAGAGTCGGACGCGCCTTATGGCGTCTCCGTAGTTAGACGGAACAAACATTCATATCCTAAAATAATATAAAAGTTACGAAGTAAATTTTCCATGTATTTTGTAGTTCGTTGTTCGCCTTTATTAAATTCATTAGTCCCACAATGTTTTATATTTTTTATTATATTTAACAAAATTAAATTCCGGCACGGAAAGTCCTGTGTCGATTTCTACTGAATAATATTGATTTTATTACATACATAGAAACATTAATGTAGGCGTTAATTCAAAATAATCTAATTTATTCATACATAGATTTCATACCAAGTTTAAAAAGACACAAATTTTGTCCTTTGTTTATTTTAAATAAGTAGCAGCTTTATCTATAAAGATCTTTTATTTTGTTACAGAATGTGATCGACGGAGACTTGTGTGAACAGTTCAACTCATTGGAACCGGCGAAACAAAAAGCTATCGCTGGGGACCTCGAACGGACGCCTGCAGAAGTGTCCAAGAAACTGGAAGATATTAGGACTAGATATGCGTTCTAAGTAATTATTAGTGTTACTATTTATAAGGAAATAAACGTAATTGTAAGAAAAATTGTCTTTTATTCTTTTACCAAAACAAGAAAAACGCATTTTTTAAATTTCTGTTTCCTTTTGTTGTACCTTTTTCTAACTAATCATGATTATTAATATAAAATATTGAGCAATGATTTGGCGCATACCAACGAAGTGATAGAATCAAATCTAATTTATAACGTTATGGCCCATTGAGACCGTGACCAAACATACACGCTATACTCAATACAATAATTGTACGATCGTTTCTAATCGGTTTATATTTTACTCTAACCAAAAGTAGAACGAATACGTGAATGTGCGCAATTCTGGCTAGCACAACCTCGATCAAATTGTTATCACTTTCAATAACTAAATTTCGTTTTCCAAGTGAAAAGTATACAGTTGTCAGCGGATATGAAATTTACAGCTAAGTAAAACTAAAATAGATACCGTAATTATCTTAAAAATAATCTTACGGCTCATAATTAACGCACTTTCGAGTGCTTGAATTGAACAGCACGCACGATGCTGTAAATTATTATAAAATTTAATGCTTTCTATTGTGACGTTTAACATTAATTTATGAAATAACTACCTGAACCTGCGACTCCGACTGGGGCTAGTTTTGGGCATCCAAATTAGTTTTTGCAAACCTCATCTTTTTCATTCACTCGTTCTTGCAAGTTAATCTTTAAAATAGAGACTGTCGCGGACTTTATTAAGATCATATAGAGAGAATTATTCTTGAATACATATATTTGGGGTACTTTGAACTGTTTTGGCAGCGTACACAAGGGGAAACCCACAAACGTGAATATTTTCTCCCGTTTTTTCCACATTTACCACTGTTTCTTCACTAGAGGTCGCAACGTGACGTTTTATAGCCTTCCTAGAATAATGCTCTAACCAAGACAAATTTTTCCAATTCGTACCAGTAGTTCCTGAGATAAGTACATTCAAACAAACAAACGCGTCAGCTTTATAATATTCGTAGAGATTAAAATCTAAAATACAAAGGTGTGTGGCTGAAATGAGCGCGCCAAAACACGCCAAGTTTTAGTAGGTTAAATTAATATTTTATAACAATTTTCTTGTCAAGACAAGGTGGCCTAAATGCAAATGAGAAAAAAGCCACATTTCCTTGCGGAGCACGTGAAACGAACGTTTCTATGACTACCATATCGACCGGCGGCTTTTCCGACATTCTACGTGACACGCTGAAACAATGGACTGAAAATGTATTCGCACGCATAACGTTGTTCAGTCGCGTGACGCACTCCGAGTCCACGCGACCCTCGTAACGTGATGAGAGCCGAAGAGTTCTGCATATGAAAATGGGATTCGTGCGAATGCACCGGTGCAGTGGGCACGGGCGATGAGTGCTCGCGCGAAACGAACCGCGACGCGCGACCGCCGATGCGCGAGAGTCCGTTTTTGAAGCTGGAACGCTTATTAGCCGGTGCAGCTACATTGCGGTTGGAGGAAGCGTGTGCAATACGGGGCATTAGAAAGTGTAATGTATGGTGCGGGGCGATGTTGTCAGTCAGCAAGCCGGTGTCGCTAGTCCAACAGAAGAAGGAGCAGTGGGCGAGAGAGAGAGGTGAGTGCGAACAGCGGACCTTGTTAGTTGTTCCTTTAAGTGGCGAGTGAGATCGCTTCGATGCGTATTTGTTTTTGCGTGTTATGCGCGAGGAGATTTTTTTACTTTAGGCCAATTAAAAATGCGGAATCTTTTCCGATAATAATTTTAATAAGAAAAAATCACGGTGGAATATGAAGTTTTTCCTTAAACTTTGATATAATAATGCTTCAAAATACTCTAGTAATAGTTTGATGTTTATGTAATAATACTTAATATATATACGAATATCACCCTAAATATAATATTAAACTATTTTTATATTAAAATGCAGCAAAGATAATTATAATGTCCATTAAAATGTTAAAACGTTTCTTTTCTTAAACATTTTATAAGGAGAAAGGAACGATTAAAATAACTGTGTTAGAAGACTCAATTTGTATGCTAGATATGTATAAACCTCTGAAGTGAAATCGTATTAACGAATTCCGTATGATTATCGGAATTGAAAAACAACATTTTTACTTGAACTAATTATATATACCCATATAAATAATATATAAAGCTGAACAGTTTGTTTGTTTGAACGCGCTAATCTCGGGAACTACGGGTTCGAATTGAAAAATTGTTGGTTAGATCATTTATCGAGGAAGGCTATAGGCTATAAAACCTCGCGCTGTGACTAATAGAAGCGAAGATACAGTGGGAAATGTGAACAAAACTGGGGAAAATTTTCATCCCTGTGCGTTTTAGATGCGTACGCTGCGAAAACAGTTTAAGATACCTAAAAAATGTGTATGAAAGAACCATTTCGCTTTAAATTATCTAAAAAAAAGTCCGTGACGCTATATGTCTATATTTTAAGATTAACTTGCAAGAACGACGGGAAGGGACGCGATCGACGTCGTGGCTAACAGCTTAAGTTTATAAAGATGACGGGGTTTGCAAAAACTAATTTTGATGCCCAAAATAAATGTTCTTAGCGGACGAAGTCGCTGGCACAGCTAGTCTTGAAATAAAAGTGTATGCCATTTCGTAACTAATTAATCACCTACTTTTGTTTTAGTCACGCAAGTGAAGGGTGAGAGGTTCGAATCCGCGGAAATCTATTTACATTTTTCTGTCTGATAACTGTTACATTTGAACAAAAGAGAAATAGTATAATTTCATTTGCTTTAGCGACAGCCCGTCAACTAAAAAATAATACTAAATAATCTCAATAGTTAACCCGGAAGTATTTCGTTATTTACCCCGGATTCAAAACTTTGGAAAAACAATGGTTTAACCACTGGGATATTAACACAATGACTTCAATATAACTATTTAAACCACGTTCTACGTTATAGGAAAGGCCAGGGTGGTTATTCGTGCTAATCAATTTTTGATATAAATATAAAAGTACCTACTTGCTGGCGTATTTTTATTGAAACGCTCTCGTGCGCTTTAAATCATTGACCGTAGTGTTTTTGTTATATTATGTTAACGGTACGGTGAGTCCTTTACGTAACCAACGTATAAAATACAGATAATCATTCTGAGACTAATTTCGAAACTGAGCCATCATTTTAACCTTAATAACCATTTATTTGTAAAGCTATTTTAAAAAATTGTGTATATTATAAATTTGTTGAAATCAAATGTGAACCTACGTGAAAAACCACAATAGTGCCTCCAAAATATTGACGTTTGTAAAAGCTGTGAGGTCATTGCTTTCCATTTTAACCTTGATGGACAGACTGTCTGGGTTAATTCATGAAGTATCGATTTTCAAACTTCACCTAACAAAGAAATACCCACGAAGGCTGTTGTTGGTGACTTTTGGTTTTGAAGCCATCTTGGAAATATTTACCAATAGTGCTTTAATAGAACCCAAATTTAAAGGAATACTTATGAAGTAAAATATGTAAGTGACCGGCAAGCGCGGATCCAACCCTCAAAAAAGGTTGCGGTCACAGCTACTAGAAAATCGGCTAAGTACAAGTCGGAGCATGAACATAATCATGCAAGTCGTTTATGAACTTTGGAATTAGATTATTTCCTTTTTTCTGAGCATCAGGACTTTGGCCTTAGGAATGGAAAGAAACTTAGAAGGAAGTCGGACCCGATCTTCAAATTAAATAGTTATTTTCCATCCAAACCTATTGCAATCAATGAGTTACATGTTTTTTTTTTTTTCTATCCAGTAACCCAATATAGTGACACTAGACTGGTAAATAGGTAAATAGGTATCTTGACGTTGTATCAGGAGTAATGTAAGGGAGATCAGCAAGTGAGATGTAGTGTATGCAAAAGTAGGTACATGCTTCGCTACGCGTCTCGGAAATTTTGGCGGCACGGCAATAAGTTGTCAAAAATGTGACATAAGTCATAACATGTCAGCATATCGTCTATGCCTCTTTGCTGCGTTCCGAATCACGCACGTTTCATGATTCATTGTGTTTTTTAAATCTTATTAAGGCATATCGTTTATTATCATAAGCCTATCGACCTCAATTAACCGTAAAAATGTGACGTCACAAGTCTATCAATGTTGTGGGCATGCCCATCTTGCCCACAACGGTGGATCAGCCCTTGGTGACCGGGCAGACACATTTGCTTTATCTCTCCAAATCATCGCTCTGCCCGACTGAAACAACAATTATTGCGCTCTTCCGGGATTCGAACCCGTGACCTTACTTACGTGCTTACTACCATTGATTTATAGGGTTCGTTTGTGTAATGGCTCAATGACGGCTGGGGGAGTTCAATATGATTCTAATCGACTTATAATGTATATGAAACATTTTGGACATCGTCTGGAAATTTGGATATTAGGCAGGTAGGTTTCGAATCACTCTCTACAGATGAAAAATCCGTGAATTAATCATGTTTCAGCGCGTCTTGTTTAGATGTTATATGTCTGAGGTGACACCTTCCATTAAGTGAATACCATGCTCGTCTATCATAAAAGAGGAAGTAAAATCGATGGGGTCAAAGTAACTTTTTGTTGTGAAAAGCGCCCATTCAATAGTTACAATGATTTACGAGACGGCGGATATTGCCTATTGTTTGTCAATGCCATTGAATTTTAGGAAGTGTCTACCTTTAAAAAAGTAGAATCTATACTGATATATAATCAAGAGTTTGTTTGTTTGTTTGTTTGAACGAGCTAGTCTCAGAATTTACTGGTTCGAATTGAAAAATTATCTTTGTGTTAGTTAAAACATTTATCGAGGAACGTTATAGGCTATAAAACATCGCGCTGTGACTATTAGTAGCGAAGGAGCAGCGGGAATATGAAAAAAACGAGGGAAAAATTTTAGTTGTGGTTTTATTTTATCTGTGGTTTTCCGATGAAAGATGAAAGATCTCATGATGCCTTCCCCATGTGATGGCGAAACGTCGGCCGAACAGCTCGTAAGACAAGGATACAGTGTCTTTTATATTTTATAGTGTATTTTAAAGAGCTTTTATAGATGGAGTATGTCTTAAGGTACCGAAGCCGGTCGCATAAACCGCTAGACGGTTTCTTTACCAGTTGAAATTATGTTAAAACGATGATGTAGAAAAGTTTTAAAAAAGTAAATAAAAATAAGTAGGACACAAAGAGCATAGCAGTTGATAGTTCAGTAAATACACTGCTATTTCAAATTTCCAGGAACGCTGAAAATGTGGGTAGGCTTACACATACATGTAGCGTGCAAGTGAATCGACAATCGACATTTGTTATCGACAAAACTGAAACCGGCTAATGGGGTAAAGGGGAATTTTTTTCAACATTTTTCTTTAACGAAATCTAAAGTAGCTCATTATAATTCGACTTGCAGCCATGGAAGGTACGTCCATCGTTTTGTTTTACAGTAGATGTACATAGGCTAGACGTTTTCGGCGCATTTAAACTGTTTTAACTATACAATATTAACTTAAAGATGTTGATTTTAGTTCTCGCTCGTAGTACATCAAACGGCGAAAATACTATGACCAGGTTATGGTATTTTATTCGCAAATTTTAACCATTTTGTTAGACAACTAAGTAAAAAAAATGGTATATTACATAGATAAATATCTATCTAGTTTGTAATTTATTACAATGAAAACTTTGTACTTTAAAGCACAGTGAAATATGTTTCGAAAAATTCCACTTAAAGGCGTTGTATTTGACATTTTCGTGTGTTCTTACTAATTATACTTCTTTTTCATCCCTGAGGGCGTAAATACTAAAATAACTCGTCTGCATATCCTTTTCAGAAGAAATGTCACATCTCTATTTACCATGGGGTTCCGGTGAGCGATACACAAATCGCTTGTCCGTACGGAACCAGTTTGCAAGTTCACTTGAATTGAACAAGTCGTACGAATATTCGGAGTCCTTGCAGCGTCAACGGAGCCCTAGCCTACCGCCAATTCACAACCTCGAGATCAAGACTATTGAGAAGAGACCGAAGGAAGTTTTAAATAGGTACGTAGAAAATTAAAAAAAAAATAACTGTCATAGCCGAGATTCAAACACACGAAAAACAGCGCACTTGCAACTTTCGTGGGTTCGAGAACTATTGTTGTATAAAAATTAAGTATATTTGACACACCCCGCGGTAACTACCCGCAACATTTTTGGAGTATAAAATTTTAACGAAGTTATAAACCGCTTTCACGCGAAAAACTAACCAACAACCTCACAAGCTTTCGTATATCGTAGCCAAGACTCCGATTATAAATACATGTAAAGTCTTTTAATGTTTTACTTACTAAGACTAGTTTGATGTTACAGAAACATACCTAGTGCTAAGAGGTTTTCCTTCTACGACGAAGACGCGGAAGGGGATACTTCTGGATACGGCAGTGAGACTTTGAACCACATGACCACGAGAAACCAGAACGGAACTTTACGTGACGCTAAACATCTAGGTCCGGACGTTGTAGTCGCGTGGCAACAAAATGAAAGGGATATAAGGTCGGTATATTTTCTTTATTAGAACACACTTTGTAAGTCTTATAATTATTAAACGTCTTACTAATAACACGGACTGTATACTAAACCAATATTAAGAAATGTACAACAATAAGGTTGTATATACTGTAGAAATATATTTTATGGTATTAATGGTATAATGGTATTGTATGGCTATTAATCAACAAGTCGTGGCTTCTATCCCCACCGGGTCCAACATCAGTTTATATTTTTTTCTGAAACATGTTGGTCTTCATCTTGAAATCTGGATATTAAATGGTAGTGGTACTAATATCGAAAATCCATCCGAGTCCCGAACCACCGCCCACAGAAGAAGCGGTGAAGTTTAATCGCGTTTCGGTTTCAGTCCGTGGCTTTCCGAATATCTAAAGCCAAAAATGGGCCGACAACGCATCTTGATTTGATTTTATATGGGTGGGTTATTTCATCTACCATGAAGTGAACCCCACGCTTGTTTGTCCTCCTCTGTCATATTGTTTTTTATTAAAGAACTGTGAAAAGGATATAATTCTAATTCCTAGGAAAACGATAGATTGTCTCATTCATGGGTGTATGTGTTATTTTGTAAATGTGTGGGCATGATTCTAGTAAATTAAGAGCTTGTTTAAAACTCGTATAATTAAAAATTTTAAGCAAAAGAATTGTCGTATTTAAATTCAAATATTAGCATATATGATTTTCTTTGCTGTAAAATTTTAATTATATTTTGCAATAACCAACCAAGGTTACAATTTAATTAAGCATTAGTGTTTTTGTAAAACCGTTTAGCGATAAAACTTTATCAAATATTTTCTTGTGAACTCAAACGTAGAATTTTAGTAAGAATTCTTTTTACTTTGTTTATATTATAAAGAATAATTTTAATAATAATAAAATCATTTATATAAAAATTACATACAAAAATATCAACTAAGATTAACTTAAACCCTAAACAAAAACAAATAAAATTAAAATAAAAAAGAAGAAAAACTGTTACATACTGTTTCCAATTCGATTTTCGAGACAATGTCTATTATAATATTCAAGCACACATTATAGAATATAGACAATATTTTGAACATGCTGCTGTGCTCCCCATGTGTTACATTATTTTGTATCTGTTGAATAGTAAATATCTAATAAATACGTTATTATTTATCTAGTAAAAAGCCAAGTGAAAGGTTAGCTATGCCTGACGGGGCCTGGTCTGCTAGGAGTTCTGGGGCTGACGAGGGTCGCCCACGTTGGGGTGATCGTGGTGTCGCTACTGGTCGTCTTTGGGAACCCACAGCTCCTACAGCGCGACTACCTCAGGTAAGTGACAGTTTAAACTATAGGTATAAAACGACACTTACATACAGACTGTGTATAGTTTCGAGCTATGTGGAATTGTTATAACTTGGAGATAAGAAAAATCTTTATTAAAAATATAGATTTTAAACTGAGTTTTAACATATATTATTCCATAACTACTGTTGCAGCTAGAGCTGTCCTATGTTTAATTATTTTGATTGATTTGGTTACATTGTAGGGCAGAACCACTCAATGTCAAGTGAAACCATAGGTGTTGTGATTTCAATCAATGTACAGCTATCATAATATTAAAAATTCTACTATTGCAAATAAACTTCAAGCTCTTAATATTTTTTTTTTTAACTACGAGAATGTGAGGGTAGTATTACAGATTACTTAAAAGTTAAAAACCAAACTACCTTTTCGGTTGTAATAGATCATTTTGTTAATCATCTGAGGAAATATATAGTCACTTGAATCAAAGTGTTGTTGTAAATGAATTCGCAGATGCCGAACCAGAATAAAGGTACTCCAGCTTGGGTGGAGCGTGGCCTAAATATGATTGATAGTGCATCCGATATGATAGTTATAGATCAAAGGAGCTCCGCCAATTCCGGATTAGATTTTGATAAATCTTCGTACAACGGCAGCGATGAAGGAAGGTATGATTGCATATTTCGATTTATATTGTAACAAAAAGATATATGTACCGATATATCTAATGAACACAAATATTCACATAACTTTAAATGGATTTTCAGAACACACCTCAGAGGACAAAATGTTCCAATAGAACCAGAAATTAAAGCCCAAAGAGAGACTAAGAGACTAAAAGCCCTTGAATTACAAAATGTTATACTTACTCAGCTAGAAGAACGCGAGAAACGTAAACAAGAAGAAAGGGAACAGAGATTAAGAGAAGAGCGGTTAGAGGAGTTACGAATACAAAGACAGCAAGAAGAGGATAGAATTAGACTCGAGGAAGAGAAACGCCGTAGTGAAGAAAAACAAAAGCAAGAACAACGTAAATTAGATGCACTGAAAAGAGCTCTGGAAGACGCCGAGAAAAAAGCAAAACAAGAAAAAGAGAGGAGGTTTCAATGTCATAAACCCGCTATTGTTTCTAATGAGGTCAAAACGAATGTTGAAGAAAATAAATCACACGATTCAATTCGATGTAGCCCTACAAAAGTCGTAAGTCCAACCAAAACTAGCAGAACATACGACGTACACTCATCTCACAGCTACAAAAAGGACTGTGGGTCACAACCAACTTCTACCTACAATTCGCCGAGATCTGTAAATGGTAATTTAAACTTATTTATACACAATGTTCCACCAATAAAAATAGCAGATAACCAATTCAACATCGTTCCAATAGGGATTACAGGCAATGGTGAAATTATACACGGGCAAGGGAACACTATACAATTAGCTGTTTTAGTACCACAAAATCCTAATAATCACTGCTACAGTGTATCTGTTAATTCAAATGAAAGCTCCGAAGTGGGAAAGGTACTAACGCCACGAAAATACCGTGAAACAAAGACTAAGGACGCCGCGACACAAACCGACAGTGTTGATATTGTTAAAATTAAAGATGAAGTGAAAGATGTTAATGATAGATTTCTTGACAAAGAATATTCGAACATTGATGAAAACGCTCCTCAAGAAAGTAATAGAAACACACTGAAAAAAGACAGACGATTGCGATCCGAGGAGAGATTTAAAAAAGACATAGAAAATCGTCCGAAATGGGGTGCTAACAGACCACAAGCGCAGTACAAAAAGCAAAGTGAGAAAGATCCCTTCTATACGCAAAAGAGGAAATTGCGTCACAAATATAGATCGCAGGCGCGACAGTATATGTCACAATCTAGCGAAGACAGTCGATCACCGAGTCCACCAACAAGGTCTGATAAGAATTCCGAATCTAGTCTAAAACAACGTAATTCATTGAGTCAATCCTACTGGAGAAACAAACGCAACTCTCAAGACGCGTCAATAATTAACAACGAGGCGGAGTGTGAAATCAACGTTCCTGAATTTATTTCCCTATCTCAAATTACTAAAAATGAAAAATACGAGCACAAATCCACTAAATCGTCTCCAACGAAACGGATAACGCTCTCACAGAAATTCATAAACGACAAATACGGAAGAAGGCTGTGGCAGGAAGATTCAAACGACAGACATTCTAAATACATCGAAACGGAATTACCTAAGAAAATATTGTAGATTAAAATTAGCCCTTAACGACATAAAGACTTATATACATATCAAATTTGTACATTTTAAAATAATAATTGTTGTATTTTAAATATTTTAAGTAACGTCAATATACTAAGATGTATTAATGTAACAAGCGTTGCTAGTTTATATCGATTAAATAGTTTCTATGGAACCATTGAACGTTAATCAATAAGTTTTAGACACTAGATAACTGGGTCACTATCAGAGCAGTGGTGCACAATGTCGAATAAATTGGATGACTTGTTTGATAAAAAGAAAGATGAAGCTCCTATGTTGGATTTGTCGAAGGTGGTTATAAATACAGCAGAAGAATACAGAGCTGTTTTGGATAAGGTGCCTGAATTTAAAACGCGTCCTGAAAAGGTGAGTCATAAGTTTTCTCCTTATAGATCTGTAGAGAAGCCTAATTCATTAGCAGTTTTAATATATAAAAGCCGATGATATTATCTAATATTGATTTTCCTTATTTACTATAATAAGTAAACGCTATTTTGATTTATGAAGGCATTGCAATCAATGCAAGTTTTAAGATAAAATCGTTCCACAGAGTGTCTTAATTACAATATATAAAAATGACATTTAGTTCTGCTTGTGTGTCTTCCTCAGTCATGAATAAATATGACATGCGCTGCAGAATTTGTATTAATATTATTAGTTTGGTGTCAGGTAAAAGCGGAAGATATAAAAATAAAAGACAAAAAGGAAGATCAAAAAACCAAAACACCTCGAAAGGAAATTCGCGCGTACGAAAAGCTCGGAACTCGGGGTTATGAAGAGAAACACTTTACTTTTATGGATCCGATACCAGTAGAAATGCAAGGCATTAAATTCGAAGAACTGTGCGCTGTGCCCATCGAGTGGAGAATGCTCACCTCCGTACGTCCAAAATCTAAACTGGACGAAGAATATTTTAACAGGTTAGCTTTTTCATGTACTTCTTTCATTCTAATCGAATTGGCAAGCTGAAGTGGCAGTAGGCTGGGCACATCGCTCGTAGAACTGACGGTCGTTGGGGCAAAAAGGTTCTAGAGTGGAGACCATGTACCGGACGTCGAAAACCTGGACGACCTCCCTCAGGTGGACCGACGACCTGGTCAAGGTAGCAGGGAAACGCTGGATTCAACTAGCGAACGACCGGTCGTACTGGAAGTCTATGGGAGAGACCTATGTCCAGCAGTGGACACCGAACGGTTGAATCGATACGAGGGTATCTTTTATTTTTGTCTTATTACGTGCAAGTCTGACCAAGGAGGTGCTAGCTCATAAATAAAATCGATGAGTAAAGTAGACATAAAATGTCCCTCATACGGCAAAATATAGGTGGAAAGGGCAGTTCTTTGTGTCTCCAAACACTTATAGTACTTAGCATTTGGGTATACCTATTTTACTATTATACCTATAAATATATCATATTTTGTTTTTCAATATTTTATTTTACAGGTTAATAGAGTTAGGCAAGTCCGAATTAAGAACCAAAGTTAAAGAAAAGAGGGAAGCAGCAAAGAACAATATGGTGAGGAAGATTAAGAATCGATCTGGCGTGACAGAGACTCGTGTTGTATCTTGCTCCGAATGTGGCGAAGAGTATTGTAATGGTATGTAAATACAATTCTTGCGGTGTACTTTTAAGGAATAATCAATAAAATCTCAAAAAACTGTTTATAGGTAAAATGTGTATGATCACAAACTACGACATGTTTGCGCGTTTGAAGTTGGAAATTGAACCAAAGACGAGGCGAGCTCAAGCTGCGCCGGCGCAGGTGGGCAAACTTCGACGCATGCGTCGACGACCGAGGCGTAAGCCGCGTAGTAAGAGCGCCGCTCCGGCGTACCAGAAACCTGCTACTGGGAAACATGGAGCCAGAAGTGATTCTGAAATTTAAGTTATATATCGGGACAGTGTAGACACTTTGTTATTTCTGTCATAATTCAAAAACGTAACAAAAAGCGAAATTTATTGCTGTCTAAACTATGCTTTATAATTTTAGCCAATGTGATAATTTCTTGATGAAGTTGTGTTGTAAACAAAGAAGCTTATTTGAGTAATCATAAAACTACGCCATAACTTGGCGATTTTAAGGTATAGAAGGTGAAAACACATTTTATATTCTATGCATCAATACTTGCTTGAAATTTTATATGTATACTCAATGTTATCGCTGATAACCAAAATGCCTTTAAGCGTATTACTTAAAGATATTACATAATATTAAGTTTTATTAAGTAGTTTGTCTAAGTATTACCAGGTTGTGCTTTTATAAGACAAAACTTACTACGTTCTCAACTATTAATGTTAACTTAGAATTGTTATCTAGTCGATGGTTTTCTCACGTTTTGTACTTAATAAACTACTAAACTCAACCCGTTTTTTTTTTTGTTTCAACCGAGGGGAACCTAGAAATGAAAGCCTACTTATCAATATCACTCTTTATTGGATTTTAAAAAAATATTTATATTACACATTCAATGTTTAGAACCTATGAACAATAACATCGAGATACAATATTGCCTACATCCGTCTGTACCGCATGTAATAGTATCCCAATTAAGACTATGAAAGCAGAAATATTTCGCTTCACACGTCCGCCCTAATTTTTCCAGCGACCGAGCGCAGCGAAACGAAAGTCTAGCCTAAATATCCTATCAAACTTAGGCCCTAAGTACCCACGTTTATTAAATAAATGAGCACAAATTATTCGGAAACATAAACAAATGGAAAATAAAATTTAAATCTCTCAATAAAAACTCGCATAGAAATAACAATAAAAATGGTAAATCTTAAGACGTATAAGAAGAGGAAATTCGTAAGGTTGATAATAAAGAACAGTTTGGACTAAATCAATAATATCGGAGGTAAAGCGAAATAGTAAAGATCCCCCCTTTTTGAGAAAGGCTAGTCAAGCAATAAAATGGAAGCTAAAAAGTTAAATATTTGTAACTCAAACTCCGAAGCTATTTAATAAAATAGATGGGAACGATATGATCTTTACAATGTAGTCCTTAATTTTTTTACTGATATTATTTTGAAATGTGAACATACAAGCACAAACAAATGAGGTCCATTATAAGTATTTTTTGGTATCTAGGTCCAAATTATGAAAGTTTACTGAAATTTAACGTTAACAGTATAACGTATCCTACTAATAGTAAAGGAATATATATATTGCATTTTATTTAGGACTCCCAAATACACAATTTGGACTTCACTATTCATGCCCGGACGTTATTTGCAGCACAAAAATTCAACACTTACTGAAGCTGTGTTTTTTATTTATTTATTATAGGTCAAGTTTTTGGATCGAGATATTTTTAATACTTTTATCAAGTGTCGTTTCGTTCAAACGCAATGAGAGAAAGAGACAAAAAATGTGTGCTGAATTTCTGAGCTGATCTATTGAAGAGTATTTTACTGTGTTACCGTAGGTTCACGTTGCACATATTAAATAAAAAACTTTTAACTGTTTATAACGCTACACATATTAGTTTTAAACCGTTAAACGTGTTCCATTTAATTAATAAGGATTACAAATGTAAATTCAGTACAAAGCGAAATCGCCCGTCCACCTTTAGCGGTCGCTTCTCAAAGATGTCCTAACCTGACACAGCCGTCCCCGTTTAATCAAAAACTTATTTTAAAAATTCGTAGTCTTACTATGTATACTAGAAGTCTCACTCAAACTATCCGTTAATGAAGTTAGAGATTTAGCAAGTCCTTTACAAATATACCTCTTGTTCATTCATTTCTCTTAAATCTAATTATACAAAATAGGAATCTGCAATACGACATGGTCGCCCAAATACATTTGACAAATCTTTTATATCGTTTCGGACATGTAACTCTCGGCAAAAATGAAATTGATGCATGCACGGACGGCAAAATCCACTGAACTATAGAATTATATAATAGGTATTTTCGAGATTTGATGTCATAATATTGGTCAAGTTTATTTGACTACTAAGAGATCTGATTATATGGAATAAGGGCGGGTTGATTCAACCGTACTTAACTAGTGGGTTAAGAGAATTTTTGGCGGTCGTTGATTATAAGATATATTGGATCAATGATCAACATTATAGCAATTAAACATTGTTTGTCATATAACGAGACAGTGTTGTTTTAGTAACAGACGAGTTGAAACAACCCACCCTAAGCCAATCGGAGTTTGGCTCGCAAGGACGTATTAGCCAATGGAATGGATAAGGACACACTTACTACTAGAAGCACCAAAATTCTTCAACATTTAATATTATTGAATATGTTAGTGTTATGAGGTGATATTATAAACTACGGAGGTACTGCGAGGCACCCAAACATATATAATGAAACCTTCATATTCTTCGTACGTCTTTCTATGTACATCGAATTTCAAAGATCACACCCAAAAATATTGCAGATTCCGAGAACTCGTTAAATAGAATGACTCTTATAACAATTACAAAAAAAGTAGTTAAGCTTCAAAGAAAAACAATAATTAAATTATTATGATTAGAAAAACAAAGTCATAACGTAAAATATGTAACTAAAACATGGACGTATGATGTGTGAATATTATGCAATGTTAAGTTGCTTCGTCGACCACGCGTTATAAACCCGGAGATGAACAATTAATTTTAAAATTAATCGATGCGTTGTTTTGTAATTTGCGAAAGTTGTTCTTTATGCGCTAAAGAAAACTTAAATTAAATGTCATGTCAATTGGGAATAGGTAATGAATGTTTATAAGCGTGGTAAGGCATTGAGCTAAGGCCGGGGAATCCCCGCTCCCGGCGACCCTGTTCGCGACTCGCGCCTCATTGGTCCTTGCGCGCTTTCTTTTTGCTCTTCTTGGATATTTTGGCTTCTGTCCAAGTATCTGTAATGTTGGGATTATACGTGCATTGAAATAAACCTATATACGATAGTTATAAGTTTCTAATGTAAATAAAATTATTACTGTATGACAGAGAAAAACTGACAAACAGACAGACTACAAACCCCTATAGACCCATTTTAGCTTTGAACATTAAATAATCTACAAACTAAAACCGAAACACGATTAAACTTCAATGCTTGATAAATAAACTGATTTAATATTGCTAATAACATACCTCCAAGCTCATCAAAAACTGGGGCAGGAGTTTTCTCCTCCTGTTTGTCGGAGTCGGAGTTTTCCTCCGACTTAGTCACAGTCTTAGCTACAGCGGCGGCCTGTAAATAACATTTCAAACATTAATGTACAACATTAATATACAATTGCGACGTGTATTAAGGAAATACATAAAGTACCTAGTATTGTAAACACATGGAAAAAATTTAAAAAATTTGGGAATTAGTGAAGTAAAGTCAATGTTACTTGTATAATCAAAAAATATCCTAATCATGAATTTTACGCCAATCTATACTAATACATAAAGCTGAAGAGTTTGTTTGTTTGGACGCGCTAATCTCAGGAACTACGGGTTCTAATTGAAAAATTCTTTTAGTGTTAATTAAATCATTTATCGAGGAAGGCTATAAGACATGCGCTGTGACTAATAGAAGCGAAGATACAGCGTGAAAAGTGGAAGCGGCGGGGGAAATTTTTCGTCTCTGTGGGTTTCCGAGACGTACGCTGCGAAAACGGTTCAAGATGAGAAAAAAATGTGTATCTACGCCATCGGCATCGTGGCTAACAACTTAAGTTTATAAAGATGATGGGGTTTGCAAAACAAATTTGGATGCCCAAAATAACGATTCTCGCGGACGAAGTCGCTGGCACAGTTAGTTTTTTAATAAAAAATAAACTGAAATTCTGTTCACAACTGGAATCCCGTAGTTAATTTTAAATACGCTAGGCTAAACAAGAAACAAAAAATAACCTTGATTCGGCATGCATGTTCATATTGATAAAACGGATTTGAAATTGCATGAATAATAACAAGATAATAATTGTTGCTAATTGTTAATATTATATGAACCTGCTAAGTGTTACAGGGATTATCAGACAATTTGTAAACTTTTATTGATATCACCAACTCCTTACTATCGGTGATACCAACATTTGTATAATTAAGTAAATGCCTATAAAACTATTAAAAGTATATTAGTCCGTGTGACAAGGTAGAAATATCTCACCTCCTTTTTCTTGATTTGTTTTTCCTTATTTTCTTTCTTTTTGTTGCTTCTGAGATCCTTCACTTCAGTCAGGTCCTGTTCAGGTGCCTCCTCTTCCACCTCTGGAGCAGACAGACCCTGGTCACGACGTTCCGCCTAAATAAGAAGTAAATCGATTATTATTGTATATAGACTTATTTGCAAATGTGAAAATGTTTGCTCTTCCACACTTTATTTGCGAAACAATTAATTAGAAACTATTTTTTAGGATCCATAAACACTGTTTTTATTTATTTTTTGTCTAAAACATCATATTCGTTTAGTGAAAGGCAGTACAAAGTTTGCCAGGTCAGTTAGTAAATTATCAAGATTTTAAAAATCTAATAAGACCAATCTCTTATCAGATAATTCCATATTATCTGATGTGCCATTGTTTACACAATGCTTAATAGCCCCAAGGAAATTTACCAAGTCAAGTTGAATTTGCACTAAAAACACTTTGATAAGACAATTGTGATTGGAGGTAGGTCTTTAGATATGCATTTTTAAAGTAAAACAAGAATGCCAGAGAATGTAGGTTAATCAAATTAAAATACTAATATAGTGATTTTTACCAAGTAACCATTTCACTAAAACAAAATAGTATGTATAAGCTCAATTTGTAAGTAATGAAAATTTGCCAAAATATATATAATATTGTTTACAGTAAAAAAAATTTAATTCAAAGCTATTTTTGTAACACTTTTTAGTCTGACATAAGTGTTACATATTTCTGATTGCTGCCTTATTTTTGTCATTTGAGACAAAATGTAACAATACCTAAATTGGATTGTAAAAGGCTTCCTAATAACTTAAAAAGATTATATATCTAAAGAATTTGTTACCAGATTTATGCTATTTAGTGAAGCAGGTATTACACATTTACTTAGTATTTATTATTAGTATTACATTACTAAGTTCATTGTAGAAAGAAAATATATGCATGCATACATAAATGCATATATAAAAATATTTTGCATGCATCCTAATTAAATTGAATAATTGATTTTCCCACCTATCATAAAGATGAATTCTCCTACCTCCTTAAGAACTCTCTGTAATTCTTCCACTTGAGCCTGCAGAGCCCTAGCAGCGTCTTCATCCACATCAGGGCCCACTTGGCTTATCACCTTGATGGTTTCTTCGGGAGCCTCAACAACCTTTGCCGGAGCTGCATCAATACCATTTTCTTTAGCCTTGACCTTTTTGGTCTTTTTAGCAGGGCTCTCCTTTTCATTTCCCTTCAGTTTTTTCTTCTCACTTTTCTTTGGGACTTCCTCCCATAGACCATCGTCATAATCTGCTGGTTTTTCCACTTCAACTGCTTTCTTTTTTGACTTCTTCTCAACAGGGGCTTCCTTTTTGACTACTTTAGGTTCAGCTTTCTCGTTAGGTTTCGGCTTTTCTGCATCTTTTTTCTCTTCTTTCTTTTCCTTTACAGGGGATTTCTTAGAGCCATCACTCTTAGCTTTACTTTCATCACTGGATGTGCGGTTCGGGGAGGATTTCTAAAAAAATATATAATCATTAAATAGTGGAGAGTGAAAGGTGCAGCTAATTGGTGCTATATAGTAACTGCTTAAGAAACTTATTAGATAATATCTTTGTATTTATAATATTAATTGTATCAATGAAAACACTTCACAGCTGAAGACAAATATAGGGAACACAAACAGGTTAAAAATAAAACGAGATGGTTACCTGGTACACAATGGTAAACATAATATGGACCTACCTTTTCCTTAATTTTCTTTTTCTTCTGAGAAGACTTTTTGTCATCTAAGACTAGGGGCAACTTGTCAAATTGTGGCGGTTCTTCTGAGTGGAAACCGAACACAAATACGAGAGCCGCGCTTACCAATACGACCGCAACAGCTGCCGCGGGAAAGAAAAACTGTGCACTGGACACCTGATTTAACAGTTCCATTTTAGCAAATTTAATTATAGTAGTCTTTACTTAAGTCTGCATATAATGTAACGATAAGGTATTGATAAATGTCGAATAAATTAAATCCCCAATGATAAAAGCAGACACGGGGACACGGTGACGCGGCTGTGACGTGCCAAAAATCGCAATCAGTTATGTTGCCAGCACAGCATTTAAACCACAGGCAAAAAATTTTCTGTGAAATATCTGTCTATCACAATTTAATACAATATTTTCTTATAAGATAATCCTTAGTTGTTTCTTAAATACAACTTTTGGATATCGCTAGGCGAATGTTTTTAAACTAAAAATGAAAGACCTCATGTTCATGACAGGTCAAAACTCACTGGACCAATGGCAGAAGAAGTACGTAAGTATAGACATTGGTTAATTATATTATAAATAGGAAACGATCAAACACACTCTTTTTTACAGATGAAAATTATTAATAAAGTTCGGGTAGTTTAAAATATTATCATAATTTTTAATGAATTAACATTAGATTTTTCTCAGATATATGATAAAAGTTGTACGTTTACAATATTTTGCAAGCAAAGTTGCGGGCATTTGCTAGGCATCATTATCATAGCCTAAAATGTGTCTATGGAAGTAATATATTTTTATTTATACACTGTTGGTCTTTGTTTTGTCAGAATATACATGTGTCAATGTCAAGCATCATCTGTCAATTGACACGTTAGGCGAAGATGCATTAAAAATAAATATATTTAGATTAAAGAATTTTAAGGTTATGTTTATACATACGTTTTGAATATTTAATTGATAAAGAATGGGAAAACGTGTAAAAAAAGAATAGTAAGGAAAACCAGGAGGATGAGGCAAAAAAGGAAATCTCCGATGCAGCCACCTTAGAATCTGAAGAGCATGCTATTAAGAGGCCTTTAGATGAAGATGAACTAGATAGTGATACAGAAATAAAACGAAAGAAACCCAAGAAGAAAAAGAAGCAAGCAATACCGACCGAGGACACTGAAGGCACTGGAAAGAAGAACAAAAAATCTATTCGACAAATGAAAAAGGAAAAGCATGCACAACGCCAAGCTGATGCTGCATTGGCTGCAAAAGATCAACTAAAAACACAATGTTTAAGTTACTTATCACAGTGGAAGCATGATAGACAAAATTGGAAATTCATGAAAGCCAAGCAGGTTTGGCTTTACAAAAATAAGTTTTCTAAACAACTTATACCCGAGCAACAATGGCCATTGCTTTTAGAATATTTTGAGTCTGCCCAAGGAAATATAAGAAAAATGCTACTGGATGATGCAAACAAGGTTATTAAAGAAATGGATGATTGGACAGAGTCTCAGAATGAAAATGATGGTAATGATGAAAATGAAATAGATGAGGACACAAAGTCAAGTAAACCGGATATATCAATTTATAACAGAGCAAGAAGCTTAATACAATGTTTACAAGAGTAAAACAACTTTTATTTTCCTATTTCCCAACTATATTGTAACAACAATAACATGATAAATATTTGTGGTTTTAAACCTCTAAATTTAACAAGCTAAGCTTTAACTTTCACCTCTGAATCGTCAGAGGTAAATTGACCAATCCACTTTCTTAGTTTATCTGTATCTTGCAATCCTACAAGGCGCTGTTGTACTTTTCCATTTTTTATTGCAACTAGGACTGGCACAGAGCTAATTTCATAATCTAATGCAAGGTCTGTTTGTTCATCAATATCAACTTTAGCTAAGACAACCTTTCCTTTGTTTTCTGATATAATTGATTCAAGTCTGGGTGTGAGAAGTCGGCAAGGGTTACACCACCTAAAAAACATTAATACTCACATAAGCATAGCTTTAATCATATAATATTTAATTTTGCCTTAATTAATAAATGTAATTATAACACTTAAACATATTAAAACACTTAAGTAAATTATTGAGTATCAGAAACAGATACACACAGTAGTCAATTGTAAATGTAAAAAGGTACACAATAATAAAACTAAATACCATACAATATAACACATATAAAATGGGTTATCATGTTCTGTATCATAATGGAAGTTTGGAATATTGATATGTGAAATTCTTGATAAGGATGATTAATACAATTTAAATATGATGTAACTCACGTTGCAAAAAAGTCCACAACTACTGGCACTTTACTGTTAATAACCTTGGCTTTGAAATCCTCTGGACTTTGTATTTTTACAATTTCTCTATGCACTGGTGTTACAGAAAGTTGTCTTAATCTTGGTGTGGAAGTATTGAAGTAACCGTTGCGGATTATCATAGATGTCGCGTGGCGCGTAAACATTGTGATCATTAAATACCTGAAAACCGTAGATTTGATGATAGAAACATTTACTGGAATATATCCCCTTAACTACTATTAGTTGATTAAGATTACGTATTTTGGAACATACCTTTTATATTCCAGCAAATAAAAAAAATTAAAATGAATTAATTCAGTAACAAAATGCCGATATTTTTATCAAAAATGAAGTCTTCATTAAACGCCACCGGAAAATATCGTTTCTTCTTTTGTTCTTTCACTTTTCTTTCCAGTTTCCAGCACAGTGCAAGAAAAACATTGACAAATGTGGTTACTGACATAAGAACTACTATCACAGATGTAGTTGAATACTTATCATCTGTAGAAACGGGCTAGATAGACCAAACTTATTTTATAGAAGAATATAATTGATCATTTATTTCTCTATATAATCTGCGACTCTTTACAAACTGTCAATTGTCATTTAGCAATGAGCAAATACCAATTATTATAATTTTTGTGGTTGTGGCTCGTATTGTCCGTAAAATATATAGTTACAGTTCGGATAAAATACCTAACTACTAAAGATTAACTTAACTCAAAATGTATTCAAGCGACGATTATAATGAGGTAATGATATAACTTTTAAAGATAATTTAGTACTGTTGACTATAACCTATAACTCGATATCTTTTAAATATCTTCAGCATTAAATGTTACGTTCGCGTATTAATGGATTGTGTATTAAATTTCTATAAAAATCTGTATTGCCTAGATAGCAAGCCGTTTTAATTATATGAATACTTATTAATACTGTTAACTTCATTAACCAAAAAAAGATATTTCTCCCAATGCATCAATTAATAATGCACTGATTGTTTATATATTTAGCAACTTATATTTGTGGTTACTTATTCCCCTATATTTTACCACCAATTATTTTTTTTAGGGTGGATATGAATCGCATGGTGATTATGAACCACATACTGGAGATCCTCAATATGATCTTGATCATGATAGATCCTACTATCAAATGCCGGAAATGGTATGTATAGCTTTAAACCTATATATCATAATTACTTATTTAATTGGATATTTCACTTCTAAGCTAGTATTGGGATCTGTTAGGACACATATTGAAAATTGTTAGAAACAATGTTCTTTTTTGTTGATGACATAGTTGACCAAATCTGCTTCAACAAAAATATACTATAATTAAGTACTGTGTCTTGATATTTTGTTTACTTATTGTTATATTTTGGTACATGAAAAACTGTTTTGTCATTGCTTTTGCATATTTTAGGTAAAGAAATTCCTCATCTACTTCAGGAACATGATCAATGAGGGTGTTACATATGAGATTCTGAATCTCTATGAGAATACATTCCCAAAATTAACAGAGCAATACTTTGAAAATACACCATGGCCTGATGAGAAAGAAGTCTCTCCCATCGTTGATAATGATCATGTAAGTATTAAGGTCTTAGGGAGTTTTACCTATTTATTATGAATATGTAATATAATTAATAGTTCTTGAAGATTTAGAAAATGTTACTTGCTTACTCTATATTCACAATCTTCTTTTAGAGTTAAAGGCTAAAGACTTTCCTAACAAACAAACACACACCACCCTCCCAGATCTTAATTTAAACTCATCATTTTATACAATTTTCAGGTATTCATGATCCTCTACAAGGAGTTATATTTCCGTGATATATATGCGCGAGTTCCGGGGGGTCCCAAGCCTGAACAGCGGTTCCTCTCCTTTTACAACTACTGTGATCTGTTCAACTACATCTTATCTGCAGAGACACCTGTACCATTGGAGCTACCTGACCAATGGTTGTGGGAATTGATTGATGAATTTGTGTATCAATTCCAGTCTTTTGCGCAATACCGGTTAGTATAAGTTAGCTCTTGAAAGGTTTTTATGAGCTCATTAGAGTAGACTTTGAAATTAAAAATATATATATTTACAGTCTAATTTTGTTTGTGGTAGATCTACTTATGTCATAAATTTTTATATCCTTACAGACAAGTGGATCCATATATTAAAAAGAGCTAGCTTAATTTAATCAATATTATTACAGTGAATATTATAATTTAAAATAAAATGTAACAGTATAATGTATAATGAGTATCAGAAATAAGATAATAGTTTAAACTTTAAAGTACTTGATTTTTTTTACGTTAAACACTTGCGTAAGATTTAACTAAAATAGTAATATTAATACTTTATTGCAATAGAAAGTTTAGTAATTAAAAGACATGCATTGTCATGTTAAATGTGTCTTATAAATTGTTGGTTTAGCAAACAAGTAGTAATGTGAAACCATTTTTTATTTCCAGCTCTCGCACATCAAAACTAAGTCCAGCTGAAATTGATGCTCTCAACACTGACAATAAGGCTTGGAATGTTCTTTGCATCCTAAATGTTCTTCACTCCCTTGTTGACAAATCTAACATCAAACGCCAGCTTGAGGTACTTCTAACAATAAAGAAGATTGTTATGAATTCATCCTAGTTTAAATCAAATCTTATTCTAAACTTGTTAGTCTCCATCAATGAAGTACTGCAATGATGCAATGTTATTGATTTTTTACAGGTGTATGCCGCAGGCGGTGACCCTGACTCCGTTGCTGGCGAATTTGGGCGTCATTCACTTTACAAGATGCTTGGATACTTCTCACTTGTAGGGTTATTACGCTTACACTCCTTACTTGGGGACTATTATCAAGCAATCAAGGTAATTATATGCAGACTTCTACAAAGATATATCTGAATAAGTTGTTTCTGTGTGTGTATATAGATTTCTAACCAAAACTATTTAAAATACTGTCTGTACTTTTCTCGAGTAGAACACTTTCAAATAAAATACTTAAACGGTTTAAAACGGTTAAAATCATTTTCAAATAAGTTTAACTAATGTATATCGCGTTTTAAACCGATTAACTTATATTTCAATTTAAACTTTTTTTTCTACAAGTACCTTTTCAAACTTTATAACTTTTCACTTGTTGGTAATTTCAATATAAATAGATTTTTTTATTTATTTTCGTCCTAACCTTCGTATTTAAATACAAATATTATAACAAAAACGACTTAATAAATAGTCTTAAATTTACTTGGAAAAACAAAACATGTTCTGAGGATTGTATTGTGCTGTCTTTTAAAATTAAATTCTTAATTAATTGAATCATTACTTTTGAGTGAAAGTAGGTCTTGAACTAGAATTTTTTTACTTTTTAGGTTCTTGAAAACATTGAGTTGCACAAGAAGTCCCAGTATTCACATGTGCCAGCTTGCCAGATCTCAACGTCGTACTACGTTGGCTTTGCATACATGATGATGCGGCGTTACGCGGACGCCATACGCACTCTCTCCTCTGCCTTACTGTACATGCAGCGTACGAAACAGCTGTTCTCATCCCGTTCATACCAGAACGACCAGATCAATAAGCAGACTGAACAAATGTACAACCTCCTCGCTATCTGCTTGGTACTACATCCGCAGTGCGTCGACGAATCCATTCAACAGGTAGTCTATAACTTTGTGCTAAACTGAATGGATCTTGATGAATTTTCATAGATAGGATAATTCCTTTGTATTAGTACCATAAATATATGACATAATTTCCGCTCTAGGTTACATGACGTAAATGAACATTTGTTTAAGAAATGCGCACTTATTTACTACCAATAATGAATGAATCCCATTGTAGGTGTCCTATTCAAGCTCATAAAATTCAATTTTTCATTACAACCAGGTGCTCCGCGAGAAGAATTACCACGAGAAGATGTTTAAGATGCAGTACGGGGATCTCGGAGAGTTTGAGAGTTGTTTCACCATGGCTTGTCCTAAATTCCTCTCAGCTTGTCCGCCGCCAATTGAACCTGGCTCCAACTATGGCCGGGACGCTGTCAAGCATCAGACACAAGTCTTTATGGATGAGGTAATAAAAATCATTTGATTACTCCTACAGAGACAAATAACTATGCTTCACTCAGCGACTTCGTTCGCCCAGTGTAGTTATTTAGGGATATCCAAATTTGAACTTTGACTTTATAAAACTAATAAACTTTCTAAATTAAAGCTGTTACCCATGACATCGGTCCCGTATTTCATCATTCGAGCCCCATCGTTTTTGCAAGATAATCTTAAAATGTAGACATAGTGTCGCAGACATTTTTTTGAATCATTGAAAGAGGAATTATTCTCTCATTGCTATTTTTTGGGTCTCTTGAACCGATTTCGCAGCGTACGCGTAAATCCACAAAGATTAATAAATTTTCCCGTTTTTTCTTCTCTGCTATTAATCGCAGTGTGATAAATGCTCTAACAGACACAAAAAGATTTTTTCAATTCGAACCCGTACTTCCTGAGATTAGCGCGTTCAAACAAACAAACTCTTCAGCTTTATATATTAGTTTAAGTAATATATCGCGTTTTAAACCGTTAAGGTGTTTAATTTAAATGTGTACTACTCGCGTAAACTATAGACAGTATCTAATTTTTTTCTTTTATTGTTAATAGTGTGGATTGTTTTTAAATTAAAACATTTCTTCAAAACATTTCTATACAAAGGCCGTCTAAATACAGTATAAAGTATTTATAATAATAGTATTAAAAACTCTTTCCCTTCAGGTCCGTCAGCAAAAAATGCTACCTACAATCCGTTCATACTTGAAGCTCTACACAACCCTCCCACTCGCTAAGTTGGCCGCTTTTATGTCTGCTGCACGCGGTGGAGACCGCGAGGCTGCTCGAGAGCAGGCTGCTCTTGCGATTCATCTGCTGTGCTTCAAGCACAAGATGAAGAATGTAGTATGGACCAAGGGTCCAAGTGGACTCGACGGAAAGTTCCAAAGTGGTTCTGAGGTATGTTTTATACTTTTTATGAGGTAATTACTTCTCAGCTCTAACAACGTACGCGCTATTTTCTACTTATTTAGAACTAGCGGCCCTGTCCCGGCTTCGCACGGGTAGACATAAATAAGTACAGATATTAAAGTTATAAGCATGCTAATCAAAACGACCATGAATGACTAAATTAGAAAAAAAATGTATTTCGCGTCCTAGCTGTTAACGACCTTTGTCTATCACGCTGTGTCAGGAGCCGCTGCGAGCGTTCAGTGTCAGAGTCCCGTGACGCGTTCGCGAATTCCTAGCTCTATTTCCTTCAAGTCGCTAAGACGAACTTGCGTTTTGTTCTGCAAAACGAACCTGAACATTCGACGATAGATTCTCTGGCTTGCGATTGGGACGCGTACACTATAATACTTTCCAGATGATCGTTTTAGGAAGTTAAAGGATTTTTTTTGTAGATATTGATATATTCTATAATATTGTTTATTTTGTCCTATCATTAATACTTTTCGCAGCGTATGCGATTCTTCGCGTCTTTCTATACATTTTACGGCAAATTTTTTTACGCCTTCCGTTGGTTTTAGTAAGAAATTCTATAGATGCCTATAGTAATCAAGTACTAAATATAGCCTATGTTACTCAGTGATAATGTAACTTTCTAATGAAAAAAGAATTATTAAAATGGGTCCAATACTTTTTGAATTTATCCATTACAAAATACAAATCTTTCCTCTTTATAATATTAATATGGATGTATTTGGGTCTAAATAAATTTCTTGTGTTGACCGTTTAAAGCTGAATCCAAAATAGGTAGTTAAAAGTGAGTTAATAAATGTAAAAATATTTTTGTGAAACACACACATGAATGGTCGTTTAAAAAATAAAACTTTAGTCATTGTGCTGTAAGTTTGTCCGTTTTTTAGAACTCTTTTGATTAAGATTCCGCCTTTGTAGCCAAATAGTTAAACGTATTGCCTAGCATTGCGTTAAGTGCAAGAGGTCCTGGGTTCGAATCCCAGGGAAACAAAAGTATTTCGGTCGGCCTGGGCACAGAAGTCTGATCAACTACTTGCCCGTTAAAAGAACGGATCAGTAAAACGGACACAGAAATGTGTTCGCCTCATGCCCTACGAGGGGGAAACGGGCTTTCCTTTTTTTTATGATTAAGATTAAAAACTAGTTGCTAATTTAAATTATAAGATGAATACTAATAAGATTTGTGAAAATAATAAATGTATTATTTCAGTTGGACTTCTATATCGACAACGACATGATCCATATCGCTGACACAAAGGTGGCACATCGCTACGGAGACTTTTTCATCCGAAAACTTCTTAAATTCGAAGAACTCAACCGAAAATTACACCATATTAAAATCTAAAATACACTTTTGTAAGAGATTAATAAAATATACTTATTTGTAAAAAGTGTTTAATTTTATACTCTCGGCACATAGCGGACATATCTTGGCTTCCTTTTGTAGAACCTTTTTGGTTCAATTATTTTGAATTTCTCTCTTTGAACTGTGTCTGGATGGGGTTCTTTGAACTGCTTCCATGGATCTTCAATATTAAGAGCATTTTCAATGTCCACTTCTTTCAGCCAGTTGCAATAGAAAGTTTTAAATCTTGCATACGCTGGAACTAGGTAATTATCGCTTTGCGACTCATTGTGCTGAAAAGAAAAATTAATTTCACAATCAGGTACACAGGTTCCATCTGCTGATCAAGTTTTACTAAGTGAATGCAGACTTATATGTACACTACATATAAATGAAAATCAAAATACATAATGTATGTTTTCATTCTTATATTTTTATGCATGCAAATTTTGATTAAAGTCTCAAAGCAATATGCAACCATACTAAACCAACCATAATAAAAATAAATACACGAGATATCTTACTACACCCCCCCCCCTCCCCCTTGTGTTATTTTCGGGATTTTTATCAAACCCCCCCCCCCCCCTCCTTTCAAGCCTCACGTGATTAATGGACAACCCCTAGGAAATATGTTCAAAATACCTGTCTTACTAGCTTTTCACACTTTTCACTAAAGGTTTCTAAATGTTTTATAAAAGTATTATTCACTCTGAGATTGTCGTCCTTAACAAGTTTCATTATGTATACAATATAACCAAACTTGAAATGTGTAGTTCCATGTCTTAAGAGCGTTCCTAAGATTTCTATGTTTACTCTGAAAAGGTAAGTATATGTTTTGATTATTTGAACTTCATTTTCTTATACTAATATTATAATTTTAGTTTGTTTCGTTTAATTACATCTTTATATTATGGATAAAGCTTTGAGCTTCTTTTCTTCCCAAGTTGTTGGGAAGACATTACAGCGTAAAAGCAACCCATAACACTATAGTACCTAGAAGACTGATAAATGATATATTTACTTGAGTTGTTTCTCTTTCATTTCATTTAAAAGTTTTTCAGCATCCTCTTTAGTCTTACAAGCCATAGCCAAAGATCCATATGTCATTATATCCACTTTTAATCTTCTCTTTTTATTGAATGGGTGACGTTTTCTAGATTTAGATTCCTCTTCTATGATGTCTTTCACAGCCTGTAAATTATGTACAAAATTATGTATAAGATTATCATTGTGCAAGGAAGAGATATTAATTTATTTTTAACCAATCATACTTACAAATGCATTATCATAATCCATTCTTAAACACCGTTTTTTAATAAGCATGTTATAAAATTCTATATCGGGTTTTAAATTTATAGCTTTAACAGTAGCCAGAAGTTTATTTTCTGCTTCTATACTATCATCAATCACAGATAACATTTGTGTAAATGTTTTGATATCTGGTTTTACTGAGTATATTTCCATCTGTCTCAAGAAATCGTCTTGTCCACCGATGATAGCAAACTTTTCTTGGACACTGTGTACTTCTTGTAATCCACAAACTTGATCCAGGTTAATTCTTCTTGATAGTAAGTTGGGAACACTTTGTTTGGGCACTATTGGTAGATTATTTTTATCTACAAAGTTTAGTGTTACATTTTCATTAACAACAGTGATTTCCTTTGGTAATATGTCAGCAGATTCTGTAGTTTGAACATCATTTCTGATTGTAGTAATAGTATCATTATTATATTCTATGTTGCTATCTATTTTAGAGTTTACTTGATTTGTTGCTGCAAGTAACACATTTCTTGGGGCTTTGTCACCAGCTGTTATTTGTAGTTCTTGGGGTTTAGTAGGTATAAGCCTGGTCTCTTGAATAATATCAATTAATTCTTCTATATCATCCTTAGTGCCTAAATTACATTCCTTAACACAACGAAGCATAAGATTAAAAGAGTATATATTTGGTTTCTCCCTCAGTTTTAACATCTTTCGCCAGACTATAAGTGCATGCCTTAAACCTGATTCTTTATCAGAGATACAGGCATGTAGTAAGTGATTTAATGTATGAACACGTATTTTAATTTTCTTTTCTATCATTTCATCTATTAATTTAAAGGCCATTGGAAGATCTCCACATCTTCCAAAAGCTTTAATCATGACATTATAATTAGTCAGATTTGGTTCTATACCTTTCTCAATCATTAGATTTCTTAAATTTCTTGCAAGCTTTAAACCATTTTCTTTAAAAGGACTATTAATACATGACTGAAACAGACATGTATACGTATCACCGGTGGGTTTTAGTCCCCTTTTTTTCATATCATTATACAATTTAAAAGCTTTTTTTAGTATAACCTACATCTGCACAGCCACCTATTAGAATATTGTAGATGTAATTCTCAGGTTTGACTTGGTCTTCTTTTAACATTCTCACTTCTAAAATGTCTAAAGCTTCTTTAAGTCTTTTATTATTTAAATATTGTTTTATAATGTCTGCGTATTGTTTAGTAGAAAACTGTTGCGATTTCAATGGACGGTTTGTTAGAAAGTTTTCTTCTTGAATATCTCCTTCATCTTCCAGCTTGTCATCAGTTATTATGGATCTATTTGAGAGAGTTCCAAAGATGTCTGGGTCTTCTAAATAGGTTATGTTGTTTTCCGTTTTATATTCTTTTGCGGCGTTCAATTTTTCGTTTGGTATACTCGTTGTGGACATCAAATTTTGGCGAACAAAACTAACATAAGTCTTGTTTTTTGTTAGTATTTTCACAAAATTCAAACAACGTGAAGCCATTTTCACAACATTAAAAAAGTAAAAAATATTTTGACCAATTTCATTTACTGTTACTTAAGAACCAGTTAATTATAACATTAAGAACAAATCTATGTTTATTTGAATTTTAAATCTCTATAAAGAATTGAGGATTCTTATATATTGGTCTATTTACCCGTTTGGCGATCAAATATTGGTTAATTGTCATTATTATGTCAGATGTCATTTATCACGTGTGTAAACACATGAGAAGTTTGAATTGCATGCTTTTCGGCTCTTTTATTGTTTAAGTTTTAAAAGTTTATTGTGTTAATTAAATAGTTACACTTATTAATTAAAATGTCAATGGAAAACGATGAGCACATGGAAGCAACTTCATCAGAAAGCGAAGACGATGACATGGAAGAAAAGTCGGAGAATGAAGATGACGACCGTCCCAAAACATTTCTTCCCGGTCAAGAATTAAAGGAAGATGAACAGCTAGTTTGTGATCAGTCCGCTTATATTATGTTGCACCAGGCTCAGACTGGTGCTCCATGCTTGAGTTTTGATATTATACCGGATAACCTCGGAAATGATAGACAACAATTTCCTATGACAGCTTATTTGGTCGCCGGTACGCAAGCATCCAGTGCACATCTTAACAAGTAAGTTATAAAATGTATGTGTGTAAACGGGCTCTTATAAACATTTACATTTGAAATGAACTTCAACACACTGCTATTCAGATACCCATTTCATATTTGAACCATCCGAGTAATCAACTGCTAATAATTATTTCAGTATACTTGTCTTCAAAATGTCAAACTTACACCAAACTTCGAAACCTGAAGATGGGGAAGAATCTGAAAGTGAAGATGACGATGATGAGGAAGATGAAGATGAAGAAAAAAAACCAGTAATGACATTTGCAGTCATCAAGAACCAAGGATGTATAAATAGGATAAGAGTATGTATTGAAAATATTGAGATAGGTGATCTTTTGGATAATATTTATATAATTATGTTATATATTTAATAATTCTACATTATAAATTTCAGGCAACAAATTTCAAAAACTCAGTATTAGCTGCAAGTTGGTCTGAGTTGGGTTGTGTAGACGTCTGGAATATTACACAACAACTACAGGCTGTAGATGAACCAGCGTTACTGGAACGATATAATCTTGATACAACTTCAAATCCTGTTAAACCTCTATACTCATTCAATGGCCACCAGCAAGAAGGCTTTGGATTAGATTGGTGCCCTACAGAACCAGGTGTAAGTTTTGCCTTTTATAACAGTACTCACTCACTCAGGGTTTTGGTATCAATAAGATTTGGTATAAATAAGAGTTTTGGTAACATCCCTTCATAGTACTTTAAGTCTCAGCACTCAAAGGGGAAAAGGGAGAAAGAGTATATCCCAAGCCAAGTATTTAACAACTTACACTTGAATATATTTTTCCAAATAAATACATATTTATGTACTTACTAACAGCTTATATAAATGATATGACTGACTCTTTCTTTTTTCTTAGAAAGTTTTTCACATTTAAGACCAATAAAAAAACTTATTGGAATTGATAGGTTTTAGCCACAGGTGATTGTAGAAGAGATATCCATATATGGAAGCCAAATGAAGCCGGTACTTGGACAGTAGATCAAAGACCTCTAGTAGGACATACAAGTTCAGTAGAAGATATACAATGGTCACCTAATGAAAGGTAAATAAAAATTTAAATAAATGCAACTTAAATAATACATTGGTAAAATCCTTCACAAATTTATTTCATTCCGGATGTAAAACATTAAAGCTAAGGGCCTATGTATGAAACATAAAAAGTTAACACATTTATTTGTAAATATGAGTTATATTTTTAAACATTACACTTTCAGAAATGTGCTAGCATCATGTTCTGTTGATAAAACTATAAGGATATGGGATACAAGAGCTGCACCAAGCAAAGCTTGCATGCTAACAGCTGAAAATGCACACCAGAATGACATAAATGTGATTTCATGGAATAGTAAAGAACCATTTATAGCTAGTGGTAAGTTTCTTTTATAAAGATTAAAAGACATAGACAACTCACAATTTATAATTATGTGACAGTTGTACCCAACAGTATACTAGTTGAAACCAAATTACGAAGTCATGTTATACTATTTTGTTTGCAAAACATTATCACTTTGTTGAAAGACTACAATAATGTATCATTATTAAATTTGATATTATTCAACCTCTATTAAAGCTGTATATGTATTAGAAAGATCGTTTACATTTAAAAATCCATTTCATACTTCTAACTCTATAAATACTTGTATAAATTTATTAATGCATTCAATTTATAATTCTGCTGCCCAGTTTTGTGTAATTTATTTTTATTTTAAATTAAACATTTTCTAGGGGGAGATGACGGTTTCCTTCACATCTGGGATTTAAGACAATTTCCAAATGCACCAGTAGGTACATTCAAGCACCATACAGCACCAATAACATCAGTTGAGTGGCATTGGTCAGAGGCCTCAGTAGTTGCTTCTGCTGGTGAAGACAACCAGGTAGCCCTTTGGGACTTGGCAGTAGAGAGAGACGACGACGAAGTCGTAGAAGAGGAATTAAAGGTATCCTTAGACAAAATCCAGCTAAATGGATTTCTATGCCACAATTATCTTGATGATAAATATGGTGCAAAATTATATAATATCACTTTAAAGGCATATCAAGTAGCAATCGACAATTCTTTTTTTTTACAGAACCTCCCACCGCAGTTGCTATTTATACATCAAGGTCAGACTGATATAAAGGAGCTTCATTGGCACAAGCAAATACCAGGTGTTATGGTCACCACAGCTCACACTGGATTCAATATCTTTAAAACAATTAGTGTATAAAATAAAACTATGTATTTACAATATTTTGCTTTTTCATATAATATCACAGCCTGTATAGTAAAATTATTATTAGAAAATATATCCGAAAACTGATTCTAAATTATGTTGAATTTGAAGAAACCATTGCTAAATTTATTAAATGGCGAATCGTTGGCCTCCCATGTGGGCAATTCTGGAAATAAATTTTATAGTATGTAGTTTAATGGTATTAAAAAATATGAAATAACTATATATATGTATACCCAGGGTTTGTCAATTTCAGCCATGTGGTCAACCAACTGTTTCATATCAGCCCTACCTAGGGCTGTGCCTATCATTACAGATTTTCTGCACGCCCTAGATGCAAACATAGCTCGGACTCTACTTGGCCTGCAATACTCTGATGGTGACTCCTGAAAATATTACAAGACTTAAATTTATTTTCTATCGGGGACACCTTTGGTAGGACGGGTGATCAGTCCACGTTGTCAGCCGACCATTTCACCCATTTCCTCCTTGCAAAGATTTTGGGTCATTGGGGTCATCACAAATTTGACCTTTAATAGGTAATGAATGTAATTTTTTAGACTACAGACCTTTATCATAAATAGAAGTTCTTCTATGTCATCCTTGCCAAAAATCCAATTTTTGGACATTGGTATTGTCAGCAATTTAACACGTTTTGTGGGCAATGCATTTTCTTCTATTTCAAATGTGAATCCATTTTTCTTAAATATGTCCAAGTTATCAATCAAAATTTGTTCATTCACACCTGTTAGCTCTAACTGCTGAGGTCTAGCATGTAAAGAAAAGGTAAGGTATAATTACCAGTTATGTGAAGTAAATTTAAAATATTAATTAAACTTATTTTAAAAGAAACCTACATAACTAATTTTTGGCTTGTGAGTTCAGTGTTTTTCTGTAGTGTTTCAAAGTTATAAATCTCATCACTAGCATGTTGATCAATAATAAAAAGATCATCTTCCAACCGAGTTATAATAAATCCTAAATTAAATTGACCAATAATCTGCATCTGTTTAAATGACCCCTTCGATATTTCCTTGCTCAACTCTTCCTCGCACTTCTTATTAAAAACTGGATCAATGCGGCTTCTAAACTTAAGTCTTTCTGGCAAACATTTTTTATTGTTTTTCTTATATATTTCATTCAATTGTTTTATATGGTCCAGGGATGTTCTGTAAGGAACAGACTTTCTTTGGGATCTTCCTAATTCGTTTTGATCTGTAACAACTTTTTTTGCATTTATTATTTGTTCTGCCAATATTGTTTTCAACTACCATCTCTTTGGGACTTTTTATTTTACAGTATATTGTATGGGAATCTTCACTAATTATATCTGAAATTGATCTTATTTGCGTTTCTGGCAATTTATCAGATGATTCTAGATAGACAATGTCTTTAGTTATATTATTTTTGTTTTGACCCACATTATTATTAGTAGCTTTAATTAAATCTATTACGTTATTACTATCATCCACATTTACGCCTTTAACCTTTGATTCTGGTTTTTGTATTTGGTCATCATCACTACTTTTATCTTCTATAGCATCAGCAGAGTCATTTGAAATATTTGAATTACTATTCTCTTCACTTTTTATTTTTAGCTTTTCATCATGTGTAATTTTCTTGGTTTTTGATAAAAAACTATCTAAGAGTATTGTGGATTTCCTCTTTAAATCAATTGATTTCTTATCACTGTGCACATAATTGTTTTCATTTGTTTTGTCTTCTTTTTTACTGAATTGCTGCATGAATGAATTAAAAATTGTAGGTTGACTTAAATTAGCTTGTGCCCCTTTTGAAAGATCAATACTTGTAGTGTTTAATTTGAATGTACTAGGAATATTTTCAAATAGTTTTGTAAGTGATGCTTTTAGAACATCTATAATTCCTTTTTCTTTTGTAAGAAAAACCTTTCTTTTATCTGGTGTTACATTTACATCTACTGATATTCTGTCTATATTGATATTGAGGAAAACAAATGGATATTGGTTTGAATTGAACTGTTTATAGGTTTCATTAACCAATTTTATAACTTTAGTAGGCTCACACGGTCTTGAATTGATATAATAGAACTGTCTGTCTGTACTAGATCTTCCACAACCATGTTCACATGATGAAATAAAACCTTCCAGGTCAACAGGGCTTGGCATGTTTTTATACCCATGGGATTTTTGAGATAATGAAAATCTATCACTGTGTGATGTTTGACTATTACTGACTTCAGCATCATTGGAATCTTCAGATAAGTCTATATCTACATCTTCTATTTCTACAGTTTCATTGGTTTCTTTAACTTCCCCTGATAAGCCTTTGAAAATATTTTCTTTAATGGTTGATGCAAGTTCAGTCTTAATTTCAATTATATTTTGTAATTGCTTATGACCAAAGACACATGCAATGTTGTCTTTATATGATAGTGACCCAGATGTTGCTACGACAACAGATTTGGAATTAGAGCTAGTTTGGTTGCTACAGGTTATTCTGAAAATAGAATAAATCAGATTCATTAAAAAAAATTAATTACTATATACATTCATTCATAGAGTACTGTAATACTTACTTTATTCCTTTTGATATTAAACAGTAAGCATATAACAAGTTGGTCATTTTATTAAATTCTCTTTTAGAGTTTTTATGGAATTCCTTTTGTCTGACGGGGAGAGTATGAAACAAATTTGATAATGTTACAGTTGTTCCTACTTGTCTTGAGCATCGAGTCTTGCTAGTAATATGGCCTTTATGATCGTATTCTATTTTGGTAGCTATAAAGATAATACTATCAATACCACACCATTAAAAAATAATATTACACAACTCTTATAGGCTGAACATCGTAGTTGTCATTACATATGTTAAAGGTTAAAATTACCATATTCACTGCTTCCATGTCTTGTGGTAATTGTAAGGCTAGCTAAAGAACATAAAGAGCTTAATGCCTCTCCTCGAAATCCAAAGCTGGAAACACCAAGTAGATCTGAATAGTCACTCAATTTTGAGGTATGGTATTTGAGTGCTGTAACATACAAACAATTCATATAATGTTTTCATATCACACATATATATTTAAATAAGAAGTATTTAAATGAAATGACTCACTCAAAGCTGAAAAGTTATCTTCAGTTACTCCAGATCCATTATCCGATACTTCTATAAGATCAATGCCATAATTTTTTAGGCGTATATCAACATTCGTAGCACTTGCATCAAGTGAGTTTTCTAATAATTCTTTAACAGCAACTGCTAAACTCAGCACAACCTAATAATTTTAAATGCACTTTAAAACGAACAACTTAGTTAATGCTTCATAGAAACGTTGAAAACATACCTGCCCCGAGCAAATTTTGTGCACAGTATCTTTATTTATGGGTTTAATACATTTTTCTTTCTTTTCCATGATTATTATAATTGTTTACAAAGTTAAATAAAACGGATTTCATAAAGTTTGGCGCCAACTTATTATATTAACAATAATTGATAAAAGGTTTTGATTGTTAGCAAAGAAATAATAAATTGTTGTTAACAGATATGTATATAAGTTGGTGTCTTACACGAAAATTATTATAAAAACAAATAAAATTATGATGAGCTGATTCGCTTATGTATTTGAAAATAAAACATTTACATATACCATACAGATGCAAAATATGTTAATTGAACTCCATGGAACTGCTGTGTACATGTTATAATCTGTACGTAATATATGGAAGTTGAACTGTTAATGTCAATTCGTATAAAAAAGGTTTTCAGAAAAGTCGAGACTGTTGTCGAATTTCCTTCTATTCTATTTATTTATGTTGGATAAATGTTACTGTAATTGCAAAAAAGCGGCGTTTACCAAAGAAAATGTCTCTTAACACGGCTCACGCCGATCACGGTGTGTTAATTCATTCTGGAGAATGGTAAATATTTTCATATTATCATTATTGTAGATTGTACCATCGTACTTCGTAGAACTGTAGACATTTGCCTATTGTAGTTCCAAAACTACATAGCAAAAATATGTACAATCACTACGCATTATGGCCGTGGCGTAATTAAACGAGGACGTTATTAGTATAGCGGTAACAATACTTATTATAAAATAATAAATCAATAAAAGTGGTGCAATCGTGACTCATACAATGTAAGATAACGTCTATAATTTGAATAGCTATATGACTAGCTAGATAGAATGACATCTTAGTGAGAATACGTGATACATTTACAGCAAACCATTTTATTCGATATGTGTATATTTTCGTTTCAGTATAATTTTATTCTCTGACAATGTCACAGTGGAGTTCTATGGAAATGATACCCCCCAATTTAAAGGGCCTAAAGTTGGTCGCATGTACCTCACAACTCACCGAATGATATACAACTCTAAAAACAATACAGACTCCTTGAGGTCTTTTAGTTTTCCGTTTGTTGCATTGCAAGATGTAAGTATATTGATTGACTACATTGAATTAAAAAGAGACTTTCTACTGAATGGTTTATGATTAATGATGAACCTTTTCTAGAGAAGTCCATAATACTTAATGTTCATTGAAAGGGTAAACCAGGAAAGCTCTATACTGTAATGGTTCATTATTACTATTTAGTTATCAAATTCATTTGCATTCATAACAAACAACAATAACAAGGAATAAATTTATTATTTAATTACTTGCAATTAGAAAAAAAAAACTTTGACTATTAGCTTACGCAGAAATTGGGATATAATATTTAAATAGCTGGTGTTATTTTAAGGCACAATTACATTACGAGTCTTACTCACTGTGAGTCTTTATCAGTTTGCATTATAATAAGGTCTCTATGCTGCAGAAATAGTAATATTGTTATATTATTATGAAATGTAGGTCACTGTGGAGCAGCCAATGTTCAGTGCTAATTACATCAAGGGAAAGATTCACGCACAGCCAAATGGAAACTTCATTGGTGAAGTGAAATTTAAGCTCACATTCAAATCTGGAGGTGCCATTGAGTTTGGAACTGCGATGCTCAAAGCAGCACATCTAGGTATTATATATAACCATTTTTTTCCTCTACAGCAGTTCTTTGTTATTATAAAGTGCTTATCAGTTTGATAATACTATGATAAGCCAGCCTCTTTGTCCTATTGTGATTAAGGAATATGTTATTGCAAAGAAAATGTGTTCAATTGTCAAATGTCCATTTTTATTTATCAAAAAGTGTAAAATATTAGCATATTATCGTCTTTCGGGCTGTTCGGCCGACGTGAGCGAGAAGGGGTTCTCGACGTTTCGCCATTACGTGAGGACGGCATCATCAGTCGAGAACCCCATCTCGCTCACGTCGGCCGAACACCCCGAAAGACGATGATATGCTGAACGATGGCCGTGAAAGCCTTAAACAATTTATGTAAAATATCATTGAAAGATTTAGTAAGTGTATGTTTTGTTCCTTTACGAGACATCATTTTGCTCTGTGTTTATTATAAAAATTAGTTATTGATTAGGACTAGTACTTAATTCCTATTAGTGTTATTAAAATAAAAACATTTTACTTTGTTGAGAAATTTCTAATTATATTAATTTTTGTTCCATATAGCATCTCGTCATTCTGACCCCAATGCACCACCTCCGCCATACACAGCACCAAGTGGGCCATGGTATGCTGCCCCTCCACCAGCATATGCCCCACCTCCTCAGGGATACTATGGCTGGGTCCCACCTTACAATGTAAGTAAAGTACTTATAATAAAGTGTTAGCAAATGTTACTTACATATAGTATAATAGTAGTAATGTATACTATAACAAAAAATTTGATAACTAATTTTAATATTATTTATATTAATGAATATACTACTACTTTCTTCACCTTAGGCATTCCCAGATCAGCCAGCTCCGAACTCCGTATTCATTGCGAACAGCCCGCCACCGTACCCAGGCGTGATGGGTGCGGCTTACCCGGCTGGCTCTGGCTTCTCAGGTAACGGAGCCGTGAATGGGGCCAGTTACCCAGGGGCACCACCTAGTTACCCGGGTAACAATAACCCACCCGGATATCCGGGCAATGCGACCGCGCCCCCGCCTGGATTTGCAGGTGGTTTCGTACCTCCACCTGGAATGTCGTCGAACGGTAAGTAATTTAGCTGTAGTATACATGAATAGCTAAAACTAAAAGTAACTTTAATTCAAGTCAATATTTCATTGAATAAGTTAAACTTATATACTTATGGCTGTTTTTAAATGTAAAATAAAGATTTTGCTTCCAGGCCAAATTTGTTAAAACAATCCTTCATGTATGCTAAGAACTTTGGTATTCGTAATCTAGATTATCTAAAATACTAGAATAGGTAAATGTATTGTATAATTATTGCAGGTCTATATTTTTTTTATCCTATATGGTGTTGAAATGGTACAGTGGTAAATTTGACCTTTGGTTTTGTATTTAACATTTAACAAATGTTTGTGCTAGAGTAATTCTGGTTTTGATAAACTAATACTACATGTAATAAATAGTTTTCGACATATATTTTAGTAAATAGCTTGCTGTTGGTTTAATAAGAGTTTACTGTAAGTAGTTATTGTAATGTATAAGTTGCAGTAGTTAATAATATTTCAGATGCTAAGGCCGCTGAGGCGGCTCAAAGCGCTTACTATGACCCAAACAAGCCCCAGACAGCTTATGTACCACCACCATACGTGAGTAATTTTATTTGTCATATTAAGGAATTATTTTTTTATTGAGTAGGCAACATTCGTGGATCTATTGAGCAATAATATATGTATATTTTTTATACTTTATATATTTTTGCTTTATTAATGACGCCTTTCATGTACCTACTCTCGTAAGAACCAAGTAAAACTACGTAAAAGATGCCTTAAAGAGGCCCTAGTCCACTTTTACTCAAGGTCAATCTTATTGCTTCTTTATATTTAGTAGATTGTATTTACAATAACTCTACTTCTTTCTATATGAGGGTACAAGACACGTGTCCTACTCATCTTACTAAAAAACCTTCTTTTTCAGGATCGCCCCCCGACCTATCAGGAATCGACATCGAAAAAAGAGAACTGAAGCACTGTCCACATTTCCACATGAATGTCCCGAAGAGGCAGATCACATTTGCACGGAGGGCGGAGAAAAAGCACTATCATCATTAATTCGACAATACAGACAAACATGAATTCCCTTATTTAAATCAAAGAGGTATAATGATTAGATCCCAGGTCTATCAACACATGAACAGTACTATGCCACCCACAATTAATATGGCAACACTGAAACAAATAATTTTCACTAAATTAGTCTCTCGGCGAACAATAGTAAATCGACAATTAAATAAATCCCAGCAATATATTATGAATTTGTATTGGCCGACCTGGGATCTTAGTTTTGAATCGGTCCACAAAATTACGCATTGAATCAAAGATTTTTATAACAAAAAAGAGATGGGTAGCTATTGACGATGTACAATATATAAAGTTTGCTTTAAATGATGTTTGTTAACTTAATTATTTGGTAAATTGATTAATAATAATTGATAAATGTATGCGATACGTGTTTAAATGGCTTCACATTCCTGATATTTACTATAAATTTATACCAGGCATGAATGGCTAAATAAAATCAAAACTGTTTCAGTACATAAAACAGTACAATATGATGGAAAGAGATGAATGTATTATTTAAAATAATACATGTTGCTAACTTCATAATGATTTTAAAATGTTATAAAAAATATTCTTTGGTTATCGCTTATATAAAAGGCTATCGTAAGATCTCGCAAAGTATTAAGAGAGAAGCTAGCAGTGTTATTGCATTTTGCAGCCGTGAAATTGTTGCGCAAACAAATAGTACTGTTGCCTCGTGTCGCTTCGTAAATGTATTTATTAATTGATAAATTTATAGTAATATATAATGTAGTTGTTGTAATAAATTTATTATTCTTGATGAGTTTTGTTTTATTAATGAAAAATAATAAGCGACGTACTTATGACACCTAGAAAAATTGTATTGATACAAAACACTTTTGTAAAAGTCACTGTTTTAGTGCTTACGTAGGCTAATTTGTTTGTAGCACCTTACAATTTATTTCTGAAAGATGGACAATACAATAGCAGAGAAGAAAAAAATAAAATCTATTAAGTATGAGTACAATAAAACAATTTTGTTTTTATAGTCTGCGATGTTTTATACCTATTTCTTGAGAACTGTCCATCAAAACATTAAAAAGAAAGGATAAAGAAGATTATTGATGTCATCATTGAAAATAGAAATTCAACAATACAAATTCGTCTGTCAGAAATGAAAATTTTTTGTGTCAACAAAAACCAACAATATTTGTTCCAATAACATGATATAAATTGATATACCTCTCAATATTCAGATAATAGCATGGGTAAGTCTTTTTGCTAAAGTAGACTTTGCATTATTGCTTAGTGTGGAACAGCTTTGTACAAAAAAGCCTTAAGTTTGTAGATAAATGAGCGCCTACATAACTTGCCACTTACGTGAAACTTTTCGTATACAAAAGTTCAAATGCGATTTTACTTTATATTACAATATTGACTTTATCATTAAACTTGAAAAGGCATTGAACTTTTGTACAAAGTTGTATATAGACACTTTTTATTAGCAATCGAACATAGCTACAATAAAAATTTCTTTCACCCTAGACTAAAAAGTTGGATTTACGGAACCTACTCTGCAAAATTACAAACTACCATGAGTCAGTACTGTAAGTATCCTGATTGCTAGCCTGTGATCTTAGTAGTAATTTTATTTTCACATTTACGCGATGGTGCCCTTAAAAACGAAAAAAATTGTGCTGGATCTTTTAAAATGAAGGTAAGAATTTTTCGTTAGTGGCAAGTTGGTAGTGTGCTTACATTGAACATTCGACATTTCCAGGTATCAGAATAGAGTTTTTTTTATTATTTCAGATTAACAACCGTACTAATGGCTCCTATGTCACATCCTCCTTGCACGCCATCAGCATCATGTATTCCAATTCGATGTCATCCCACACCACCACCTTGCCAGAACCCAGAAAAATGTCTCAAGAAAACGATCTCGAAAGGCATAAAACCATGCAGGAGCGCCGTATCTATTATGGCAACACGATCGAAGTCCAAGTGTGCAAGTTGTGGAAAATTGAAAGGCGCCTCCGATCCCAGAAGCGTTAAAGCTGTAGAAAAATTCCTAAGTAGAAAATCGAAAGAAGCTAAAATGAGAAAGAATGATAGACTTAAGGGAAGCAATTCGTATCTAAATTATACAAGAAAGAAAGGTTCACCTAGATCAGAAGAAGCCTGTTGTCGCGGAAAGGGTCATAGAGGAAGAATGACTAGGGGGCGAAAATGTTGTACTATCTTATGATATCTCTGTCCTTGTGTAAACAGTACTATGCCAAAATTATAAATCTAGTAATTTTTATAAAATTTATAACGGCAATCAGGCAATATTTCATCATAAACAGCAATTAAAAATATTTAAACCGAACGTTTATTTATTTAATTGCGTTATACTTTATTGTAAGGAAAGTGTTTTAATTATATAAATATATATGTAACAGCGATTTTGTATAGTGATAAGCAACTGTAATTATTGATAAAAGGATTTTAAATTTATTCTTATGATTCTTCTAGCTGCCAGGAGTATCAAACCGTGTGTTTCGGCGCCTACATGTAGTGTACACAAGCACAGACCTCGACCACCGCCATGCCAAGATCCCGAGAAATGTTTTAAAAAATGTAGTAAATCTAAAAGAAAATGCCCAAGCGCCACTGAAACTATGAGCAGGCTGGGATCGCCTTGTGAATGTGCAAGGGTTCAATCTAAAGATTCAAGGATCAGCAATAAGTATAGTAATAAAACACATAGAAAAAGAATACAGAAAGCTTATAACCGGCGCTCGGCGGAGTCACGATGGAGAAGAAAAAAGAAATGTTGCACAATATTATAACATATCTATTATTTCTCATTAAGTTATATCTCAAAGGTTTACAGCTCGTAAGCCAGTATTAAAAAAAACTGTTCCGAAATAAACAAACTGATTTCATAGATTTTTATATTTTTATATCATTTTTCTTTTACATTACATCTCTACAAATTAAATCTAAATACGAACTAGACTCAACTTTTTGTAAACAAACTTGGAAAACAAATTTGTAGAGAATTTCCCAACTCATCTAATGGAAGCACCATGGTGCTCATGATCAGTGTAGATTTTACCCGCCAAAATGTTAAAAATGGTTACAATACAATATTCGTGTAGGCTTGTAATATCCTGCCGATTTAAAGTTAAGGGTGAGAATCTTTTGGTCAAAAAAGGTTACCCGCAGTTTTGGGTTTAAAACGATGCACTTCTATGTTGAAAACAGTATAAATAGAAATGGATAGTAAAATAAAGCTTAGAAATGGTGCATACGTTTATTTCGTTGTTCATATAAAAACATGCTAATAATAATTTAAACTATTATTTGATTCAAACGTTCAGAAATTCGTTATATAATAATTGGTATCCATCGTAAGACGAATGTATGATACATATCTCACGACTGGCCAAAAAGGTAAACAAACCTAATAGACCACAAAAACGCATAACAGACGACGCCATTTCTAACATACTATTATAATTCTATGGTTCTTAATGCTCGGATTAAATCGAAATTTGAGTTGAAGGTTTATTTCGAACATAAAATTACTTATATGAATATAATCTATTCATTCTACTATCTTTGTTGTTTTCTATTATCATAATAATTTTGAATGATGAGTTAATAATATTAGATTTGGCCGTCGTTGGGGAAATATAATACATATTATTAACTGACGCGAGTATGTAACTACTTAAACTTCGTTTGAAATATTAAAAATATATAAAATTTCAATAGATCGTTACTCTAAATCTATTGCTTGTATTTAATATACAATATACATAAGATGTATTTATTATTTTGGCTAACCTCAAATTTGTCTATGGTCATAGGAAACTCGAATATAAACTGTGGTCTATAATGAAGACTATACATAACTGTGCGTGTCTATGCGTGATCGAAGATTTTTTCTTATTAGGATTGTGGTTAACAAAATTATTAGTCTGTGCCTGTGACTGAAGGATAAGTGCGGCTTCATTGATGTGTATAAAATTAATTTATTACCAAATTTAAAAAACCACATAGTAATACGTTTATAATAGACTTTATGACAAAATCCTTTAAACAGTATTTTACACATCTAGATAACAGTAAAGTTCAAGTCATACTTTATTGACTTTCATCTTGAGAATTTCTAGCTTTCAAATACCTACGTACTGTTTTGATTCGGTCGTGAAGGTGTAATGGATTTTAAAAGATAGGGCTAGTAATACGTAAGGAAAGGTGTTAATAATCAAGTAAAGTGTGATATTGTGAACAAATTCATATACTTATGTGGTTTATTCTTGCACTGATGTGGCAAACCGGATTGCACCTAGGCGGAGAAAACGTGACGCTGTTATAAGGTCAGCATAGCTTTTCTAATTTCTATTAGATTATTAACATATTTTTGAATAATGTATTGAATATTTCCTGCACCCAAAATTTGTTAATAACGTTAAGTGAATGCTATAAAAATAAATACATTTCGTATAGTTTTTATATATAAATGTATATGCACTATATTCAATATCAGTATATTGAGAGATTTCATTGTATGTATTATGTAACTAATAATCCGAAAATATCCGAAAGTAAGCATAATATTAATTATTTACCTTATTTTCAATTAAAAGTAGTTGAAAAATATAAGTGGCATAATGTGTCTTCCTAAAACTATTAGGCCACAAAAAATCAAAATAACAAAAGAGTATTAGCTTTAGTATGTGTAATAAAGCAGACAGCTAAGGTATTCCAATAAGTAGTTCTAAGTATCAATATCCACTTGAATACATTTTGCTTAAAATATATATTTGATAATGTTTCCTTACTGTACATAATACTTTATTTTTACATTTAAGTATTTACACTTAAGTAGTCAATAATAATAATCATCATCATTTATTTATGAAAACATTGATTGGTTCCTAAATCTAATCAGTGTGTTACTTGGGTCAGTAACAATTTGATTTATGTTGTACATATTAGTATATTTTAGTAATTAGTATTAAGAAATAATAAATAAAATTTAAGAGAGTTAAATAAGTGAAACATTACTTATTTTAACCATAAATTGATTACAATTATTTATTGGCAATACTCTCATAGAGTATATTTTATAGTATGTGTTCAAAGTATGAAATAAAAATACATGAACAACAAGAATGTTCAAACTGAACTATTTCATATCTTAAAAGAAAATAATAAGCAGAAGAAGTCGATATCGAACAGATAACTGCTCTACAACAAAAATAGCATAAACTTGATTTCCTATAATTTGGATTCCTCTTAATGACAAAATTTACCATGACTTAAGGAAAGATTCATTGTGAGTATATCACTAAAGACCATTTCATATTGGATTGTTATTAAACAAATAAACGCTTTAACTTAAAATATTGCACCCAGTATCAGTTGCTTTATTATCTTTAAATAATTAGTGCTTACATTATATATTCTTTTGGGGTCAAGATCAATTTTTTTTATTTACATACATCAACAAATCAGAACACCACAACACTTACTTAACACATTATGTTTTTATTTATTACAATGTTATAATGTCAGTTCAGCTGTAAAAAAGGTTAGCAAAATTAAACTTGATACACAGTATTTCACTTTGCATTGTTGTTAATTGTAGCCTTTTCACATTAGAAACTATAAAACCCCTTCAGGGTGCAGTAGATTAACTTCTCCTCTACAAGGTAGAACTTATGTACCTACCATATGAATTAACTTCCATCCTCATTCTCATATTTAGTTGTAATATCCTGAGTCAAATAAAAAATAATTATGCTCATATCAAATATTATGCAAATGAAAATAAGTTTTAAGTATTCCCAATATTGATAAACGAAAACGCGGTAACCTAAATATAAGTTAATTGGTTATATTGGTCCGCGGGATATGTATAGGGGAGTAACGTGTTCAAGTGGCCGATGAGACTACCCTCCGTCCTCAATCCAGCGCCCTATACTCGATATCAATCAATCGTTTCAGAGCATTCATCCGTGTCAATATAGCGTTGCGAAATTGCGATCGCCCAGGGTCGAATATACAAAAGTGATTGAATAATTTTATATCTACCCTCAATTACTAATAACGAACTGAAAGGGTTTTCGAGATAATGCGTTGCATTCGAAAGTCGGCGAAAATTCGGGAGTGATGATACAGCGATTCAAATTATTCGAGTACTCGTGAAGTGCTGTGAGGTCAACGAAGACCAATAACTGAATGGAAAATAGTTCTCGGCAGTTTTTATTTAACCGCTGGGAAGTCAAAGGAAATCTCTCTTGTGTATTTGGTATGTAAATTATGAAAGAATTAGGTACACGAGTTGATATTTTATGTTATTCTATTCAAGTTTTTAATTTTTATGTCTATTGTCAAAATGGATAGTGTCCACTCTTACGACTGATGGAAATCTCCTAATTCTTAAGCTCTTTTAACATAGGAAACCTTTGCGCAAGAGTCAGTGAAAGTGTCAAGTCTTTACTAATTAATAATAATATATGCAGCCCTATCCCACTTTCACGTTTTACATGTTTAGATAGTGAGTAGTTTATATTTTATTTATACCAAAAAAATATTGGCAATCACACCTACTTGTCTAGATAAAAGATGCCCTTTGCGCTCGCCCCCTTTTAAGTAGAAATTAAGTATTCGTTCTGTCCGTCTGCTTCTTTCTAAGTACTTGTCCTAAGGGGCTCGGAAGTTCGTCTCTACGCAGTGAGGCATGAGACAGTGGCTTGCTCGGGTTGTAGTGCACTTAGCCGGAAAAGAATGGAATACACGGGCATGAGTGAACTTTTAGCGCCACAATTTTGTATTGCAACTGTGTTGCACCATGATCATATTTGATCTTACTTACCGAGTTTACAAGTTTTTTTTTTATTAGGGGCAAGTATGGAACACTTGATGGTGTTCGAAATACCCCAGCCATTTAAGATTTAAACAAGATACACTGTCGTCCTATTTTCGCTTTGAATATTCGGAAACACACAGTCTGAAACCGAAATGCGACTTCGATTGAAACATTATCTGTGGACGTTGGTTTTTAACCCCGACGGAATGTCGATATTTCAAAAGAGTTAAATGAAGACTATAGACAATACAAATGCACTGTAATGGATAAACAATGTTTTTATCGTGTTCTATGCAAAAATACTTAGATAATAATTAATTAGGTTAAAGCATAAGACAGGCTGGCGTCTTCACACAATGATTTTGCTATTTTTATTAATTACATTATGATGACACCATGTTATATTTAATTAAACTAGATTTGTGTTTTAATATAGCGCGTCTATATTGGCACGAGAGACTGCCTTTAAATTATGTTGCTACTTCCAATGAAAGAAATGTGGGTTATTTTTTTGTGGCCTTGTCTCCGCCATGCATATTTAAGTTATTATATGAGCCGTGTCGAAGTTTTTCTCACACGCAGTCTTTTCATTGTTTACCGAGTTAAGGATAGAGATGTTGACTAACTGTGTCCGCGTTGTTAGCCCTTATTTCTATTAATTAGAACAATAACAGCTTGAGATCAAGTCCCATGATAGGCCCAGGTGTCAAAAAATAAACAGTTAAGAACAGGCAAAAGAATAAGACTTGGAACCGTGTATGAAATATGAAAATTAGTTTCTGGTTCATCGTAATTCGTAACTTCCAAGATATTCGAATTTATTATTGGCTACTCAAGCATGGGGTCATTTTAACGGCATTATTATTATCTCACAGTACTATAGTTAGTAAATTGTCGAATGTCTAATCAAATCATTGTACCTAATTGATATTGAAGGTATTAAAGCTATTTTTAACAGCAATATTGACTTTAAAGGTCATTTTGCGTAACTCGATACGGAAGGATATCGATCGTACAATCAAATTCACACACAAAGTTGATAGTTAAATTTTCTTCTTAGCATGCTAATATGTACCTCTGTGGCGCAATGTTTAAATATAGTCTTTGATATAGCGTATTTATACAAATTTATTATTATTCGAATGAGAGATAAATAAATCAACCGCTACTGCTCTTAAAATACCTACATGTCTCCTTATATGGTATGTATTGATCATTAATGTTAACTAAGTACTTACATAAAAGCGACTCAAAAACTAGAACATCAATGATGTTTATATTTATAGACTGCGTTCAGTTATTATAGATCTCGGAAAATCCTAAACGATTGTGTATCTTCCTTTCAGATGGCAGAAGGGTTTCGGCGTGCGAGCGGCCGCGCGGCGTCTGGTGACATGAGTTGCGCGTCGCTTTTGTCTTGCGGCACTTTGTCTGTCGTGTACGTATTCCTTTGACTAGCATACAACTAGTCTAGACCCATGGTGTATAACAAAAGCACAAACAGTCGTCTGTTGTGGCGCTAGAGGCAGTTTAGGGCCTGTCTCACACTAGACGAATTTAAAACTGCGTAGTCTAAACTAATAATACTAGTTCTTTTTATTCGACTCGCTCTTTATATTGTTACTGTAATTTTTTATAAACACAGTCAAAATTGGTTTGAAGAGAGTTCTATTTTGGTAACATTACGAGCTACAAAGGAGTACACTTGTTGTTAATTAAAACAAATATTCTAATAAGCATTCATTATATTTTGCAATTATACCTTTCTTTGCACAAAGTTTTTAGACCTTAGTAAATAATTTTACTAAGGTCGCCTCGTTGTTAACGTACCGTTGTTGGCTCTATCCGCCTCTACACAAATTTGAGGCCATCTCCTTCTTTCGATGGTATAACCATCGGAGTCTACGCAGTAAACGGCCCCGTTCGCGATCTGGTTAGGTCTGTAGTTGCCATTCGGCTGGCACACTTCAGCCACCGACATTCCTCGCGCTGGGAAATGGATTCTCGAGTCACGCGCACAATCTGTGGAAGATGATAGGTGTACAATGATAATAATTTGCTAATATTGGGTCGTTGGTGTAATGTTAGCAATGTATGGTTAATAATCAACGGGCCCAACTTTTTCTAAAATCAATTTGTATAATTTTTCTGAAACATGTTGAAATTCGTCGTGAATTATGAATGTTAAACGAACCACCGTCCACACGAAAAAACCGTCAAGTTTAATCAGGTAGGTATATATATAGATTTCCGAATATCTCTGTCTACCTCTATCGTGGAAATAATTGAATTTTGAATTTTAAGAGCCGTATGAACTTGTCCGATTGTGTGAGGTCTATCCGTTATAATAATTCTGTTATAAGGTGAAGAAAAACATCGTATACTGATTGGTATTAGTAAATATATTGTCTTGGTTAGATTGTGTTCAATTTAGCATATTTAAAAACACCTTAGCAAAACTTTTATTGGTAACCGCGTATTAGATAGTTGATCCTGGCGCCACATTATCACACCCACAAATTAACGTTTATAAGGAAAATAGGCGCCGCGTTTGAATAATTTATTGGATATTGGCGTATCGGAATAATTAAATATTATAATGTTGACTATATATTAATAAATAAGTGAATGATTTATTTCCACTAGTAACTCCGACGCTCTACTCATGATAAATTTAATTTTGTGTGGTAGGGAAACTAAATGTAGGTATCTAACAAGATTTTAGGTTAGTTTATATTGAATTACATATAATATTATTTACGTAGGTATGAACCATCTGAAGTGAAAAAAATCCTATCTATACAAATGTATCGTTTTATAGCATTGAGCGCGATCGTTAAGCGCCAATAGTTTAAATTACAAATACTTATAATAATATCGCGTTTAGATTTGAAAATCTACATTTTAGTAATAACATTTTTTGAAAAACATTGATAACACAGGCAAGACCTTTGACTAGAGCGTCAAGTCAGTAAGAGCAATCGCGCATCGCTGCGGGGTTCGATATCCGCTCGTGTCATATATTTTTTTAATTTAAAATAGATTTCTAATTTGTACAGAGCTTATCACGTGATAAAAAAGCTTGAAGCTTTCATTTTCTCGGAATCGGTCGGGCGTCTAGGTGTGAGCGCAGATCCTATGCGCATTCCACCAGCCAAGAATGAATGGAGCCGCGTGTCGGGAATAGGGTCACGGTCGCAAACCGGTCGCCGCGAATTCGCTCAGCAATGCGTGTGCAGTAACGGTGTTCGGATACGTTTCCGCGTATCTCGTACTAGCGCTGATACGTAAACAATATTGGACTGAGTTGACGAACACAAAACGATGGCGAAGTTCAACAAATTGGTATAGATCGTATATACATAATAACAACAGATACGCCATTTCCAAAATTTTTTAAGTGAAGTATAATTATTGTTTAAGGGGCAAAATAATTATTTTTATAAATTAAATGGGGGTTGTGGGAATATCGATATTCCGTCCGGGTCACGAACCACCGTCCACAGATAAAAAGGTGTGAGGTTTAATCACGTTTCAGTTTCAATCTGTGGTTTCCGAATATCCAAAGCCGAAATGGGTCGACGCGACGGCTCTTGTTTGGATGCGATAGGGCTGGGGTATTTTACCTACCATCAAGTGACAGCTCTACTATAAAAAATATATATAAGTGTATATAAAGGCTCAACGCTTAAAAACATAACACTACCAAATGCTTCGTTGGTATTGTGCTTGCGCCTTTTGGAACATCTTCATCTTTATTGTGAGCTTCTGATCCACACTCAAAATCGCAAAACTTCACACACCCATGTCATTACGGACGCGGTTTTCAATAGGAAACGGGATTCTATTTATAAAAATTCCGTGGGATTTCTATTTTCGTCAACTTCCTTATGAATTCGAAGGTGGGGAGAAATATGGCGAGGGGCACATCGTCAACAATGTGGCGTTGTTAGTTGTTATTTGTGTATTGTTACAAATTTTAGAAATAAGGGACAAATACTGTCTATAGTTTACGCGAGTAGTACACATTTAAATAAAACACGTTAACGGTTTAAAACGCGATATATTAGTTAAACTTATTTGAAAATGATTTTTAACGTCGGCCCGACAATTCGGATGCTTTGCAGCAGCCGTGGTCACGGGGAGACTAAAGATGGAGGATGTCTCCATCTTTAGTCCAAATAAGTTTAACTGAGATATCGTGTTTTAAACCGTTAAAGTGGAAGTATATGGAAGTTTCGATTACTACTAATACTTACTGCAATTCATGTTATTCATCTCACTGACGATAGCTTGCCACGATCCCAGAATTTTTCCATCACGCCCCGTGCAGTAGGCGCTGAAACATTTTTTATAGTAGGTATTTTACAAATTTTCGTCGTCTTCAACGACCGTCTGTTTTGTAAGATACTGTCACAAGTGAAAGTAAAGAAAACGATGCTATGTCCATAGGTCGCAATTCCGTGATTTTTTTAAACAATATTTTTTTCTTGTTTCCCAGACACGGAAATGTATCAAGTGAAAATTGTAAATAATCTGAAGGAATCGAATACGTATGCAGATTTTGAGAATCTTTAGACTGATAGACAGTTATGAAAAATAACTTTAAGAAAACCGATAGACGGACCATTGCTTGAACAGACTTAACTTTCAACATCAGAATTACTCAGCCATTTATTATTTATATATGTAACTTTTTAAATGTATGCATATGTAAAAAGAATAAAAATATTATTTTTTCTTCTAATTAGTTAGAATTCGTGCGAGCACTGTACAGTCATTGACGTGAGTTCAGAACATTTAAACTAAGATTAGCAAGATTCGAAAGGCACTTACATTCCATTCTCGATTTGATATGCTCCATAACTTCCGTCGTAATCGCACACCGTTGTTGGATTACCATAAAACCTGGTTCCATGTTCCGATTGCTCCTTGTAGATCCTCGATAAGGAGGAAACTATACTCTCGCACCTCCTTAAGTACTGTTCGCCCACCGCCGGTCCACTGTCTAGAGTTAAAAACCGTGAAATATTGACTACTTAGTTTTATTTTGCATTTCAAAAGTGCAGCCACGTAATGATGTATGAAGAGACGCGTAATGAAGCAATTTAATAATTCACCGAACAATAATCGTGAATGAGTTGAAAATTGTTTACGTCCTGTGGGCAATTTGTCCTTTTAAGAGATTATGATGCCTTGAAAGCTAAAAATTACATTACAATAAATTCATGTGTCGGATTGACATACACCGCTGCTTCGTAGATTCTATATATTTTTTGTAAACTTGGCTACTATATCCGATTTCGTGTTGACATTCGCGCTATGACGCGTATCGAATTATCAATATTAAAAAGCTTTCAGTATGTGACACCTAGCACGAGTTTTATATTTCCTATCACAATAAATACTATGTTTCAAATACTATATGTAGTTTACGCGTGTAGTACACATTCAAATAAACGGTTTAATACGCAATATATATTAGTTAAACTTATTTTCGTCGTCGTCGAAACGTCGGGCCTTAGTGAAAATAATTTCCAAATAAGTTTAAGTAATATACATATATCGCTTTTTAAACCATAATAGTGTTTTATAATTAATTATTTATCGATAAATATCAAATGAGTATACGTAAATATGCATTAAATTGGCAATTTGTAGTGTTATTATCAAAAACTTTAAACCGTATGAATGAAACCAGATAAAATACTATTTAAACTTTGAACGGTCTCATTAAATCTCAATCTCATACTAGGGGTAACAGTATCGCATTACTCACAACAGGGCAAAAGTTTCATGTCCTCTTCGGGGATGGGGATGACTGTGGGTTGACCTGTTTTGGGTTCAACGCACCAGCACATGCCTTGGTTGCACTGCAGGGGCTCGTAGTCACCGTTCGCTGTACAGTGCAACGTAACTACGTGGCCCGCGTCCTCTAACTCTTTTCTTGCTGTGCTACACGCTTAAAAAAAAACAAAAACCTTTCGAATGGAGAATTACTTCTAGACGTTTCGTTATCACGGGTAAATAACGTAATCTTGTTGTACATTCTTCAGCTAAGCGAAGACTGTGTTGACTGCTTGACCGACTGAGTAAGAAGAATTACGACAACTATAGCTCGTAAGCCCAAAATAGCTTTGGCAATTGAAAATTTACAATTCGTAAAATTATTTTCGGCTACTTGCGTACCTATTTGGTGTAAATGGTATTGTATTGCTGTCTGAATCACAAATGGAAATATAGCTTCTATTCATAATATTCTTATGCCACAATATATAATACCTATATTAAGCGTATTATATACATATTTTACGTCAATCTGTGGTCACATAATATGACATTGACTTTTGACATGTTTAAATTGAAAAATATTTATTTAATCAGCTTTTTAGAATGAAATTTTTCGTCGCGTCTTATAAATTATTTGTATTTTCTTTGGAAAGTTCAAGTGTATAATCTTCGACATAACTATGGAGCAGGTTAGTGAAAAGACAAGCACGTACCACAAGTCATCTCGTTTGCATCGCTCCTCCACATTTGTCCAAATAACCTCTGTCCCTTCTTATCCGAGCAGAAACATCTGTGTATTGTTCAAATATTAACGCCATAACAATAGTGCATTACAGTTAGTACGATAATATTATAGTAGGTATATATAGCTAAGAGTACCTACTAAGAACCTATGCAAGTCAATTATCTAAAGAGCTAGTTAATGAAGGAAATTACTCTTATAATAATTATTTTGTTTTTTTTTTCATTTCAATTTATAATCGATTTTTTATTTATATTGTACAATAACACGTGGATCATATTAAAGTTCTAAAATTACCCTTGCTTTAAACTTTCTGTAATTAAAACAAACGAAATCGCTTGTAAGATCCCTTCACATATAGCCGATGTTACATAGTTATTAAGTATTGGAATACATAGTGACTGTTGGTAATAATTATTTTTATTGATTTTACCTAAACGGTGCACGTCTAACTATTGTACAATTCCTGTCGGAAATTTCGTAACCCACAGTAGAAATCGCGTCGGATGTTCCAGAAATGGTGGTTTAAGTACGATTTCATAATGTAATTAACTTGCCTGCCAGTGAATCTATCGCCTTTGCATTGAACGGGCCCAAATGATCCGTCCGGTAAACAGTTCGCTGGGGGGACGCACTCATCGTCTAGGCAAGGAAAAATAAGTCACTTATGAAAAATAAAGTCTAAGTTGTGAGAACGATAAAGAACGACTGCGATGTCTCTAGTATGTCAATTCGGCTCCTAAGTTTTTTGTCAAGCTGCAACTTTTACAGACAACATATGTTGTTCAAAGCGATCTGAGATAAAACTTATAATAAAAATCGAGAAAATTTCGAGTTACACTCCGGGATAAGCTGATAATTGTAATACATACTAACAGCCCTAAAACAAAGCATTTCCAATCTCTTTTCAATATTCACGTCGTCCATAGTATATCTTTAAACATTTTATTAAATGCTCTGACAAACAGTTATTGCTTTTATATTGCGGTAGTCACGTATTAAACGCTTAAGCCAATTACCAAAGAAGACCTCTTCGAGATCGCCGTCGTCTCCTGGCGCATCTTGTGTGCATCCTGGGCAACAGCCGAATATGTGCGTGTTACGGGTCAAAGTGAACCCCAAACCGCAGTCCGACAAATCGGTAATGCACGTCTGGGCTATATCACAACTCTTGGTATTCGTACTAAACACGTCCGCTAGTAAATTTGCACATATAACGGTTAGAAAGAGAATAAATTTATTCATTTTCAAGAGTTCTACATGACACTTATTGCAAACACAATGGTTAATTAGTAATTGAAATCAATTCAATATCAATTTTATCAATATTAATCTTATCACGAAACTATTTCAGTGTATTGTGTCGGTAGATACGTTTGTGTCAATGCATTTTTTTTACTACAAAAATGTTGTTTCATTTCCTTTGTTTATAATCGTTTGATAAATTACACAAACGATGCACATAAAAATTACAAACAAAATAAAATAGAATACAGTAAAGAAATTTTAGTTGTACAAGCAAATAGTATAACGATAAAGAAACTCTATATCAACCCGGCTTAGCCGTTTAATATTATGTATGAGTAAGACTCTTATCAGCGGTATCGCTATCTCAAGTTAAATTACGCGGTACACGGCAGAGTCAGGTCGTGAGTGATATCGTCGTGTGTGTTTGCATCGAGCGCCAACAACCTGCGCTCTCTTCCTTATCTCCCTTATCAATTTCACATTCTAAAGAAACGGCCTATTTCGACTATTCACTTGTGTCATGACAGTGTTCGGTATTATTTACTCAAGCTGGACTATCTCTTTTCCAGATCGGATTGAAGAGGCCGTATCCGGCCAGCATGGAGGAGAACAAGAAACGTGTACACGGCACTAAAGTTTCCAAAATTGCAAATATATTTCAAGGAATGCCTTCGCGGGACGACGAAGACATGCGGGGCGCTGACGTTACGGTTGTTAGGACCGAAAGCCACCTGGCGAGGTTTAATAACGCCAGGGCGTTGTTTGAAAAGTTGGGCGAGGAGAACCGCGGCTTTCGGATCGAGAAGTCACCTTCCGCGGCCGCAAGCTTTGCTGGCACCCGCGGCGTTTCACCCGGAGTTCCATCTCGCTCTCGTTCAAGTTCTGCAGGCTCCGTGAGCCCTCCCAGAAGCCATGGCCCTCCACCCGCGCCGTATGGCTCTGCGGTCAACGGTGATAAATTATCGAATGGTGCTACGCAACCGCCGCCAAAACCGGTCAAACCTAGTGTACTCCCAAAGCCAGAAAAGCCTGATAGACGATTTAACAAAGAACTCATAGAGAAACAGCGAAATTGGACATCTCATTTTAATAAATCGCGCCCTAGAAGTGATAGCGAGAAAGTAGAGAATAAATTTATTAGTCAAGATCGAAAGTCTCCGGAGGCTACTGAAAGATACGTCGTACCTTCAAGGGTGTATTCACCGCCCCTTTCGCCCGACGCCGGTGACACGCATTTAGAGCGTCCGACCACGTTGCCTGCTGCTTTAATAAATAGAAGCGTACCTGCTGCGAAATCGCCTAGTCCTGTAAAAAACACCGCACCAGTACTACCTTCACCCAGATCCAATAGCGTCAAATCTCCCACCGTACGATCAGAAACGACGGTGTCGCCGTCTCCGAGGGGCGAAATTCACTCTGCTGTAATAACGCGTTCAGAAACAAGAACCCTAGAATCGCCGGAGAAAGATGATGCACGAGAAGTCAAACCGGCTCCACGTACCGACATGTATTCCCACGCTGCGAAGGTGGTAGATCGCGTGTCCACTATAACAACATCGACCACTGTGTCTGTGAGTGAAGGGAACTTGTCTCCCATTAAATTTCATAAAGTGTTACCCTCTCCGCCTATACGAATGCCAAGATCGCCACCGCCGCCAGTACCTGATGAGAGAAGTGCGCATACCGACAGTATTTCACCTGTGACATCGATCCCAGAGGAGTCATCACCGCCCCTAGAAAGTTTAGAGGACAGAAGTGAACAAGTTGATAAATCACCTGTCAAATCTCCCAAACCTTCTCCCCCATCGAGAGAGATGGAAAGTAGTCCTCGTGTGTCGCCGGTACCGCAAAGGCCAGATGTCTGTGACGTTGTGCCAAGAAGCTTAGAAGATAATGCGTCTTTAGGCGATTGGGAGGAAAAGGCCGGCCGCAGGTCCTCGACGCCAGAATCACCTGTAAACGTAAATGTTGAAGCACACAAGTCCCCTCTTGTTTCACCGCTGGCGTCTCCCGTTCACATTTTGCCACGTTCCACCTCCGAAGCGCCGGTTTCACCGTCACAACGTAAGTTTTAAACTATAGTTTGTCTAATATAGGGTAAGAAGTTTGTTTGACTATGTAATCAAATCCGTTGTTAATTTTGATTCACGGAAGTAGAAATAGATATGAATACAAACAAAAATTACGAGGTAAACAAACAAATACATCCCCTCTTATATTAGATAATATTATAGTACAACAAAATTTCGTGTACATACACTACTGAAAAGAATGCTTCAGAGGCGTGAACTATCAACCTTGTCGTCCTATATAAGACAACGTATAGTTGACGAACATTTTTGTAGCTGTTATCTGGACCTATCGCTATCGTGTAACTATTATCTAATGCGTTACAAAAATAAATTATATTTGTTAAGCACGCGTTATCAAAAAAAAATGGAAATTAATATTGTATAAACCAATTTTTTATTTATTATTTAATTATTTTATGCTAAAAGTTACTTTATTTGTCATTTAGCAACCCTGTAATACATAATCTCCGTTGACTAAGTAGAGGCATTCAATAAACAAATTACTTAGAGAAAAGTAGATTAGTTAGTAGTTAGTGTTATCTATAGTTACGCAAATAGTAGACATTTAAATGAAATACTATTTAGGGTTTAAAACACGAAATATATTAGTTTATTTATTTTTAATACAGTATAGTTATAGTTACGGATGTTAATCAGCAGCTTTGTAAAGGGGGAAACTTCGGGGTCTAAATATACTTGGCTCTTCAGAGCCAACGTAGGAGACGATCAGTGAGGTAACGCTAAATCATGTTATCTCGAATGTACTATGTGTATGGTTCTTATTCTGCACTTATCGCAGCCAAGGCAACGCCATTACAACTAAGTTACTTAGGCGACTCAACTATACCAAGAGTCACCAGTTCCAAATTATGTTCCGCTATTGGCGTAAGTGGGCGTGGATTGACGTACGTTTGGCGGTCTCGTGTTTAGCGGGTTCAATGTAATATTGAGGAAGTCAAGGTATTTGAGAAGCGAGACTCGCGAGTCGATCCCGATTTAGATGCTCGGGCGCCGCCTCCGCCGCGACGGCGCAGTAACTCGCCCGACCTCGTCCTGCGCGCATTAAATGGGACACTTAGCACAATTGATGTAAGCTTCAATTGCCTCGCAAACGCACTGCGTGTAGACCTGTGATCTTAAGTGCACGGGACAGTGGATGAGTGCATCTCGATTGGGTTTGAACGCTACGCTACATTCGCGCGTGAAGATAAACTTTCGCCATAACGACGGGTCATTCAGACGCCAATGCGAAAACTGCGCACTGATACTTGTATATACACTCTGTTTTATTTAGTACATTGGAGTAGACTTGCTAATGATGATCAGTGATCAGCGATGAGTGATGATGTTAGAAACGGTTAGTGCGCGAGAGTGTCAAAATACGCCGCCTAGAGTTAAATGTGCGCGTGAGTGTTCGCGGTTCTGGTGACAGCGGAGCACAATGGCGTGGGGGTGAAGCGAGGGAGGTGGGCCCGCACCGACGTACCGACGATATGCGCCTGTGCGGGTGTTGTATCGGTTAGTTTTAATTACGTACAATGTATAGAATTTTGAATATTAAGATCGGCAAAACCCATCTCCGAATCCCTGGTCTTGACAAAAAAGCACTATCCACTAGCATTTGTTTTACCATTTTCCTCTTAAATATTAAAAACAAATAGCAGCATTTTACTATATTCAATAAATGACCCTCAAAGATATTAGAAATGGCTGTCTCAATGCGTCAGTTGTTGTTGTGTTGTATTGCGTTAGCCGCGAGTCTGATCTTCTAGTCTGCAAGAAACTGATCTGCGGAATAGACACTGAACTCTTCTGTCCGATCGTTATTTTCTTAAGAAATTTCCTAGCCGCGAAACAAGTAGAACTATCTCAATTACCCCCGGGGATTAGAACCTGCGACCTCACAATTAAAAGCATACATAGCGATAAACCTCCATGCTATATCCACAAACAAAAAATCGTGCCTCTAAATTTATTTGCTAGTTTGAATAATATTTGAGAATATGTTATTGTATTCCGTGTGGGCAAAGATAAATCTCTATACGTGTTGTCTCCGCAGCCTATTTAGGAAGCTTGACCCAATAAAAATGCCAAAGTGGTTCTTAGAACCATAATCGTTATACAAAGCTGTTTAAGTTTATACAACAGTGTTTTACATAATGAGAAAACTTATTAGGTCATCATTTTCATATCGCCTGAAATATATACAGCCTTATCTGAACGGCAATAAAGTTTTTCATATCGGTGCGCTGGCAAAGTGAAATTTCTCTCAACGATAACTCTAATCTTGGCGTTGCGGGAATTCTAGAAAATTAATTGCAAACAAAGCCCCCATTGATTGTGGGACGAGTGTTAATTAACAAAGCGAACCTCGAGCTAGCCTGCTTCAATGAACTAAATTGATAAATAAAACTAACGAGCCAGTTATTTTATATACCTATGATTTAACATATATTGTAATACTGGCTGCGACCGCGACGTCGTCCACGTGTATGGCATTTATTTTTGTAAACAAGCTCAGCTTTATAAATTACAGCTGTTATTTTATTTCTGAGATTAGCGCGTTCAAATAAACTCTTCAGCTTTATATTATTAGTATATATGCACATATTATCAGTTTATAATATCTATTTAGTTATGATTATATAATTGAGGCGTTTAAATTAATTTAGTTTTAGAGATATTTCGTAAAATTTGCATTTTGGCTGCATAGGTAACTATGTACTTCAAATAACATAACGAAAGTTTGGATGGAGCTTAACTGGGATGGCTTCGAATAAACTTCAGAATTAAAACCTAGACATCGATACCATTGATATGATAAAAATGTTATCCTTTAGATTTATTTTTATATATTAGTTAATTTAGCAAAGATAATGTATTTATCCCCTGGACAGAACGACAACCGCCATTCTTTGAGTCGATGTAACTCAGGGGTGTTTTCTCTCATTTTACAAGAATTTTGTGCGAACTACACCACAAGTAAAGGTGTCTGTTTAAAAGGAAATAAAATCGTAATGATGTATGAATTGTAATATATATCTTGCTACACCTTCCGTAGTCCTCATGCAATTCTACTCTTCTCTATTTCTGTAACCAAATCAATAATGATATTAGAGTTTCAAGTCTATTAAACCTATACAAATGGAACATTGCTAATGTTTACTTTTTATTTTATTTAAACGCTGGTTGGACACATTTCTTTACTACAAAAAAAAAAAACTATAAAGGCTTTATTATTACTATTAGTACACATTTAAATAAAACACTTTTAACGGTTTAAAACGCGAAATGTATTTGTTAAACTTATTTACAAATTACCTTAACTACGGCCTGACGTTTCGAATACAACAGTAATTTAAATAATTTTTATGTTGTTCCCAATATTCAAATCCAAAATAGGTCGACAGCATAATATCTTGTTTCAATGTTATATGGCTGGGGTAATTCACCTAACATCAAGTGTAGTAGTAAAGTCTGTCTTCCTCTATCACGAAAAATGTTGGCCTATGAAATGAACATTGAAGAATTGCAGTATTATGATATTATGTTCAGATTATATCTCACGGTGTTTTTCAAAATTTTCAGTAGGCGGCGGTGGAAAGTCTTCTGAGGCAGATGAGGTCACGGCGCGCGCTCGATCCCGCACGTCGAGCGTGTCGGACGAAGGTGGCTTCAACGAACCCTCCCCGGAGGTGATGGCGAGGCTCCGGCCCGCCGAATACAGAGACCCACCGTTGCCACTCACGCGCGATATCCGCGATGCGGAACGCGCGCGCTCCGATCCGGATACGTTGTCTGTACAACAACAGGTATTATCAATTAACAAAAAAAAAGAAAATCCGATTTTATTTAATACGTTTTTGACGGGCTTGGTGAAATGGTAGTAATGTATGGCTAGTGATCAACAAGTCGGGGATTCGATTCCCACTGGGTCCAAAATTTTTCTTATTTTCTGGATATTAAATGAGTGGAAGGAATATCGAAATTTCGTCCGGATCCCGAACCACCGTCCAGAAATAAAAAGTCGTCAAGTTTCGTGTCGGTTTCAGCCTTTGAATTTCTGTATATTCAAGGTTAAAATTAAAAATTAATAAACCCCATTCTTATTTGTTCTCTTCTACCATAAAAAAGAGGTTTGATTAAAAATTAATTTTAACACAAACCAACCGATAACCGATCTGTTAGTTTTTATAATGGAGCCTGTAGGCCATTATTATATACAACTTATTTATTTTTTAATAAAGACCATTTTACAGTACGGTCAGTTTTAATTTCAGTGATTGAGTTTTGTTAAGGTTTACTGTACCTCGAATATATGAATTTCCAGGACTCGGGTGTTGTGGTGAGCGAAGCTAGTCAAGGCTCCATAGAAGTGCTCGACAAATCGACCACTAGCCAATGGAGCGTGTCGGAAGACAACGGCCCCGGCGATATGCGCGGCAGCGAGACCGCGGACTACGATGATCCGGACGCCAAGCAGCCGGATAGTATGACGCCCGACGAAGCCGAAATACTCCTTAGCTCCAGGTGCAAAACGCTTCTAAACACGATAAATAGAATTCGAGCACACAATTGGGCACTTGTATGGATCTAGACAACTAAGACTTATAAGTCATCGATATTTGAATATTCGCGCTGTTCAAAGAACTCTCAACTCAATAATGCCATCCGCTCGTAATGGACAAACGTCGAGACCCATTTATTACGGTCGAACAGCTTAAAATGGAAAATTGGCCACAAAATCGTCATAAAATTGATTACCAAAAGCTACGTGAAACCGTTTTTAATAGTAAAATACATAACACTAACAATTATTATCTTAATTTTTAAATATTGATAAAAAAGTTACTTTTTAAAATTTTTTGAAATATTTATGAAAAGAAGTTGTTTTGACCAATAGCACAATATAGCTTAGTTGTTCTGTCGGGCCAAGTACCCAATATTTTATTGTTTAGTGGCCGCTGTTTATCATTTTTTAAATTATAAATTTCACACCATTTTTTCGTATTAGATATGTACTTGCATCTTTTAAAATTGAGCTTTATTGAAATTGATTGTTTCTTCTTGAATAAAACACTGCCTATGCTGCACTACATAAAGAAATAATATATGCTATGTTTTATACAATTTTCTCTTTGTTTATGTAGTTATGAATGCCTATAGAGTAAGTAGTGCATTGTAATATTTTATGAAAATTGCATTGTTTTCGTTGCACGCTACAATGTATTTATTTTCCGACTTTTGTTCACGTGAATCTATCAGCGCATCGTGACTTCTATTGCGAGCTTTTTACTTAATTAAACGTGGATTTTTTATCATTTGCATGCTGCCTGCACAACGCTTCATTCTTGCCCGATCACATTGAAGTATTCTGGAGAAAAAACTTAGGTAAGCTTTGTGCGGTTCGAGTGAACTGCTCTTCTTTCGTTTGTGAAAACTCAATGTGCGACTTCCATTTTATTTTTTTCTTATTTACAATACATAAATATATTAAACCCTATATAATTGCACATTAATTTATATATTTTTAGTGTAAATTAAGACTAAGGATTGTTAACTGAATGCGTATGTAGGCAAGAAGCTCTGCTGTCTGATGAGCAGGCCCAGGAAATAGTGGCTATGTTGTCGCCTCATGCACTGCCGCATGACAATGGTGTATCGCTCAACGACAGCTACCAGTCCATGCTCTCATATGAGAGGTGAGTACAATAGATCCGGCTTGAAGGACCATACATATACCTTTAATTTTTCTGTCAGACGCTTTAGACTTATTTTATTTCAGCGAATTTATTTAAAAGACAACTTAAGAATTAACTAATTCAATGGCATTGAAGAAAATCAATATTTACAATCTGATTAGTGTGACTGAAAGTTATTTATGTTGATGTCTATTAACAGCATGCAGTCAGTGGACGAGAGCTACGAGTTTGTGTCACTCGAGGCGGACGCGGGTCTTGCTGGTGGTGATGCACGTGTCCAGACCTCGGAACGGAATGGAACGGAGAGACCACATCAGGACCCGAGCGAATCGGATGTCCAGCGTAACGGAACGGCCACTGCCGAAGCGGACTCGACAGAACCGGAAAATGTATTTGAGAGTTATCCGCCTAGAGCTTTACGAGAACTCGCGGAGGAGAACGGCATTCACTATTTTGAGGACGGACACTTTTACACTGAAGTAAGTGTTATTTTTTTTATTACAATTAATAGGTAGTAAACGCGCGCTTAGTATTATAACATAACAAAGTATCTTGTGATGGTCAATGTTTTTAAGGTCGATTTTTTTTTCAAGGTCGCTGGCCTCCCCTCAGTCGAAGAAGACGACGACGATGATTATTACCCACCAGTATTTGTTAAGAAGAGCAGTAGAGTTAAATTCAGGTGATTTCTAATTTAATACAGCAATTTATTTTTAAAGGTTATACACAATTTACTTAATCATTAAGAGTGACGACGTAAGGTTAATTGCCGAGTCTTCTTTAATCAACTGACGCCCTATTTATAATGGAATACGCTCAGTAATGCACGGTCTAGGCTGTACCGATTATTTAGTAGTTGTGACTTATGTACCTACATTTAATAGTTTTGAAATTGATCTATACAATAAATCCCTTTGTATTTCAAAAACTTGAATTCAGAACTATATAAAATATAAGTCCATGGTCCCTGAGTAGATTAATACATTTTAGAAGTTCTAGTTGCATGTTTTGCAGTTACGTAACTATGCTTAATTGCGAGTCTGAAAGCTTATTTTAAAGCTCCATCCAATCCAAAAAAATTGCAATTTTTTGTGATTTTTTTTGTCTACCTGAGCTGTGAAACTTGTTATGCTATATAAGACCTATTTTTTTTTATTGTTTGAATAAGCTGCTTTGGACTTCTTTTTGGAAATACATACAAAATACAGTTTCGAAGCTTTGATGTAATTACTAATTGTTTGGTTTTAGTACGGACCCTATGCGCGTCTTCTCGACGCACTCTGTCCGCGAGTACGACCGCCGTAACGAGGACGTTGACCCTGTCGCCGCTTCCGCTGAGTATGAGCTTGAGAAACGGGTCGAAAAGATGCACGTGTTTCCCGTGGACCTCATCAAGGGTGCTGATGGACTGGGTTTATCTATAATAGGTAACTTTATCCTGATGTGATCAATAAAACAAAACGCATTTCTTTTACTAAATTGGTCTTTATATGAGGCAGACACAAGAAACTAAGTTATGATTGATACACTTGTGAACACTTATCTGTGTTCACAAGTGTATCTTACCGTATCTAACCATATTTGGGATAAAGTTATCTAACTATTATTTTTAACAGGAATGGGGGTAGGCGCAGACGCAGGCCTGGAGAAGCTGGGTATTTTCGTGAAAACTATTACTGAGAGTGGAGCGGCCGCACGCGATGGCCGTATTCAGGTCAATGACCAGATCATTGAAGTGGATGGCAAGAGTTTGGTAAGATTGTTATGTCAATACATCACAGTACCCCCCTATGCCCTAGCTATATATTCTAGATGTTCTTTTTTTACACATACTTTAAAAGCTACATAATTACACAATTCTAAGAGTGGACCAAAGAATAAAAATGTTCAAAGATTTCATTTGATAATATTTTCTTTTGCAGGTCGGTGTAACACAAGCGTATGCCGCGTCAGTATTACGAAATACGTCGGGACCTGTGAAGTTCTTGATAGGCAGAGAAAAAGACCCTGAAAACAGTGAGGTGGCGCACTTGATCCGACAGTCGCTGGCCGCTGATAAAGAGAGAGAGGAGAGGTACATTTGACGACTGCGAATTAAGCATTTTTTCATTTGTAAAATACTTGTGTTGTGATATTCTTTAGTCCTAACAACTGTTATTTGCGAGTCATATATAAATGTGATATGTATTTTGTATCTGTGTTGCAGAGCAAATCGCGAACGTCAGCGAAGGCAAGCTGTAGAGGAAGAGGATACTCAGCATACGGTCGCTGAAGCAGCATCCGTTGTCCGACATCCTGATATCTTGCAACTGAAAGCGCTTGTCAATGAGGTATTCATTCTAATTACGAAATGCATTGTACCGCTATAAAAAAGTAACTTGAATTGCTACATATTGAGTTTAATTATTTAATGGGTCGTGGATTGGCAGCCTATTTTGCTATTCTAGAGAATATCTTTAACGGGTTACCCTTCTGTTTCGTTGGAGAAATCGTAAACTTTCGACTTTACTCCTTATACCATTCAACGTCTTAACGACCAAGAGGTGCTGTGTCAGGCGCCAGCACCGTCATCTCTTGCCCCGCACATCCTGCGCATGTGCTTCGCAAGCGTTGCGTTTAAAAACTCTAATAATTATTTTCAAACAATGTTACAGTATACTACCTACCTACAAAAGTTGATAAAATAAATATTTTCACTATTTTTCCTAGCGTTTATCAGATTTTTTTTTAAATTAAATGAATTATTTACAGTTAGTTGGTATGGAAGCCGGCGGCGGTAGCGGTAGCGAGATAACATCGCGCATGCGCGAATGGTGGACGCATCGTGTTCCGCCTCAGGATGACGCCGATCAGTTGAGGGATGCGCTGGCGCGGGCCACGCACACCGCTCGCACCGCCACCGACAAGTACGAGAAGGTATATGTCACTAACAGTCTGATAAAGCAATATTATGTATAACCCTTTTTTGTTGTAAGCAAAAAAATAATTTTTGAATTTAGTTTATTACCTAGTAAAGACTAGGTAATAAACTAAATTCATTTTTTTTTTAACACCCGCTCATCTAAAACAATAACTGTACTTAACTATTTGTTTAAGGTGTTAAAGTCCTTAAAATAAAGTTAATAAATTAAATAAGACAGTTTTAACGTTCAAAAATGCAAAATATTTAGTTCTATTTATTTTTTTCGTTTTTATTAATTAGAATGTGTTTCAGGCGAAACGAGCCCTGCGCGAATGGCGACGAACGAGATCGATGGTCCGCGCACGGGAAGAATGGTGGAGTAACACGTTGCGCGACGCGCACAGGGAATACGCGTGCGCACTGTCCGCGCTGCACGACAGAGTCGCCCGGCTCGAGGTGCTACTATTGGTGCGTATCTATAAAAACGTTTAACAAAAGAAACTAACGTCAGTCAATGATAAGATTGACCGCCCCCCCAATATGCACTTCGTAATGCACTGTTACCATTATTATTGGATTAAAATATAAAGAAATTTTCAACGTCACGCGAAGCTTGTTTACGTATCAGAGGGCGAGATTCCAACTCTGTCCATTAAACGATAATTATCACCGCAGGCGCATCGAACGGCGCAGTTGCCATCGTAACAATTAGGCGCCATTTGCTACAATGTTTAAGAATTTCTTTGTCTTTTGACCGCAATATTTTTGTAAACGTATTATTAACGTTCTGATTACAAAAATTGACTACTATCAAGTAGCCCATTTATATTCCGACGTTTTTGTTGATGAAGGACTTAAATTCTTTTGTTAAACAGAAACCTTTTTCCGGTAAACTGTTCCCAAATTCGCAAATACATAACTTATAAAAAGACTTTGTACAGAATCTTGTATAGAGTAGTTAAAACTTATGAAACAAAGTTTTTATTTACCGCATAATATATATAAATATCTTTAATAAATGCTTATCAGGAGACGCAAAAGAAAGCTGGTCTGCCGGTAATGTTGCCCCATGAGCCGTCAGCGCGTCGTGAGACACCGCCCTTGCCAAGGAAGGCTGATCCGGATCCGTTATTAATAAATGGTAAATGTTACCAGATTTAAAATGTCTTTTGGCTAATTGATAAAACATTGCCATATTAAATTCTCTTCATAATTTCGCTTGTGATAAGATGTTTGCTCTATAGTGTTGAAAAAGTGACAGTAACATACTGTCTGTATTTTACGCGAGTAGTATTTTACGTGAGTAACATTTAGTTACAAAGTTATGTAACTATTTAATATATCGTAACTTAAACAGTTAAAGTGTCTTTTTTAAATACATACTACTCGCATAAACTACATTCTGTATTTCATTAACGGTTTCGGTACGAGCTGGAAAATGAAAATTAAGTTTAACTAATATATATCGCGTTTTAAAACTGTTTAAGTGAATATGTTAACTTTTATTTCAGATCCATGGAGCTCAGACAGCGATCTATCCGACCTCTCGCCCATAGAGGACGAATATGCTAAAGTAGATAAGTCGGAGAAACGTAGAGAGGCACCCGATCTCGGGGACGTGACAGCTACCTGCGCGGACGCCACGCCCGTGACAGCGGCGCCCGTTACTACGCACGTGACGTCAGCGGCGGTTACTATTACGCCTGTGACGTCACACGCGCCCGTCACCGCAGCACCGCACCCCGCACTTACGGAAACTCTGTTAGTGTTTTGCATACCTTTCAAATGTATATTAGAATTTTTGGTTATTTATTTAACAGTATGTAATAAGGAATAACAAAGTCTCATTGAAACCGACCCAATGCACATATAATTTTAATTATATATCATGTACATTTAGCTCCTGAGAACTAGTGAAGAAATGTGTTTATCCTACTTTTTTTTCCAATCGATTTTTAATTTATATATTGTCATGTGCAAACTTGTGAAGAATGTAAAAGTTTTCCAACACTATCATAGTAAATTTATAATAACAAAATAAAAAGTTATTTTTTTAAATACAATTTGTGTTAAGCTCATATGATGTTTATAATTCGTCTATTTGTCCTTCAGGAGCGGCGGCAGTCTGTGCACAAGCGTTACGTCCGCTGGAACTGGCGGCAATGGCAGTGTGTCCGGCGAAGGCGGTCTATCGCGGGAGCTAGACGCGGCGGTTCCACGCTCTTCCCTCTTGGATACGTCAGCCCACCGCGCTCGCACGGACCTCGCCAGGCACAGGCATCACGCTCCACACTCGCACGCTTCACAATCGCCACACTCCTTGAGCAACGCCAGTTCGGTAATATATCTTTTTAACATCGAAAATAGGTCGATAGCACATCTTGTTTAATTGCTTATAGGCATGGTATTTCACCTACCATGAACCTTAAGCTCGTCTGTCCTTCTCTATTATAAAAAAATCTTAATCCTACTCTTTATTTCTACAAGTTGTCCTTAGCATGAGAAATAAATGTTTCGTTGACAAGCTGCCTATTTGCTTCTCTGTCATCATCGCTACCAAGTCGGCAATTGTTAGTCCTTTGTATTGATGGGTTGTGCGAATTTTCGATCCTTGGCCTTGATACAACCCTGGGTCTTAAGAGTTCTCTCGTATGAGAAAGAGTGTATTTGTTGTTGTTTTCAGTTCCGAGCGATTGCTTTTGGGTGCATAGATCTCATCATAGTTAGTGATTTATTAACATTACATCACAAATAAAATCACTTATGTTTTTTCGCCTTCATTAAAGTCGCATAAAATAAAATTCACGCCAAGCAATAAATCGATTTATTTCGTTTCAGTATGACGGTTTAGACGACTCATACAACGATTCGGCCGATGAATCCCTTAGTGAGTCCACGTCGGGAGCACCACCGCACACGTCACACGTCTCTGTAAGTATTGCCTTAAAACATCTCTATTAAAAAGCGATCGCAGGTTAAACTTATAGGTCCAAAGTTATTTTATAATAAATTCTATATAACTATATATATATATTAGTTTTAATTTTCGATTACGTTGTTTCCTTCTAACAACTACTATTATTTCACTACTTCTAACGAACAAAAAACATTTTGGTTCACTCATTGTATTTCCCATACATAATGCATTTAAATAATCAAATGTATATTTGAACAGCGCGAAGCTCGTCAAAGTTGCGGTAGCTCTGTCGGCAGCGCGACAGACGAGGGACTCTATTCGAGGGATCTCAGACACCATCCACTTTCTGGTGAGTCGGAATCAACGCAATACTAGTTACATACAAAGTGATATGTATTGAAAGAAAATATCATTGTGGTTTAAGGTCTAGCTTTCGCGCATAAAAGCAAATCTTTGAGAGTGGGGTGTAAGCTTTACCATATTGTGAACTAAGTTTTGGCGCTTTAAGTTGGATAGCGTATGTATAAGCAGGATGACTGTACTAAAGTCTGCGTATTTGTGTTGTCCACTTATCACGAGTGATTTATTTTTGCACCTCTTGTAAATAACAAATTGACTACTCACGTAACCTCAATCTACAGTGAAAATAAAACAAATTTAATTGAAACGCTGTTTAACGATGTTTTTAGTTTTGTGTTTTTTAGTTTTGTATGATTCTTGTTTAAATAAAACATTTTAACGGTTTAAAACGCGATATATATTAGTTAAACTTATTTGAAATTTATTTTTAACTTCGGCCCGACGTTTCGGATGCTTTGCAGCAGCCGTGGTCACGAGGAGACTAATTTTCAGATAAGATTAACTAATATATATCGCGTTTTAAACCGTTAAAGTGTTTTATTTAAATGTGTACTACTCGCGTAAACTACAGGCAGTACACGATTCTTGTTTTTTAATTTAAAGAAACCTAAATATTGAGATATTGTGTCATCTCACTGATATTTAAGTACGGTTTTCGTAGCGTTTTAGCAGATTACTTAAATTCGGTGTTACGTTACATAATATTACTTAAAACATTGTAAAATTGTAACTACGATGGGGCCCAAGGGAGTTCATAACTGTTAAAAGTAATTGTCGGGTAATATTAGGACCGGCAGCATCCCTCGCTGAACAGCTTAAGCAAGTGTTGGCAGAGCGCGAACGTCGTCTAGCTGGTTCATCGCCCCAGCCTCCTCACGCCGGGGTGCACGTCGCACATCCGGCAGGTCACGCCACCCATCCAGGACCCCACCAGACCCACTCGCTACCCCATCCAGACCCCGTGCAGCTCACAAACGAACTGGTCGATGAAATACGACAAGCCGTCAGCGAGGCGAACGCGAGAGGTACACGCGGATACATTGACTACGTTGAAATTCTTGCAAAGAAAATATCGTAAAATGAAGCTAGATTTTTGTGTATCCTATTAGACACGAAATAAACGGAAAGTGCAAATTATGAATAAAACATGTGGCATATTTTTCTATGGTTTATAAACTTGGTCCTTCGAGCCAGAAATTCTACAAGAGAATCCTTTATGTTTAACATCTATAAAAGTATAAAACAAATACAAAGTAACTTGAATCGCAGTCTGCAATTTCTATGTACTTAATCAGCAGCTTTGGTGGTGGTGGTTCTTGTTTTCAGTGGTTGTTTAAATATTTTATTGTGTTTTCATTTCGAGTTTTGTGTTTTATTTTTCTTTCATCTACTTATCTATCACTACGTTTTGTGTGTGTCTTATTTTTATAAATGTTGTTTAATTATTTACCTATTGTTTTATATGGCGCTTTTATTCAAAATAAATATTTCACTTAAAACGGTGTACAGTGAAGAAAGCTCCGACTTGTGTAGTGGACGGCGAAGTGTGGGAGCCCATTTCCACTGCGGTCAGCGAGGCTAGCCTGTCGCCGCAACCTCATCCTGCGCCTGTCAACCTGTGGACTAAGCAACAGGTGAATATAATTAGATTCATCATCGTCATCATCATCAATGACTGTATAGCCTCGTAATGGCTTTAGCGCTCTCCAGTCGTGTTCCGGTTTTCAATTAACAACTAATACTAACCCTGTAAGTCTATCGACTCCAGGCTAACGCAACTTTTTTTCCACCTGTAATAATTAATTAGTAAACGTATTTATTTGTATTGTATTGTAATGTTTACAAAACATTACATAAAAGTCTAAATTAATCCTTGAACAATTAATTACCTATATATGACTCAATTTCTGCTTAGTATTAAAACATAAATTCTCAGTTGTGTATAGTATAGCGAGGTTACAGAAAATTTTACCGTCCCAAATAAATAGTTGCTTGATAAAAGCGAAGTTAACCGCAGCTTAAATTCAATGTCAACGCACTTGTCACTCGTTTTTAAAATATGTTTAATGTTCAAATACACTCATTTTTGTGATCTATTTCCAGGTATGGCAGTGGATATCGAGCCTAGGGGAAGGCTTAGAGCGTCACGCTGGTGCGTTCGCGACCCGCGGTGTAGACGGCGCGTTACTTCTCACGCTCGCCTCCGCCGATCTCAAGCTGCTCGGCCTGAGCGGGGACGACCGTCGCCGTATGAAGCGACGCCTCAAAGAACTGCGCAGCGCCCATGAGAAACACCTCAAGGCCATCAAGAAGGCAGAGAAGAAAGCGAAGAAGAAATAAGCCGCCGAACGGATCAGTTCACATGTCGAAGATATTTAAGTCTAGCTGCTTCTACAACTGCCTCGCAGCTAGACGCAATTGTTCAGAGAAATTGCTTCTAAAAGTGAATATTAACAGCATACATCTTTAGTTTAACAGTCGGTTATGAATATCTTGGTGGAATTGGGCCGTAGAAAATGTTCTATTTTAAAGTGTCATCTTATCTACTTAAAGCATTTAAAGGTCTACATTATTGCGTTAAAAATGTATCGTATTGTGAACTGTCTCCTAAATTAATGTTAGCATAAGTGATAGTCAAATATACATTTACATTGTCAGCGCTATTGGAATAGAACAATAATGTCGATAGATACTTGTTCGATGTTTATTTTATACTTTCTTTGTAATTATACACAGTAGCCATTGTTATAGTTGTGTGGTAAATATATGACTGATGTTAATCAATGATGGTGGATGTAAGGGCTGGCTATTAGCGGTGCCATCTAAATAGTTTGTAGTGAGTTAGAGGCGTTGCGCTCGCTTTGAACGATAAAACGAAAGCAAAACGACACTATGAGCTAATATATTATGATTATGAATAGAACAGCCGATCGAAATAGACATTACCAAAGCTACATATAATATAAATAAACACCCTAATATATTTTCAATACTGGACTTCTTCGTTGTTCCTACATTTTGTATTATTGTGTCAGTCCTGTGGGTTTCGTCGTGAGTTGCGTCGCGTGAATACTGGCTCAATCTAGTCATAAGATCAACTTGTAAGATTAACGCGAACTATGAAATGTAAACTAGAATATTTTCTCTCGGTGAACATTTTTCAAATCTCTAGGATTATAACTCGTATGTATTAGTATAATTATCTGTGTATTCATCGATCTATTATGACTAAACTTATTAGCGTTTGGGAATTATTCTTTTCAGCATTTATATATTATCGTATTGCACAAAATGTACTTAGTGGTCGGTGACTGGGCGTTTTATGTCGTTTCGATGTAAAGCTATTGAGGATTATACTTTACACTGGTGATCTCAAATATATGCAGGATTGAACTTGCCACCCACACTACGTTCAATGCAAACTGGGTTCAATTTTATGATATTAATGCATTCAAAAAATAATTATCATCTTTCAGGAGAATTTGGTTAAATTTACAACACTTTGATGTATGTGAATATCTAATTTGGTCTAGTAAAGTTGAACCCGCGCCATCATTATTTGTAACATTCCAGCGATTCTTAATCTCTGTAGCTAGGTTCTTTTCTACTCTATCCTTTATTTTCCTAAGCTATGTATTTTGACATTTTACTTATTCGTATTTCCATTATCTAGCTACAAAGGATAGGAATTCTGCATGATTTTATCGTTTTGACAGGATTTGTATTAGACTATTAGTTGTATGTAATCGTTTTGTCTACGTTTATATTGTGCGTGTTTGGTTTCTTGACAGCTATTATTATGTAAATATAGTCTCAATACGGACTGAATGAAGGCGTGTTAAGTGCGTGTCCCCATCTGATTTGTGTTGATTAGGATTCTTGTAGTTTAGAACCATTAACAATTGCCAAAATTAATGTTTACTTTTTTATAAATGTTGTTGTTTTTTTTTTCTTTATATTATAATTTTCTTAAATTATTAATATATTTATTTTGGGACCAAATTAATTTATTATGTACTTGCAATTTATTTATGTATTTGGGTGTGTTCAGATAAAGATTTTTATTTAAAAATAAATAAAGAAACCAAAGTCGAAATGAAATTTGTATTTTATTAATAATATATTTCACGTACAGGAAAGGGTAAACAGTGAAAAAACAAAAACGTAATTTATGGTGTATTTTTACTTTTCAACTTTTTATTCCTACGTCTTTTCTTAGTTTTTTTAGCTGGTGGCTCAATTTCATTTTTACTTTCTGCATCATCACCATAGCTGATAGTGACAAATGCTCCTATTTTTCTTTTTGTTGGTGATTTCTCTTCATCAGACTGGTCGTTATGGCTACTTTCATCTTCTTCATGACTTTCATGGGCCTCTGTCTCTTTCTCATCATCAATATCTTCCTTTTTAATTAAATGGCTCTGCCTGTTTAATGTGACACATGTGACTCTGCAGGCTGCATTAATTGAACTGACTTCCTTTAATTTATTCTCATTAATAGACCAAACTTTGAGTTCACCTGAACTTGAAGAAGTATACAGCATGTCATTCTCAAAGAACACACACTTTACTCTTTGTTTATGTGCAGGGTATGTTCTCGCTTGAGTGTCAGATACACCCAAAGTTAATATGTTGCCATTTTCTAGACCAACAAATATTTGTTCATCACTACTCCATTGTACTGTAGTTGGTTTAGAATTGCAAGTAATTCGTTTTTCCAATCCAGCCTCACTGATTTTCCAGACATCCACTGTTTGTTGGGATATGAGGGAAAACCTATCACCACCTGGTGAAAATTTCACTTCTGTTGGCATTGTCACACCTTTACTTGCCAAATTAATTGTGAATGCTGGTCTGCCTTTAATTAAATTCCATGTTCTCAAGGTTTTATCACCTCCCAAGCTGAGGGCTAACTTGTCTGTTGGGTGGACGGCTATAGCTATAACCGGTGAACCTGAAAAAATATAATCAGGATTTTAATAATAAAAAAACTAAATTAAAAAAAGGTATTATTTAATCAAAAAGTAATTTACCTCCATGAGCTTTTTTCCATACTTTCTCAATTTGCCAGTTGCCCGTTCTAGTTATAATTATTGATCCATCATCACTACCAGTAAGAAGATGGGTGGCACTATGAGTGAAAGCAACCGTATTTATTGTACCATCATGATTCATTAAAACAGTGTGCTCTTTCCGTGTCTTTAAGTCAACTACAACCACCTTATCGTCTGTACCACCAGAAGCCAGAAATCTGCCTGCTATTGAAACACACCTAACGGATGCTGTGTGCGAGTGAGTTGCAAAGGTTTGCTTTAATTTGGTAACCTGCAAATAAACAGAAAGATATTTATTGAAGGCTCAGTAGCTCTCATATGAAATTAAAACATTGAACCTTGACTTGACTTACCTCATCTTCAGTACGCAAAGAGTAGCCTAACAAAAATCCTTCGTAAGTTCCTACTACTAATTCGTCCATTGTCAATTGTTTTGATTATTTATCTCTTCATAAGTAATTTCTAAACATTTGGAGGTTTCTTATATCAGTCATTACATCTCCATGTGTAAATGACAATTACTGTCACTGTCTCAATGTGTTGATACTCTGCCTAAAACCTAACCTTAATTTGTACACCATAGATTAAATTTGAAGATTAGAAATTCCAAATGACAGTAGCTATCGACGAAACAGAGTGTTCCATCTGTGGCGTATGTAATGATAATTGTCAAAAGGTATTACAATAAAAACTAAAAAAGGATTTTTATTTGTTTCCAGAAACAAATTTCAGAGAAAATTCTTATAAGAAAACATTTAAAGGGCCAAAAGTTATCTATTTTGCAGTGCTTGGCGAAAACACATTTTCATTCTGGTATGTAAAATTATTACCCTTACGAAAAGATAATCGTCTGGCCTATCGATCTTATGGACATTTTATTGTTAATTTTTCGTAGGATTCCCAAAAGAGGACTTACTTAGATATCTACAAGATGGATCTGGCGGAGACAATGAAGAACGTTTTAGCGAAGAGCGGCGGCAGCGCTACAAGTACCGCTAGCGGTTCCACCTCTGCTACACCTCACGGCGCTGAGGGCTACGTTACGGAAAAGCTTTATATGTTATTACAGCTTTATTTACAAAACAAAGGCTGGAGTCCTAGTATCGAGCTTTTACAATGTTTCAGCGATCTCAAAGAGTCTTCCATGCTTCCAAGTGCAACTTATTTACAGTAAGACTAACCTCTTTTGTTCAATGCAATAGTGATGAAATCACCCAAAATGTATATAACTTTTATTTATCATTTTAAAATTTTAGAATGATGGCCTCAAGGGTTGGTTTAGATGCTCAAGGGCGTTTAATATATAGAGAAAATGGCAAAATAATACTTCCATATGAGCATTTTGCAAATGCTGTTATGTTAAAGCATATGAATGGTCCTCATGGTTTACATCTTGGATTAGAAGCTACCGTCAGAGCAGTAAGTTAATTAACTCTTTTTATAACTTAAAAACTGATACTGAATGTAAACAAATTACACATCCCCTTTAAGTCATTTTACTACACAAATTAAAATTCATAAAGCATTGTATTTTTATGGTCAATTAGGTATCAAGGTCATTAATTGTATATACTTTTGTTTACCATATTTTTATATAATCTTTAAAACACAATGTCTTCTCATATTTGATAAATAATATTACTGCAAATATAATGCCTTACTTGTTTTTGTTTTAAGGTGGTAGAGTCTTATACAATTGGTAGAGAACAATTTGGTATGGAAAAAGAGTTTATTGTAGAAGTTGTACAGAACTGTCCAAACCCAGCATGCCGCTACTATAAAAATCAACTGGAAATGACTCAGAAATCAATACAGCAGCACTTATCCCAACAGCCTACTTATATTCCAGGTTAGTGATATTTCTGTATAAACCTATTACTATTATCATCTGTCAATTCTCTATGCTCTAAGTAAATTTGGAAGTTTTACTATATACTGTCTATATACGCGAGTAGTACACATTTAAATAAAACACTTTAACGGTTTAAAACGCGATATATTAGTTAAACTTATTTGAAAATAATTTTAATTTCGGCCCAACGTTTCGGATGCTTTGCAGCAGCCGTGTTCACGGGGAGACGGGGGAAACTTAAGTTAAGTTTTAATATGTGCTGGTAAATTAGAAATCAATTTAGATTGAAAAATATGATAATGTGGCTGGGGTGGCTCATAATATTCTAGGAAAACATCTGTCTGTCTTTTTGTTGGCAATTCTTTAGAAGTTTTTGTTCACACTCAATACTTACTGAATAATAATCTATTAAGTTTTATTTATTATTTTACTTCATTATTTAATTCTGCCCATCTATACAAGCTATCAAACTATAGATGAAATATTAATTATTAAGATGAATATAATAATTGAAGCAACAGATGAAAATATTCTGTTTATCGCATTTTTAAGAACAACTAGTATGGATTATGCAAGTTATATAAGTTAAGATTTTTTCCTTTAGATGCCGGTAGTTCCAATCTATCAGACAGTCAGGCCGTAGAACGGCTTTTGCGGGGTGCAGCATTACCTCAAGATTACCAACTGCCCCTCGCACCCCACCTTGCTGCTCTCAGTGAGTTGTTAAGTAAAAATCGTTTTTATTTCTTTTATTTATTAATAATATTCTATGTTAAGTAAGGAAAAAAATTTTCTCTTTGGTTTTTATTATACTGTGTAAGTAGAAATTATACTTTTTCTTTTTTCTGAGGAACAAGAAAATTTCTGCATGTTTCATTCATAATATTATCTACACTTCAGAACCTGGTCTGTGTTTGACCAAAAAGCATATTAATCTTCTGCTATTGCTTAAAGTTTAAATCCCTCAATCATGCAGGTTTTTACAATTTGTCACAAAACTTTAATTTTAACAGTACTGACTGTTTCTGAGATAATAAAATATTAATATACACACCTACGATTTTTCCAGCAAACCTAGCTGGTGATAAAACAGATAGACGTGCTGCGGAGAAGTTGACGCAGCATCAGCAAATGCTACTTCAGCACCAGAATAGATCAATGAGCCACCAGTCTTCAATCGACAAATATTCACAACGCTCCTCTTCATCACAGTCTAATTTGGACTCTAAGTCTAAGCATCACTACACTGATGATCATAAGCTTACAGACTTCTTGAGGTGAGATTAAAAAAATTTATATTTTTTTCTACACTACCTGTGTCAGAGTCTAGCCTTCCTCAATAAATGCTCTAACCAACACTAAAAGATTTTTCAATTCGAACTAGTTAGAGTGTGATTAGCTTGTTCAAACAAACAAACTCTTACATTTTATATATTAGTATATGGTATATATACTTGTCTTGTGTCTAAACAGAGCGAATCTAGAAAGCCTGGAGTGTTTGTCTGGTGGCGGCGGAGAGAGATCGAGTAGTAGCTCGGGGGGCGGGCAGGAGCGTGTGGTTCGCGCTTTCGCGGAACTTGCCAGGAACCTTCAGCGCATGCGGCCATGCGTCCGCCCAGCCATGTGCAAGCCATATGGGAAGCAGAGTGAACAATTGCAGAAAAGTTAGTACATTTGTACCATTTTAATATTTAAATAAAACACTTTAACTGTTTAAAACAACCACAGGTGCTGCAAAATATCTGACACGTCGGGCCGTAATTAAAATAACTTACTTACTGATTAAAATAACTTACTTAATAAACTAATAAGTTTAACTAAGATATTTCGTGTTTTAAACCGCTAGTCTTTTATGTGTACCACTCGTGTTAACTATAGACAGTACATCTTTACATTTTCTTTGATCAAAGTGGAATTCCTCAAGAGCGCTATAGCTGGTGGTATAGTGGTTCTGGCCGTAGAGTTGGTGCTACCAACTCGAACTCAGTGAGTTACCACAGTTACCTCGTCACAACTGCCCGATGTGGGCGTCCATTAGGTTTTCACACCATCAAATAAAGGAGTAATTCAGAACGATTGTTATTTTCTTATTTGAATTTGTGATATATTTGAAAACTTTATAATTTTTTACATGTTATTGCACATTAAGGCACTATATAATTCAAAAATCGAAAATAAATTGAAAAAATTTTCGATTCGAGCAGGACTTGAACCGGCGTCGCCAGCGTTCCGTGTTGTTGCTCTACCAACTCGCAGCTCAATTAAAAAATATTAATTATTTTTCAATTTTATTTGAAACTTATGATTATTACATTCCTACATTAACTTCATTTAATAATATTTCAGTACTTCTGGACACAATTCAGTTGGTACAGTCGTTAAGGAGTTATCTGCCTCCACCGCACATACAAGTCACATCCTGGAAGAACGACGACAAACTGCGGTGAGTGTGTAAAATTTAACTTTATCATGTTTATGCCCCGTATCTATCAAACATATAAAGCTGAAGACTTTGTTTGTTTGAACGCGCTAATCTCAGGACCTACTGGTTCTAATTGAATGACATGGTTCCTCTTTAAATTATATAAAAAAATATCCACGACACTGCAAGTCTATCTTCTAAGAATAACTAGCAAAAACGACGGGACGCGACCGACGTCTTGGCTAACAGCTTAAATTTATAGAGATGAAGAGGTTTGCAAAAACAAATGTAATAAATATTCGCCCAAAATAAATATTCGACGCGGACGAAGTCGCTGACACAGCTAGTTGTTTTATATGACTAAATGATAAAAAAATATCTGATCTTTAATATTTCCAGTACCAACAACATGGACGACTTGGAAGGACGTAAAATTGTGAGTGGCAACTAGCACTGTGACTCTAACCCCATCATCACATACATGACAAAATTACTTAGGTTATTTTCTCGAAATAAAATCGTTATATCAAATACCTCAAGTGTGGCCACTTGTGAAAATAGCAAGGATAAATTGCATATTGCTTTCTCTTTCGGTACTGTACTGTTCGAAAGGGACGGATGTTTTGAATATATGATACCAGTATCTTCTTGGTTAATTTTTGTTTGCTCTATATTATTTTTATTCTACAGCTGTTTTTTGTTATTGCATGTAAATTAAAAATTTTATTCAATCACAAATTCGGAATTCCAGTTAAATGTTAATCGTTTTCTTTTATTTCTATCCAGTTTTTAATGACGTTTATTTATCACAGCTATATGTTAAGAATATGTTCGTTTTTATTTTTCAAGTTATATCGCTTTGTGTATTTAGTGTTTGCGTTTTGTACAATTGAACGTGTATAGTTGTATCTGTAGTTTAAGCGTTAAATAGAACACTTTTAAACGGGTTAAAACTCATACTATATTAAACATTCTTTTACGTTTCGGATATCAGCCGCCACGGTTACAGGAAGTAATTTTCTTGCCCATATAGTTCGCGTTTTAACTCGTTTAATAGTGTTTCATTTAAAGTGTATACCTTATTAAGGCAACAATATGCGTAGTGCCGTTAAGATTGTCTCATTGTAAGTCTAAGTGCATTATTTACACTGTGATAGAAGTGTAATAGGTATAGTTATGTAGTCTTCTCAAGTAGTTTTTTATGTATTTAGCGAGAAACACTTGTGTTCGATCTAAGAAGCATTTTGTAATATTTATTTTTTAACTAAAAACACATAAAACCCCGCCTCCTTTTGTTTAGCATCTGATTGGTTAATGTAAGTTCTAATCTATCGTGATTTTTATATTCATAGTTTGTAATTATTTGTCCAGTAGACGTATTCCTAAATTGCGCCATCTCTTGTCTCGAGTTAGGACTAATGGTATCTTATGGGAGACTGCAGGTTACTTGTGTAGGATAACGCTTATATAGAATAGGACGCCTTCGTTCACATTGATACTTATTTTTTTTTAATTCTTATAATAACGCGTAAAGCTTGTGTTGGAACAGGCGTGGAATTATTTTTATCATCACTGCTTAGTATTGATTTATCTAATCAACATTGACAATGCCTTGAGTGTGGACGAAGGCAAACGTGTGACTGTTGAGTATTTATCGGACGCATTGTGTTTTTATTTTTTTTTTGTTCTAATGAAGTGTAGGAAATTATTATATATGAAAACCGCTTGAAGATCACAATATTGTCATATTTTACATGTAAGCTCCTTTGCACCTCAAACATTTGGTTACTTATTACAGCTACTCACCAAATTGAGTTAATAAGGAAAATAAGTCAATTTTTCCATCGAGTTTTGTTCAGGAAAACACAAGACTCTGTTAAGTATTAATATTGTGTTAGTTTTTCGTAACGTAACGTAACTCACATTTTTTAATATGAATTGTCATGTAAAAGATAAATTTCTTCTTGCAAAGGAGCTTATATATACACATGATAAATTATTATTATTTATACTATTGTAATATAATGAAACACTTGCGTCTCGCTTTTATCTTCCAAAACATCACGTATGAAAAATGTCGTGAGATTGTTTGTGCAATAATTTAGGCATAGCCTATAGAGTTTTGTATCTAAGGTAAGATTGAATGAGGCAGTAAGAGGTTGTAATGTAAGATTCAGCGCACTATTATTTTTACGAAAACATTTTACGCTGATTCTCGTATGGTTTACTTATTTGTGTCATTTTGGTGTTGATCACGAGCTAGAATAGTTTCGGAGAAGTTTTCAGCTGGAAAAGTAAAAAATAATTCATAAATACCTCTTAACTGAATTATACTATTATCAGTTATCTATATATTTTAAATGCTTTGTTCTTCTGAGTGTGTTCTATTAGGATTTGATTATAATCTGTGGTACCTTTGGGCAATAGGATTTTGTTCATCTCCTACGGAAAAATTGAGAGGGTATATTCACAAAATGGATGGAGGCTATTTATCAACACTAACTAAAGCTAAGTTTCTCTTGAAAAGTATTAAGCTGTGCGAATCTCTTCTGTATTAACATCAACGTTTCTAGTCAAAATTACTTCATAATGGGATCGGTTGGATGGTGAACATATCAGTTTGTAGTGACATATAGATTTCGTATCTCTCGCACAATTCTTAACTTGTTTATTACTTAGGTTAATCTGTCATATTTTATAGTATAGAACCTTAATTTATGGTGGGGGCCATCCGTTTATTAATATTTTGTAACATCTAAAAGGGGCAGGGGGGGGGGTGGTCCTAACGACAATGTATGGTTGGCCCCTAGTTACGTTAATATTGTATACCTTGAGCTTTTTAGTATATTTCGTTATCCGCTTTATATAAATGATAGTTTTGTAGTACGAACTATTTCTTGGGTTCGTTTACATATATTCTGGGCATCTTGTATTACTGTGATAAATTACAATTACTTAGTACACTTTTGTGGCTTTATTTTTGGTCTGAGAAATGTAGTATTCGAAATTTTCGACGTATTATTTTAGGTGTAATTTTATTGTATTTGGCCTTGCCATGTAACCTATGTCGTATCAATAAAAATAAAGTGTAACCCAGTGAAACAGCGCTTAAAATAAATAAATTGATTTTAACATTGTATCTTATTTATTTACCTTGCAAAATGTATACGACGAAGTGATATAGTTTAAAGTAATAAAACCACAACAAAATTTTATGTTAATTTAATAAAGGAGCAAATATATATAATTCCAATTAAAGTATAAACTGTAAAGATTAATCGAGCTAAATTGATTAATTTTTATTAAAAATACAAAAGGCAACACTTAGACAAAATTTACTAAAGTTGAGTTAACACAGTTGAAGTTTTATGAAACATTTCGTTGTTATATCAAATCTAGAATAAGTCCTTCTTTAATCCTCCTTCCTTAATAAAATATGAAAATCCTTAATAATATATGAAAGGATCTTTTAGTTGAACCTGGTGGAAATCGAACCCAATTATAAACCGTTTATTTCTATTTTTGGCCAAATAATCCTATCAAAAATTATCATATCACTGTCAACACAGGGCAAATATCATAAAAATACCTTCATACTACGTTTAAGATAAAGAAAAGTGGCGCCATTTTGAATTGTTAGTTCCTTTGAATGTAACTATCGGTGCGCCTGCGCTTGCGATTCCATATTGGTTAAATGAATTGACGTCCATTAACGCAATTTTAATCGACACGAAAATCCATTTAGGATTCCAAGCCTTCGTTCAATCAAGAATCTGCAATATGTTTAATTGTTTATCTCCAAAATCGAGTTCGTTAATTAAAAGTAAAATTAAGTTTATTAACTAAATTAATCTGGGTTCCACCCAAACATTTATTATTTTAACTTAAAAGGGAATGATTTTAAATTTACGTATTTAAAACATATTACATGTTTATATAAGATTTATAAAAGGGTTATAAATAGAAAGATTAAAAACTATGTTTTCTTATAACTATTTGAACAAATTGGGAGTAAAATTGTATTTTCGTTACGGAGCATTTGATGCTGAAAGAATTTTTGCCAGTCGTTTTTACCACAAAACTGAATATGTAATATAGTTGAGGATTTTAAAATGATGTATTATGTAAATACATATATCTATATATAACATTTGGATAAACTAAAAATCTTCAGTAGAGACAGAATTGAGTGAAATGTATTATAATAAATATTTGGTCGTCAAGCTTGGATTATTCGTTGGAAGATGGTCCAAAATGGGGGTAAACTGTGTACACATTTGTGTTGGAATGTCGAAGCTGCAAAACAGCATTATGTACTAAGTACTTAAAACGTTTCCCACAATTTAGACATTTACAAACAAATTGTGCGTATAAATTATTATTATCCCTTTATTTACCCAAAACTATATTGGGCTCTACTCTACTCTCTGTAGAGTATTATATTCAGTACGTTGACAATTGACGCCGGTAAAAAATCTTTTATATACATAGATTTGATTCACAAATCGGAACTTACTATCGTCGAATAAAATTATATTTTTTCGATATGTGTATTATAATTGTTTGAAAAATCAATATTATTTATATTCAATGTAATTAAGACAATATTTATATTTTTCTGAAGCAGTTTGAGACACACGAGTTTTTTAAATTCAATTTACAGCCGGCATGTTTAAACTTAATCTAAGGGTCTGAATACATAAATGGAGTCATCTAGCCAATAGTACGCTTGCGCAAAGTCGCCTTCGCAGAGATAAGGAACTCGAGACCAGCTCGCTAATTCCCAGCCCTGTTCCCTCATGAAGCTAACGAATGATGAAGCCTGTTCTTCAAAAGCAGTGCCGGATATCGGGAGACGCTCTTCGGGCTTGTGGTCAGACGTCACTGAAATATATAAAGGTTTTAAATTTATGTTTTATTAAAAAAGTTCTAAATTTCGACTGGGCCTTGGTGTAATGTTAGGAATGCATATATATACATATATACATTCTATATGTAATATATATCTGTAATAATCAATGTGCCGTGGGTTCAAACCGGTCTGATCACACTTATTTGCCTATAGGTAAATCAGTTCCTTTTTTGTTAAGTAGGTTGATCATTAAGATCTTGATAGAACGCAAAATAATGTATAATATTGCGAGCTTACCTTCAACATATGGCTTATAAGGCAGAACCAGGGCTAGAACCAGTAGACCATCAGAGGTGAGAGCCTCTTTCGCCTGCTGCAGCATTGTTCTTGGCTTCGCGCAGCGGTCTACCAGATTCATCATACATACACAGTCGAACTTCTGACTCTTCCACCAGTCGTCTACGTCCAGCACTCTGTAAAACAGGAAATCGTTTTTTGTATTAAGATTATTTTAACAAAAGTATATACATTTGTACCAATTATTGAGGATTTCCAATAATCCAATTTTTAATGATAGACGCGATTGAAAGATACAAGCACGGTGTTCACTCGATGGTAAGTACACTATTTTGGCTTTGGATATTTGGAAAACCGACAGACTAAAACCGAAACGTGATTACACTTCAAGGCTTTCTTATCTATGGACGGTGGTTCGTGATTTCTATTTTATCCAGGTTCCATTGTAGATGTGTATGACGAAAAGTACTCACGTAAACCCCTTATTGCTGAGCACTTTTCTCATAGAAGCAGATATTTCGGTGGCATATTTCGTAGCGAAGAGATCAGCGTATCTGCGGCTCACTTCGCCGTCTCCAGCGCCGATGTCCACCAAAGCTGTGGGTCTATCTGAGTTTGGGTTTCCACGGCCCGAGCGTGCTGCACTTAGCAGGGTCCGCGTCTGTGCTGACGATAACACGAACATGGAACCGCGGCCTAGCCAGCTGAAATGAGAGAAAGAGAATTTCAATGTTTGAATTGAATGAAAATTTGACCATTCACCATCTAATTAGTTAATTACAAATCCAATGGAAATTGTCTTGATAGTTGAATTGTTATCCATAGTAAACCCAGTTATCACTCATATATTTTAAATTTGAATAAATAAAATACGTTTTCAATTTTTTTTGTAAAATAGCATTATTATTATTATTTTATAGATGTTTCTACTCTCCCTATAGAAGGGACAAACTCTTGTTGCTAGGTTGTGTTATTATTATAACTTTTTATATTTGCAGGCATACTGAAATGCTACAGATTAATTATAACACTTATACCGGTTAAAACGCGAACTGTATGTATACAGCACCCGTGGTAACTGGGAGCCCAAGTAAAATTAATTGTAAATACGTGATTTCACGTTTAAACCGTTACATGTGTTTTATTTAAATGTGTACTCTCGTCAACTACAGACAGTAATTAGACCTACTTAAAGTATTGCGTGTAGTACAAAAGATCGACGTTTACGTTAGTTAGTTTACGTATAGTTTCATAGTAATTTTCTACATTCTTACTTTTTAAATTGTTATTTCGCTAATATTTCTGTGTGGTCTCAATGTGTATGCATTTTCTAACACTATCGACTGTGAACCAATACCGCGGCATAATCAAACCGCATTCATTAATAGCAGAACCGGAGTGAAAGGGGTAATTTCATGGAGGAATCTAAGTAACCGCTAAGAGCAGGGTGCGGTCGGAGCTCACGGCGAGCCATATTGCTTGCTCTATCAATCTTCTCCGACTTAATTGTTCAAATAACAATGTTGCATCCTTGTGCTTTTTATTAGCTATGTTTACAGTTTAATAAGAAAGCATTCGTCTACGTAGTACAATAATGGAACGAACTTCACCATTGCATTGGAAGACTTTTTTACGACAGAGGAGGACAGACCAGCAGGATGTTTATTGATGGATGCTATCGACCTATTTTGTCTGATCAACTACTTGCCCGTTAAAAGAAAGGATCGATGAAACGGACACAGAAATGGGTTCGCCCCATGTCCCATGAGGGGGAAACGGGATATCACACACATACCAACGAGCCCTTCAAAAGTTCTCGCCAGAAACCACCAATCGGCTGTTCCATGTTTATTTCAATTTATCACTATTCTCATTCTTAATAGTATCTTGTAATGATAAATTTAATTTAGAATTTAAAAAATTAAGACGTAAAACGCGCTACTGTTAGTGTGAATTAAATTTGTTATTTTTGGTACCGTCTAGTTTTATTAACTGATCTAAACAAAGTATCAATACCAATAACGCCATCAAAATAAAAAGAAAATGGCGGCGCTTGAATGTTTCATGTTATTAAATGGAAAATATATTTTATCTATTATAGAATTCCAATTTACAGGAAAAGAATTGCATCTAAATCATTATCGTTCGCTGACAATTGTGGCCTTAAAAGTTGACCAGACTTGCAATTACTGTGGATAGAACACAAAGCGTTTGGTAAAGGCACAGTTTAATATAAGTGGCTGGATTATTCAAGGCAAAAGCGATTAGCACGATTCTTACCTAAAGATTTAATCAGTTTTAAGTTAATGAAGCATTTGAGAGTATAAAAAGTAAATCTACGTACGTTCAATGTATGTATAATTAAATATATAATAATCCTTAGGTATTTCTCAATTTTGCCATTTAAATAGGGATGGGATGCAAGCAAAATCAACTACAATATAAGGTAGAAATGCCACTCATGCACGATCGTTATAAAGTGTTACAAACGTGGAGTTAAATACTAATGACTTAGAAAATTACAAAAAAGTCGTCATAAAAGTTATGTATATTTATCGATGGTCTATCGATATGTAAACGATGTTTTTTATATCTGTGGCATGTGTGGAAATAACTCTTAAATACTATCGCTTGTTGTCTATGGTTTGAAATATATATTATATTTGTTGTGATCTATTGCCAAATTAGAAAAATACATAATATTATGTAAAGTGATTCAATATCAGTCTAAATCGAAAAGGATTTTAATCGACTTTATAGAGGCTATGTCTACAATCTACATGAACCTAAACATTCGGAGTCGAAAAGACGATAAACTCTTTTAGTTTTCCTTGCAGATATAAGAGCCGCAATGTGACGTAGCCAATATCCATTGTCTGTGGTAGAGGATTGAGCGCACTTTGAGGCGCAGCAAATTAAATGCCTTCGGCGGCGGCGACGTCTTCATCCCGCCCGGGGCCAGCGTCGAAAGTGGATAATGACTAGCAAATCCTCTACTCATTAGTTGAGATCGGACGTTGCAGATCGATATCCTCAACCAGGTAAAGCGGTAAGGCTGTGGTCTCATGATCACCGAAGGCCGCGTAACGCCGCTTACAATAGACGTACTTTTAGGGTTGTCAATTTTTTTCAAGCGAATTACGTGATATATTTAATTGTATAGTACGCAGACCCGAAATATAGTACAACACTATTAATTATAGTCCGCTTGCTAGTTGTACGATTACTGTCTCCTTCAAAAGCTTGTTATTAATTTAGTATAACGTGGAATTATATATACGCCTTGTGTTACCTAATTTATTTTATAAGCAATAATATTACATCGATTATAATAACAAAAAAAGCAGAACCCTACTAGCTTTACCACCTTGACGCAGCGTAATGCGTAATGCGTACAGGATACGCAATAGCGTTTATAGGTGACCAAAGCCTTGCAGCGTGCTGATATTAGCGACCGGAGCATATATCACGGGCATAGGCCGCTGGCGTTAGCGCGGCAATTACTTTAATGCAAACTGTTTTAGGCACGTATCGATTTATGCCCAAATAAGACTCGGTCTAATCGTTTGGAAATGCTGGAAAGTAATTTTCACTGTAACGTTGACTTTTTAATCTTACTGTACATTATTTTAATAACTTAATTTATATGTATGGCTTATATATGTGTTTGATAAACTGATTTTTTTACACAACATGACATGTTTTACATTAAATACAAAATATTTAGGTCGACAATTGGAATAAAATTCTTTGAAACTTTTTAAAACGCAACATATATTGCTTAACTTATTTTAAATTTAATTATTCTGTGACCATTGCTGCAAATAATAAGTTGACTAATACATTTCGCGTTTTAAATCGTTAAACGTGTTTTATTTAAATATGTACTACTCGCATAAACCACAGACAATGCTTAAATTATTTTTAGTCTGTTTTAACAACGGTCTCGACATTTCAGCTTTGCAGCAGCCGGGTCACGGGGGGTAGGGTTCCTAATGTCAATGTCAAATCTGCTACGCTACCTATAACTATGAATCACAGACTATGCTTAAGTCGATAATTAACTACTCAACCTTTTCTTCTAGCATAATGTGGAGTCTCGAATTCGTTTGTGTCGCGTCTATAGCACGGTCAAGACAGTGACGTAGCATCGGATTGATTGCTTTATTGTGTCGTTTCGTGGCGTTTGCTGCTCACAACGTGCTATACATGATACATGAGCCTTCCACCTCGACTTATGGATCCACTGTGTAATTGTCACCGCGGACCTTGTAGACACTGTATGACTGGGCCTTAATATTAATGGCGACGTCTGCGTCTCTATTGAGGACTTCTAGTGCATTCTTTTGTGGCACGGTTAACATTTTTATATGTTATTTGTTTAGTGTTCAGTTAATATAGGTTTTTAAGAATAAATACTATACTTAAAGGTTGTTTAAGGAAACGACATACATTTAAATTGTAATTTGCAACTAAAGTTCGAGAAATTTCGTCATTTGTACCAGATTTTGGGAAATTTTCAGTTTTCTAAAATATATAATATGAGCTTACCTAATGGCAGCAAGGTATAGCTAATAATCAACGGGTCGTGGGTTCGATTTCCACCGGGTCCAACATCAACTAACAGAAGAAAAAGCCGTGAAGTTTAATTAGGTTTTGGTTTCATACTGTGAATGTGCAAGCCAAAATAGGTCGATATCACATTTAGTCACGATATTACATGTCTATTCCACCTTCTCAATATTTGTCTATCATAAGAAAATCTTTAATAAAAAACCCTTTGTTTATAATATTCCTTCTTGTCCTAAATTATAGTACACGTAATGTGACAAAGATTCACAGACAAGAATCAACTGAACGAAATTCAACAGTTGCTAAAAATATTAAGTCTAACGCGAGTTATTGAACCGTGTAAAATCCGTTTTTCATCTTACATTAAAAACGTACTGTGTACTACCAATGGCGTAATAACGATCTTTAGAAAGCCGTTATTCTCGTAGAAATTATTCAAAGAAGGCGTCAATACTGGGCGATATGTAAAAAGGTGGTAACAAAATTGCGGGCGACCAACGTGTCGCGTAGGTGTCTGGTCGTATCTATTTCAACACAGCGGCCTGCAACAGAACCCGATGCGGTTACAGGCTGGAGATGTACGAGACGCGGGGTGGCACCAGTATCGCGATTGCATCGGAGAGCAAACAAGCGGGTGGGGGGCGGGGGCGCGCTCAAATCATATTACCCCCGGTCTCACACCCGGCGTCCCACACACGTCATTTGAGTGTGCGTCGCCATGGTAACGGCCCGGGTCGTGCATGATATTAGTACGTGCGACTCATCTCCGGGCGTTTAAACTTAACGCCGCCCGCCCCGCGCGGGAAATTAAAACCGGCCCCGGAGCGGAAGGACCGCGGACCGTTTCGACCCGACGCAAACTATCTCTGCCCCCTTATACAGTCCATCCATGTTTACGTCCGTGTGGACATATCTTAACTACAACTTAATACCTTGGTTGCTTTTGTTTTAGCATACCTACTACAATAGATATATAATTGTATAAACTTTGATATAGTTAGTTCTTCAACTACTAACACTAGTAGCAAAATACATGTAGAAATTAGAACATGATATTTTCAAGGGGTTTCCTTAAAACTACAAAGCTTGATACTACATACTATCAATTTATGAAAGTACCAATTTCGTTAAAATCGTAACAATATTGTGATCGTCATATATCCTACCTACTCGTATCTAAAATAGAACTCCTCCCCTACATATGTAGATAACTACACATTTGCTTTGCTCAAAGACATTGTCGCTTTCAGGCACCTCATTAGAGCGCGTCCCATGTGAGCCTACCCACCCCACCCCAAAGGGGGGGCTCGCCTCCCCACACATACAAAGGAGAGCAATTCTTTTCCTGAGCTCGCAAACTTGGATGGATAATTACAGTTAGGTAGCTACGAACCCATTCGTTCTTAATGTCTTTGGAGCCCTTTCTGTATATAGAAATTAAGTATATGACACGCTTTTCTCGACGTCGTTGTTAAATTCGATGGAAAATTACTCGAGACTCGTTTATTCTTCCAAATGAAATTTTCGTATTTAACTAGGGATTTGAGTCGGCAATTCTTTTGATTACATTTAAGAAACGCTGAGTGAGATTTGCTTAGCGGTTATTTCATAATTGAAAATATTGTTTAAAGTACAATGTAAAATTAGCGACCATAGTTAAAACGAACGATATGCAAATGTCGATGAGGGCCTAATAAAATCAAATTGACATAATCGACTCTCGAAACAGACATAACGCGAAATAACTGTGAATAGCTCTGGAGTCAATAAACTATAAAAAACGTATGATAGAATTTAGAGAGGGACGAATTTTGTACGAACCGAAACCGAATTTCGGTTTACTTGGGTTTATTGATAATGATGTCAAACTAGTAACGTTTCCCTAAAATAATTAAATCACTTTTAATTGAGAGAATTTTTAGTTAAAAAAGTAACGTAACTTACTTATGAAATACGAATTATTATGATAACGTTTTTTAACAAAACACATATAGTTTGTCATTGTATCACACTTATAATTGATGTCTATTGCTAAAAGTATTTTTTTTATATTTGGGACACAGTTTACCCTCTCTGGCGTGCTATGAGAATTATAAATTATTATGACTCTATACCCAAAATTATCATATGTTAACGTGGACATTATACATGTCCACATTAACATAATATGATAATAATTATCTTTAAAATTCCATAATAATATAATTTGTAAGTCGAATATCGAATTTCGTTACTTCGGCGTTCATTACTAACGCTACGATGATACGCTGGGCAAGTAAAACATTCGGTTAAGTTCAGCTTTCGGCGCATCCCTGATAAATTTCATAAACAATGAGCGGGCCAAAACGTTTTAGTGTTAAGAGTGGGCCCATAAAGCGTTGGCACGCACCCGTAAAATATTAACGATAGTGAGTGGAAAAATGACGACTATCAATGTACCGCGATTTTTGGGGACGCTACAAATAATGTCCCGGCCGAATTTATACGCGGACCCGAATTGCCCCGATTGAATATTTTACCACGCCACGAATGCCTTCCACGATATTTTTCTATTTCGGCGCCCATTCCTGCTATCAATTGCTTAGTTTCCCCCTTTAATGCTATTCGTGCGACATAAGGAACGCTCGTACATAAATGAGAGAGTTGCCCGAGTTTTATTCTTTTACGACGCTTTTAACGATGCGATTTTAGTGTAATTTTAAAAGTTTTCGTTTTTATTTGATTTAGGCAGATTTATTGCGGTTCGTGTGTGCGTATGAGCTACATACGTGGTACATTCGATTACTGAGCTCGTAAAACTAGAAACGGCTTTAATAGGAATAAAATAGTGAGCGGTCTTGTGCGGTATCCAGTATTCTCGTGGCTAGGGAAACATGAATCATGTTAGTTACTCGTTACTGCGCTCTCGAGTGCTACATTCTCTCTATAATAAGAATAAAAATTCGCTAGCTCATGTATTTATATAAAAATATAAATGTGTCTGTGCGTAATTGTAACATAAGTATATGCGAAGTAATTCCATGATATACGGGCACATACGTCTAATCGACAGAGCAACAGAACGCTGCAGTTGTGGGTTCGAGTCCTACCCATTCATTATTTTAAAAAAAATAGTCACATAAAACACTTTAACGGTTTAAAACGCGATATATATTAGTTAAACTTATTTGAAAATAATTAATATATATCGCGTTTTAAACCGTTAAAGTTTTTTATTTAAGTGCGTACCGACTCGCGAAAACTACACACAGCGTTTATCTAATTTAACACATAAAAACACATTAACGTTAGATTTATTAAAGAAACAAAATATGAACTTTGAATAATTTTGTTTGTCTGTTCGTTTACTAGCTAAAACCACTCTACATTCAGTTCATTTGTAAAGAGTAATCAACCTTAGGTACTTTCGCACCACAATCGACAAGACCACAGATAACACCGCGGGGCACAGTTACCATAATAATAAGAAGTAAATAATTCCCAAGTGATGTGGCAACTGATTATGCGGGATACAATGAACCTTTAAACACAATAACCTTTAAAAGGCGTGTAGAGTTGACTCGAAAATCGTTTCTCGGAGGCAGTTTATTGCTTATGGAGTCTGACGCGACGGCTGAATATTTTCTTAGAGGAATCTCACTCAAAATCACAATAAGTGGTGACGTGAAAGTGTCGCTCGGTGGGGGCTCGAGCGCGCCCATGAGCACGTGGAACGCAAAGATAGTCTGGCTAACTCTTTGGGACTGTCAAATGTGTAATACGGTTATATCGAAGTTTTGTAAGTACTTTAACGTTAAAACTAGTTAAATTTATTTGAAAATTATTTAATTCGTCCCACTGTAGAGCATCTGAAACGTCGGGCCGTGGTTGAAAATAAGTTTAACTAATATATATGGCGTTTTAAATCGTAAGTGTTTAATTTAAATACTTTAAGGTACATAGGGAGTTCATATTTTTTACTAAAGGTAACAATATCTTGTAGTTCTATATATAATCTTCTATGAATCTATGTTAGTACTTACCACATACCTAGGAGTCTGGACCTACATAAGTCACGGGAAATTGATAAAAACCTTTTTTTCATAAAATAGTTCGTTAGTATCGATAATAATAATTGAATAAAATTAAATTTTTGAGGTAATTATTATGTTTAGAGTAGGTATCTCTGTAAACATTCTAATATGTGGTCTGCAGTAAAGTAATCGTGTTTTCTAGAACTCGTCGGTCATATATTTTTAAAACTCTCAACTCGTGTCATCAACACCGAACGCATTTGACTAGAATGGTAGGAATTTAGGGCCTCTCATATAAGTCCCATCGTCTAATAAAGCTCGCGTCCCAGAAGTGGGACCATGGTTAATATAACAATTTAAATAACGGGAAGGTAAGTGCCTCCTTAAATAATGTCAATCAAAAAAGCATTTTACAAGCAATAAATGAATTATTCAATTTATACTTTTTACTGCGTTTATCTGAACGTAGTCAATCACGTATTGCTAGGTCGACGGTTGGAGGTAGACTAAGTTTTATTGGTCGTCAAGTCCCCTAGATCTAAGATGCGAGCTGCAGTGTTAAGTTGGCGCTGCATTAAAACAATGAGCATTGTCGCATGACGCGTGTGAGCCGGCTTGTCTCGTTAGCGAGCGGCCTCTGATTGGCCGAGCCGCGGTGGGCGTCACCCGCGACAATGCGCGCACGCAAATAGCGCAGCCTCACACAAATTAAAACAATAAAAGTGATAAAACAAAGTACTGAAGATTCGTTATTGAGCTTTAATGGCTGAGCGGAGGCGATAGTTTTCGATTTATTGAAGGGTCGCTTTTACGAGTCCACTCTAAAACTGAATTCGTACTTGTAACTGAGATCGGGAAAATATTCTTTCTATTAAGAATTTTAACGGAGGATACAGGTACATTCTTATGTAATGTAGTCATTCAGATGTAATTCTTTTGCTTTGTAGACACACCCCAACCATATGGAATTTTAATAGGTGAAATAAGTAATTAGTGAATACAGGGTAGTTTTATGAATAGTTAGTAATTATTATTAACTAAACGCTAACGTAAGTGGGTAGGTATATAGCCGGAACGTTAAACGTTTTAATTACCGTTAATAATGTGACCTGTTTTCCTAACACTTTGTACTCTAAACATTACCCGCAAAAGCAAGATACTAGTTCAATTCTACTTTACGTAATTACCTTTTTTTAGCTGATGATGTGAATACCTAATGCACGCCCACGTCGGGCTATATTAACGTGGGGAGTGTGGTAAATCGTATAGCCGACCAGAACCACTAAACACACCACCAGCCATCTACGGTGCTTTATGGGAGCCCTGCTAACACGTTTGTACGACTTCAGAGCTCCCAGCACACCCGTAATTACCCACTTCCCAAAAAAACATCTATCAGTTAGCTATTTAATATCCAGTTCTGAACCGTTAAAAGCATTCAATCAATCAGCTATCGGGCAAGGCAATAGACAGATCGAAACATCGCCGCCGTAACTCGAAGCGACACCGGAACGAAGGCTTTCAATGAGAATGCTCCATGCTCCATAACGAATGTCGTCTCATTTACTAATGTGTCACATACAGGCGGTGTTGTTTCACAGGCGCCCCCTTCCCCCCCATCTACCCCCGGGGGGGTAAGAGCACGGGTGACCAATGAGCTCGCTCCAACTATATATAGGTGCATGTTAATTATTGAGCTGGTCTTGAGAATTAATTTCGCTCTCAAGGTGGAATTATGCGGACCTTGTGATACCGGTCTATAGTTTTACAGAGATCTGGATCTAGATATAGCCTAGAGTAATAACTTAGTCGTAACGTTTGAACACTATTTTTTTTGGCTAAGGTGACAGAATGGCTTTTACAAAATTATAAAAAAAATATAGCTTGTTTGTATTTATTCGGCCCACAGTTCAGAATTGCCTTTATAAAACGACGATGACGTGTAGGACACGATAGCTCAATTGGTTAGAGCAAGTCCAGCCCGTGTCAAATTGTATAATGTCTTAATTCTAAATTTATACAGAACTATTATTTTGAGTCTCTTTCAGATTAATGGATGTTAATGTATGCTTCTAACTTTGATTAATAAGTCTTCTAAGCGGAAGTGGAGAACTACAAATAATTTGGTCGAGTTTGAGAAGTTTAAATACGTTTCTATAAGTAGTAGTGATGTCGTCAATGAGTCAGTTACGTGTCGCTTCGAGAGAATTTGCAATTCGCCCCATGATTTCGCTTACAAGGAAAATAAAACGTGTAATGTTTTTCCTCAAAGCTGAGCTAGTTAGCCGGCTCACGGCTAGGAGTAAGAGCAAACATTCGTCGTCAAAGCGTGATTGTGAAAAGGAGCGTGATTATTACAGTAGCCCGTAGTTAGCGGAGGCTTCATTAGAGCCGGGTGGCAGGGGGGGTCGAGGGGGGGACAAGAGCTGGGTGCCGGTGCCTCGGGAGCTCATCTCGCCGGGTGCATCGCGGCTGCGCGCGCAAACAAATTAAAAACGTAAGACGCGCCCTAATCAATAGCTGACTACGCCGCGAAGCCGAATTAACTCGGCCGAATGAAAAAATGAACAAAATTATATTCGCGCGCGAGACCCCCACACCCCCGTCTCGCGGCCGCGGCCGTCCCCCGCCCGAGGAAATTGCTTTTCTTTCAGCGGGCGCCGGGCTCACACACGACGCGGGCGCGAGAGGGTTAACTCCGAGGCACACACAATATTATAATTTACGTTTCCCCGTATATCGCGCAGTAAGTAGGTACTTTACCTGGGCGGTTCGCGCCGCTCAGCCCTCGCTAAATCTCAGCTTTATACGTTCACTTGACGCGACGAGAGCGATATTAGTTTCCAGCGAACTCCTCAGCTACTGTATTTATTAACGCTATTCTGGCTTCGAAATATCCTTCCAGTACTGCCTATGCTTAGGGGGTGAATAAAATAAAGGTGCTTAACATAAATCTTATAAAAATCACAAAAAGTACACAACCTAATGTCTTGGTTGGTGGTAAGTACGTAAAATACTGTTGTTGACCACGTGTCTGGAGTACACACACAACAGCCTTATTTCACAACGATTCGTGTAACTTTGGGTTAAAAACGATCCATTCTGAAGTTTTAAATTATAATTAGAGAATAAGAGGTGTGACTATAGATTACACAATGTGTTTATCTGTAGGTCTACGTGTCTGTAGATAGAAGGTGCTAAAGTCGCCACCCAAAAGCCACCTACAGCCGCTATGTGAACGTAAGACAGTTCTCATTAATTGTGGCGCCCCACCGTCCGCCCAATTAACGCGTGGGCGAAGTTCCGCCGCCCTCGGCCGGCCAATGGCGTCCGCTCGGGGATTAATTAAGTAACTTCCCGTCATCCCCTCGGCCCCCTCACCCCGGAGTCTGCGGACACGCCCGGAAAACTAACCACCTAATGAGGGGAGATGACCTCGTGTTTGTGTGCTTTGTCTGTGTAGTCTATGTCCGGTCGGCTTTGTGTTATGTAAGCCTGTGGTCTCCTAATGCCGTTAATCGTGTATAATGTCACGCGTTACGCCACGTACATTTTTTTTAATTTACTGTTGTTTTTTTTCTTGACAGATAGACATGGACATGTAAACCACCACCAGCCTACAACGCCTAATGTCACGTCTCTAGTTATTTTTTTACCTACCTGTGGAACGTTCTCTGTGACTACAAATAGCATCTAATCCTATTAAATGTAGTCTACGCGAGTAGTAAAAAAACCCTTTAACGTTTTAAAAATCTCCTAAAACGTCGAGCTGGGGTTAAAATAAATTGTAAATAAGTTAACATGTTTTAATTTAAAAGCATTTTATAGCAGTTATGTCTTGGCGCAAATACGAGACGAGACTACAGCTTAATTTAGTTGCACTACTAAAATTTTTCACAAGCTTCCATTATACTAGGACAGTAGTCTGAGACGAGCTCAGTTTGTAAGACGATAGAGGCGCATTACTGCACGATTATTTTACATTCATACTTGTGCTTTGTACAACGCGTCTGTTGAATGTTATAGAGGAAATTCCGGAGACGCCTTTGTATTAAGAAAACACGACGATGAACACAAATAAAATTTACTTCAAAAATTTAATTTTCAATTATATTCTAATCAACAGGATGATGTATACCTTTCTATGAATAAGTATAAAATGGTCTATTAAATGACTGAGTGATCAAATCTGAACTAACTAACAATTTGAACAAGAGAAATGGTAGGTATGCTTTCATTTTATAATTATCATATTATCTGTTTGTATTTTAGCAACCACGCTGTTTAAATTTTCGCAAATCGTGCAAGTAAGTACTTCTATTGTCAAAAATAAACAAAAAAAAAAACAATTTGAAGGGGACTTTCGAAAACCTGTTTTTGTCCTAAAATTGTAAATAAAGAAAGAAACTACTGAAATGTATGAAAAATTGTGACAATATCAAATTTGAGTATCTATTTCCGACTCGCAATTGACCAATTATATCCGTTAAAGAGTTAATTAAAGAAAAAAAAAGTATCAGAAATAACTACATTCATCTTCGTTAACTTCTAGAGGCATTAACTTGTTCACTACTTGTTGTTGTTACTTAGCGTATAGCTGTATAGAACTAATGGAAATCGCACGTGAAATGGGGAATACGTTAGAAGTACGGCACAACCGTGCCTACGTGGAACCGGGGGGTGCCGAAATAACTAATAGTTTGTGCGGGGGCGTGTTAGCATTTTTCTTCTGCCGGTGACGGCCGGGGGCGAAGGTGGATCGGAGGCCCAGTTTCAGCGATCATTTTCACTTCATCTATTCCTTTAATAACGAACCGTTGTAGCGTTGTTTTGCTTATAGCGTAAATAAATACGTCGCCCGCAGATGAACATAGCCGTGCAATCTTGGAAATGATGGATTTTTGTTTGAATGGTGCATTAATTTAGATTCAAAAGCGATAAATATAGGTTTGTATTAAGAGAACAAAAACTTATTTCCTAAAAAATATTTCAATTCAATACATATACACATATACATTTCAATTAATATAGATAGAATTTGTTTAAATAAGTACGGTATGTTTCATGTTATTAGTTCAGACTAGCTTTGACTTTTTTGAAACCCATACATTGTAGTTATAATATAGAACTAAAGTCGAGCAAATAAATAAATTGAAAATAAGATAGCGAATATATTTCACGTTTTAAACCGATAAAAGTGTTTTAGTTCAATATGTACTTGCGTAAATTACAGACTATGATTGTTATTTTTGTCGACTCTCCGCAATAACATATTTAAAGCAAAGAATTAAATAATATAAAGATTCATAAAGGAATTTCCAAAACCGTCTGCTGACATCACACGAATAACACTCGAATAGAAGTATTAATCCTAGCTCGACTTCGAATTGAATGTTGAGTGGTGGAGGATAAAAACATCTCGTTTACGCAAATAGTGGCGCATTTAGAGCCGTAGTGATGTGCGTGAAAAGCCCATTTACAATGGGGGAAGCGACGCGAGGAAACTCAATTCCTTCCACCTACATCTGTTTTACGTCCCAATGAATAGGTGGATGCAAATAAAGCTGCGTTATTGTTTCTTTGAAGGGTGCCCGCGGATTGAGATGTACCGTTCGATGTGTGAGGCGAGAGTCAAAGTGGGTATCTAGAGAAATGCAAGTTCGGAATTATAGTTTCCAATCTATTTTTGTAGTTTGATGTATTGTCTAGTAATGCGAAGACCGACAGAGGCACGGGGTTCACTGTGGACGGTGGTACGTGACCCGGACGGAAATTAGATATTCCTACTACCCAATTAATATCAAATATACTAAGTGCAATAAGTTACAGAAGAAATATATATAGATTTGAAACATATAGGACCCGGTGGGGATCGAACCCGCGGCCCGTTGATTATAGCCATCATAGCCATGGTAGCGATCCACCTTTACACCACGAGCCCTTCGTGTTTGGGTCGTGTAGAGCACTAAAAAAAATAAATATGTGCCGTGTCTTAGTGGAAGAAAATATGGTAGATAATAAACAGACTTTGTTTAAAGAAAACAAAAGATTGGATGTATTTTGTAGGCACTTTAAACTTAACAATGAGTTAGTCGTAGTCTCCCCGTGACCACGGCTGCTGCAAAGCATCCGAAACGTCGGGCCGAAGTTAAAAATCATTTTCAAATAAGTTTAACTAATATATCGCGTTTTAAACCGTTAAAGTGTTTTATTTTAATGTGTAGTACTCGCGTAAACTATAGACAGTATTTAATGAGTTAGCTTGTCAGTGATATGACTACCCTAAAGAAAAGGACGAAACATGTAATGAATTTTCCATAACTCACAGTGTACTCGTAAATTATTAAATGTATACCAAAGATATTCAACATCAGCCGGGAGTGATTAACGAACCGCCCCGCGCCGGGCACGCCCGGAAAATCTCAACCCTTTCGTCTTAATTACAACTCCTCACTTCAGCGGAGCGCTTCCATTGGTCCCTTGTTTTGCCGCTCTGTCGCCCCCGGTTTTAATTGGTCACAAGTAATTAACGCTAATCACCAACCGCCGTCCTCGAGGGGACGATGTTAATTTGAATTTTTAATTACCGCCGTTTCAGACGCGCTCATTGGACGCACATTTTCTCATTTACATAGAGACAATACCTATTGTTTTCTAATGGGGACACTCCCTCAGGCATTTTCCCTATTATGTAGTTAATTTACATTTGATTAATTTCTAATATGACATTTTTATGTATAACGTTGCTTGATTGCTCATAAAGATTGTTGAAAATCTAAATAAAAAATCGATTTTTTTAAATTGAAAATTTCACGAAACGGGCAAGACTTGAACCTGCCTCTACAGCGTTCCGTGCTGTCGCTCTAACCAATTGACTAGTGAGCTACCGTACATATGGTTATGTCATTTTTTTTCGAACTATTGCTACATGAACCACTCGCGCAATGGATTAAGTACATGGTTGAAATTATATTATCTGTTTGTGTCGTTATAAAGCAATTTTTAAAGTTTATAACGCGTAAAATATTACGATACCTATCGGATGCTTTACAGCAGGATAGTTTGTTTTAATATATAGTAATGTTTGCTTTAACTACACATATCTCTATGGTTAGAGAACAGAAAAACTCAAATTATGTATCTAGAAATTTTAATAATGTTTCCCTGAAAACTGCAACTCAATTTCTGTCTATCACATATTGTGTTAAGTTTACCTACAATAATGTTTGGGTGAAGATTTCAGTTTTAAACCGTTGTATAAAAAGATAGATAAATATATGAGCCCATTACAATGTAGCGTAAACAATAACATGTACTAAAGCCATTATTAATATACGCATTAAAACCTATTAAAATATAAGCATGCATAAAAAAATACCACGCATCCAAACATTGTTTTTACCACCAAAGGTGTGCGCGTACGCAGTAATTGTTTTTATTCTGAGACCAAACAAGGATAATCTCGCATCCGCGCACAATGCATAGGGAATTAACTGTATTACAATGGAACAAGTTATGCGACAATATACGTGCTGAATTTTAATCTCTTTCAGTCTATGTGTTTTGTGATTAACAGTGTATAAACATACGACATAGTAACTCAATTTTATCGAGTATCTTAAAATTATAAACATTGTAAGTTCTTTAATTATTTTCCGTGTCTATAGCCGAAAAGTTTGTAAGTCCATGATTGCTAATCTGTTAAAATCACATCAATAAAAATCTATAAGTTAATATATTTTCAGCTAGTTTTTAACTATTATTTAGTTTTTTTTAATCTACTTAATTCTGCCGGACTCATAACCATATATCGTTTCGCTCGTTATATGACAGAAGGCTAAGTGGCTCACTTACGTATGCCGAATTAGCCCATTACAGCACAGGCGGAGGCCTCTCTAGATTTATTCAGGCCATTTCCAAATCGTATGAGGCCGAGCTACCTACCTACGTGGTACATAATTTGTGCTCCGTTTTACTAGCGGAAAGACGTAAGTAATTAGTTATATTCGCTAGTTTGTTATTTCAAGATATAATTAGAATTAATATTTACCCTTATAAAAAATGAATAAAAAAAGCATTGAAAACTTTATTATTTTTTACATGTTATTGCATACGAAGGCACTATAGAGCAACAGCACGGAACGCTGACGATGCCATTTTTTTCGATTTTTAAATTAAAAAAAAAAAAACATTTCTCTAATTGTATTTATGTTCTTCTATACTATCGTTTTGTACATA